TCACGCCAGGCGCCTAACCAACTAGACCACTGAGCCAGCCGGCATCCAACGGTGTTAATGTCTAATTTCAACCAATCCACGAAGTTGCGCCACCGTACACCATTGTCATCAGTGAGTTAATATCTCACAACCGACCTGATTGAACTCCACTGGTAACGGCATCTCACTAGAACTTCAAGAGTATCTCTTGAAGTCAGTCACTAGTAAGCAGATGATTATTATTCGAAGGGGTTTTGTGGAGATTGTTTAGAAATTTCACTGGCTGAGAGCGGGATCGTCGGTGCGCACTGCTGAGGAGTCCCATACTAGGACGAAACAGCCATCCAATGTTTCCAGGTTTTCCATGATGGTCTAGCTTCAATTGACTTAAGATTCCAACCCTTGAAATGATTAAAATATGATTTTTCGCAAACATTTTTTCTGTTTATCGTTATCATCAAATATTTTCATTGAACAAGATTGAATTACTCATAAGTAATTCATATTTGTTTATTCTTTATATTTTCTAATTCTTAACAAAATGTTTTGGTTGGTTATTCATTAAATTGTGTGTGTGATATATAAACATACTTAACACTTAGATTGATAAACAGACATAAAATATATGCATTATTATTATTATTATTATCTTCTTTACTTGATTTATTCAATAGCACAACTATATTGAATGATTTAATGAGTTATCATTATTCTTATACCCATTGATATATATTAGACATGAAACATGAATACGGAAATGGTATTGAACTTAGTCATACCGATTATCGATCATATCGGTAAGTAATAATGTTGAATTATACATTAATTTTCATTTGAATGTACAATTTTGTTCTTTCTTTCTTTCAACTTTATGTGATCATTCTTTAGATGACAGATTTCGGAGAAAATTGTCTTTGAATAATTGAGTTGATGAATTGATCCCAATCAATTGATCGTCAATAAGTATTGCTAAGTAGTTCCATACTAGGACGAAACGTCTGTTTAATGCTTCTAGGTTTCTCATGATGATCTAGATTTAATCGATTCATGAATTCTATCATTAAATCCATTGTTTATTAAATTGGTGTTTTTATTTAAGTTAGAGAGATTGTAGAAAATGTTCATTTTGAAGTTATGAATTATTTTAAATGTTTCATATATAAAAACGACTGATGGATTAGTGAGAAATTTAAATAAGACTTCATGAGATACTCTTGAAGTTCTAGTGAGAAGCCGTTACCAGTGGAGTTCAATCAGGTCGGTTGTGAGATATTAACTCACTGATGACAATGGTGTACGGTGGCGCAACTTCGTGGATTGGTTGAAATTAGACATTAACACCGTTGGATGCCGGCCGTCTCAGTGATTTAGTTAGTTAAACGCCTGGCGCGAGACTGATAGGTCCTAGTGTTGAATCCCGCGGGGTGCGTGATCGTGGATGCGCACTGCTGAGTAGTCCCATACTAGGACGAAACGGCCGTTCAGTACTTCCAGGTTTTCTATGGTGGTCTAGCTTCAATTGACTCATGATTTCAACCAGTGAAAAAAACTGAATAAGTTAGTTTACGCATTTTGTTAGCTTCTGCTAACACTTTTGCATTACTGGTTAACATTTAATTGAGAATAACATTGAAAATTAAGGAAACCTTCCTTAAACAAAAGAATGGATTATTAAATTCTAACTCTTTGACTTCAGACTTGAACACTCTAAAGTGAGATTTGGGATTTAGCTAAAACATTGTGGTATTACTGAAAGTTAAGTATTACTATAGTGAACGAGAACTTAAGTGAGGATAATCGAATGTATCTGAAAACACAAACTTACAGAACATCTTAATCAAATCTTTGAACCATACAGTAAATACTTAATTTGCAAAATGTCAATCAATTGTCTCAAACTTGATTATTCTTTTTGCAAATGTCGATCAATCGTTTCAGACTTCATGGTTTCTTCATTTTTACAGTAATAATTTACTGTTCTCGTTTCTTTGATTTTCTTAACTTTTTGCCTCCAGGCATTCCATTTTTGATTGACCATACATACTACTTATATCTGTCAGTAACATCAATAACACACACACACACACACACCATACTACAACATATTGTTGACCTTGATCAGAGTAAGTATTTTCTCAGGATTACATTTATTTATTTGTCGAGATTTTCTACTCATATAAAATTAAAATGATAAGCTTTACACTCATTGTAGTATACTTCATACGGTATCGTTAGTTAGACCAGATTTAACAAATCACTGAACAAATGAAATGACTTTAAACAAAAATTGTACTTTAATCTTTATAATCTCAATTTTAATCTCTGGTAGTTTACTTTAGTTCAAGGACCTTCAATTTCTTATTGTTAATATCCAAGTAATGAATGTGTTAATTTGATAGTCTGATCTATAAGAATTGATAATTTTAGAAATTCAAACTAAACTTTCATATCAGTATTAGGATAGATACATTGAATTATCAAGTCTATTATAAAATGAAAACTCCTACATCATCTTGAAATATAGTCAATCAGTTGTGTTGAAGCTAGATCACCATGAAAAACCTGAAAGTGTTGGACAACCGTTTCATCCTATTGTAAGACTGTTCATTAGTGTTCATCTACGATCTCGACCCTCGAGATTTGAATCCAGGACTTCTCAATGACATGATCTTGGATGGACATTGTTGAGAAGTTTCACAATAGGACAAAACAACGCTTCAGTGTTTTCAGATATTCCATAGTGATCTAGCTCCAACTGACTCATGATGTCAACTATTGAAATCATTATGATATGATAGTAATGAGTTGTATGTTGAATCAGTTTACATAGTATCAATGATCATATATCATATTACTTAATCATTATCATAAGTGCTTACACTTAACACAAATTGACTAATATTGATTGAAAAGAACGTAACTTCTTAGTCACATGTATCATTATAAGTACACAGAATATTGAACAAAATCTAATTAATTGAACTAAAAGAATAAACATTATTTGAATGAAAGATAAATATGAAAATAATTGTGTGTTTGATCATTTTACTGTTGAAGTTGTTGTGTTGTTCCTATTTAATTGATAAATAAAATGAATAATCTATTATGATATTTTAAATTATTCATGGTTTAGTAGATCTACAAAGGGTAATACTTACTTACTAAATTACGCCTGATACACCCGATGGAGTATAGGCCACCGACAAGCATTCTCCAACCCACTCTGTCCTGAGTCTTCCTTTCTAGTTCTATTCAATCGTTATTCATTCTTCTCATGTCTGTCTCCATTTCTCGATGTAATGTGTTATTTGGTGTTCCTCTTCTACTTTGGCCTTGACGATTCCATGTGAGGGCTTGTCTTGTGCGCAGGTGGGTGCTTTCCTTCATGTGTGTCCTATCCACTTCCAGCACTTCTTCCTGATTTCTTCCTCCGCTTGAATCTGGTTTGTTCTCTCTCACAATAGGTTGTTGCTGATAGTGTCTGGTCAATGGATCCGAAGTATTTTGCGTAGACAACTGTTAATCAACACTTGTATCTTCTAATCGATAGCTTTCGTGATTCTCCAAGTTTCCGCCTAGTACAGTAGAACTGTCTTGACATTTGTATTGAAAATCCTGACCTTGGTGTTGGTTAACATTTGTTTTGAGTTCCAGATGTTCTTCAGTTGTAAATATACTGCTCTTGCTTTACCGATCCGCGCTTTCACATCTGCATCAGATCCACCTTGTTCGTCACTAAGGGTAATAGGATGATATATATTGTTAATTTTGTGTGCTGGGTTCAAAGAAAATTGTATACTTTATGTGAACAGTCCTCACTGTTATTGTTCTTGTTTCAAATATTTTGTAGAGCTAAAGTGACTCAGTATACCTTGTTATTCATCGTTTCGTTGACTTGTGTGCATCTAGATTCATGTAGGACTGAGTGTAAACTGTTTCCGTATTATTTGTCCTAAGGCATCTCTGATAAACACAGTAAGATCTGAGCGAAAATTGTACGTATGTAAACTGGTTGTCGTCAGTGAATATCAAACGTTTCCTAACATTCAATGATATTAGAATATTGATAACTTACTTCTGATAGCATAGTTGCTTAGAAGTTTTCATTATATTGAAGTAATTCACATACACTGTAGTTATTTGTCCAATGATTTGAATGTATCACTAATAATCACTAAGAGGTTACTCATTAGACCATTAGATTAGAAAAAAAAATAGTCCCCTGTCTTTCAATGAGTGTCAATCATGCTAGTTAGAGTTTTAAAAATCCATCATGCCTAGCTTCATAAAAAAACTATTTTTGTTAAAATTTCTTTATTCATTTGTATAAAAAGTAAGGTTAATGAAAAAAATTTGTGGATCATTTACCTTAACCCCCCTCCCAACACCACCACCAACATAAACAGATTTGTCTTTCTTTTCAAACCCTCCCTGATTGTAAATTGTTTAAATTTCAATAACTTACCCCATCGTATTACGTAACACCTATTTAAAGTTACTAATCTTTATTTAATGTCTACAACAGTCTTGACAATCATTTTCATCTTAGTGTGGGACTCATCAGAAGTATACATCCGCCACACGTAGGACATTCAGTCTCGTGCGCGAACGCCTAAACTCTGGACCAATGAGTCAGAATTCAATTGTGTTAATGTTTAACTTCAATCGATTCATTATCTTGCGCAATTCTTCGTCGGTTGCTAGTGGTAAATATTTTTCTCATACCTGAAGGTCCTGAAATCGATTTAAGCGTGTGGAGTGGTAGATACACACTGCTGAGGAGCCCTATACTAAGACCAGATGACCATCAAGTGCTTATATATTTTCATTGGTGGTATAACTAAGATGAACTCATGAGTTCAACTGTGAAAACATTCTGTTATTGTGGATAAGAGTGCATATTTACGATTGTGTAATTTTTTTATAGAATGGATTCATTTAAAATAGAACTCTTTACTGAACCAGTCTTATCCTATTTTCATGTACTGTAAAGGTTATCAATATTGTTCTATCGAGATAACAATAATTTGTATAGGTTGTTTCACGTTGATTACATAACAATCAATCTCTGCTATTCCACTACTAAATAATTTGGAGATATGTGATTTTGAAAAGTAATTAGGGTGAATTTCTTTATAACCAGTTGGTCGGATTACTTTTTTTGTTTCCTACCTACTTACATTTAGTGTAAATATAGTTCACTTACTTACACACGTTACCCATCGTGAAGGAGCATAGGCTGATGACCAAAAATCTGTTCTGGACACTTCTTCTCAGTTATTCCCAAGTGCTATTCATTTTTTGATGTCTGCTTCCAATCGTCGATTCAATCTGGTCTTTAGCCCTCCACTTTTCCGTTTCCCTTCAGGATTCCAAATTAGTGCTTGCTTCGTGATGCAGTTTGGTGAAGGAGCATAGGCTGCCCGCCAGCATTCTCCATCCAACACTGTCCTGAACAATCCTTTCCATTTATTCTCAAGTTTTATTAATTCTTATGATATTTATTTCCAATTTCTGATTCAATCTGTTGTTAACTCTTTCATTTTTCTTTTACCGTGTGTTTTCCAAATAAGGGCTTGCTTTGTAATAAAGTTTGATGATTTCGGAAATGTATCCTATCCACTTTCAGCGTCTTTCCCTAATTTCCTCTTCAGATGGAACCTAGTTTGTTATCTCCCACAGTAGGCATTTGTTAATGGTATCCAACTAACGGTGATTAAGTATCTCGCATAAACAACTGCTTATAAATACTTGTACATTTTTGATGATGGTTGTAATAGTTGTCTAAGTTTCAGCTCCGTACAGTGAAACTGTCTTGATGTTCATACTGAAGATTCTCCCTCTAATATCTGTGTAATAATTTTGTATTAAAGACCAAAACTATTTATATAAATTATTCTCTTGTGTTTTGGTTTTCTTCTATTATACTTTACGTTTTCACAGACATTTCGAGTTACAAAATGGTATGAAAGTAATGATTATTTCTACTTGCAATGATATTGATGATAATCACTTTATATCAGATACTTTGGTAAGTTCTGTATGTATTATATTCACTCATAAAGTTTCGTTCTCTGAGCTGGATGGACCGAATAAATTAATCCCATTATTTTTGACCAAGTTTGATATTGGCAGAACTATCTAAACTTTTATGGGGTTTCGTAAAAATTAGTGAATGTTAGTGAGCTCATGAACTGACAACAGTGAAGAATCCGGAAGTAATGGAGAGCTGTTTCGTTCCAGTATGAAGCTCCTCAGCAGTGTACATCCACGATCCTAAAGCAGACCAAATCAAGGACACTAAGCCTCTCATACAAGCACCTAACCTTCACATAACTGAGTTGGTTATGCAATATGGTAAATTGATTAAAGTGAGAAATACGAGTAAGTAGGTTCCAATCCAATGGTCTAAAAAACAATTGGTAGTCACGAAATTTGATTCTCTTGAATTTACTCCCTGGTTGGATCTTGTTTCAATTTTTCAGAGGTTTCCTATACTATTACGAAACAGCTATTCACTGCTTCCAAATGGTCAATAGTCGTCTAATTTAGGCTGATTTGTTATCGTGATGAAAGGGCGGAACTATGATTTATAAACGACCTTTGAGCGACTATGGAGTGACCATGAAAATGTTCACCTACTCACTAGAGCTACATGAGGGTTATCAAGCAGTGTGCAGAATAAAGATTATGATTTACAGTTGTTGGTTAGGGTTAGAAATGAGATTTAGGGTTTTCGTCACGAACTGATGTTAACTATAATACCAAAATTCTATTTCACCAAATGGATGAATGAATCTCGCACCAAAATCCAAGACCTGTTATCCTGAATTTGATTGGTTCGTCCATAAATTATAGTTTCGACATTTTGTTCTTTAATTGTTCATAATTACCGTTATAGTTTACGAGATTAATTTAATCTCATAAAATAGAAAAAACAAATAAAATGAATTGATTGACTGGTCCACCTATTAAAATTGCTTTAAACGATATCATCCTTCGTCTGTAATAATGATAAATTTAGATACAGTTGATTGAAAACTACATTCTTACAAGATATAGTTGCGTAGGTAGTTACATGTAATAGTAATTAATAAATTTATCGCTTTTCTTTACATAAGCTATTGTCGTATATATACAAGTAGATAAATAAGTAGGTAAATATATAGGTAGATAGACAGATGAGTGGAGAGATAGATGGGTGTGTGGATAGATTGATTGATGGGTGGATAGATAGATAGGTAAGTAAATAGATGGATAGATAGATAGATAGATCCCGATATAGTTTTAAGTGGATCTGAATTCTAATAATTTGGAATTATCACATCGCCATTGACATAGAATATCTCCTGGTAGTTTATTTAAAAATTAATTATAGCTTTATTGTTTTATTAAATTTACTTACCTTCCAAAAATAAATTATCGTATTTCTCTTGTAAAATCATGCAGTTTTTATACACTATTCATATGGAAAAAAATTGACGATCAGTTAGGTACACAATTAAACTATTCAGCCTCATATACCCTGGTACGGTCGAGGGTCATAAGAGTCCATTCTCCCTTTCTAAATGCTCTCACATGGCTGCGCGTATACAGCCATTTCCACGGGAGCTCTACTTAATGCTAGAGTATCGTTTACGAAATTAGGAGTATGAAAAGCGAGTGTTCGGCGCTTTAACCGTCTTGGTAGATATGGAGGATCCACCTAAAGGAGTTAGAAAATCATAATTCCAAACCATTGGTGCACATGAGGTTCAAGATCCTGAGGGAACAAATGGAGTATGAACCAATCGTTGGTCACCGGCTACTATATGATCGCATCTCCTGACGTTGCTCCACTGCCTTATGGATTAGATCTTGAGGTCAAAGGCTCCGGATGTGAGCGCCCTATGAAAACCATCTATTTCGGTCTGGGAACCCGGCGAGTACCACAGCCCACACACAAATCAAGTAACTTGTGTGCCCCATATGTATTCTGTGCCCTTTTGTACCAATATTTATGTGTTCAAATAAAGTAAATAAATAGACTTGTGTAAAATTGACTATAACGTTAAATAACTTTGAAATCTGATTAAATCTGATTTCCAAATGTATACACTTTCATCAAGTACTATTCAATACTACTACTACTACTACTACTACTACTACTACTACTACTACTACTACTACTACTACTACTACTACTACTACTACTACTACTACTACTACCAATAAAATCAATATTTCATATTCTCAACTATTGCAGTATTCCATTATTCTAGTAGTTATTCATTTCATTTGAATATTAAACTTTGCTCTTTCAACTTATTTAATCTAATAATAAAGTTCATGATTGTATATAATGTATAATAATAATAATATGCTATAATTTTATACGATAAAGGTATATATTTTGTCTAACTAAAGTTCCCTTGTATATATTCTGTAATAAGCTAGTTGTATAAAATTTAAAGTTTTTATGAGTGAGACCATAATTTATGAATGACCTTTGAGCGACTATGAAGTGACTATGGAAATGTTCACCTACTCACTAGAGCTACATGAGGGTTATAAACGAGTGTAAGCAATTGGAATTGTGATATACAGTTGATGGTCAGTGTTAGAAATTGTATTTTGAGTTTTCATCACGAACTGATGTTAACTATAATACCAAAATTCTATTTCACCAAATGGATGAATGAATTTCGCACCAAAATCCAAGACCTGTTATCCTAAATTTGATTGGGTCGTCCATAAATTATAGTCGCGCCAAATTACGGAAATGATAATGACTAAACAGCTAATTTGTTCTCATCTGGTGTTGTTTGCTTGTATCTTTTAATTGTTATTTAAGACTGCAATTGATCAGTCTCTTGTTAGCATATGTACATCCTGTTCGGATTGCCTCGATATCACTCTAAGCCACAAGCTTTTTAAGCAAAGATGGATGGTGTCTAGTGGAATCCAGGACGTGAGTTTCGTCCTATTTGTTACTCATCAGTCGAATGTACCTGCATCTCAGAGTTGATGGTCACTCTGGGACTCAAATGCAGTCCTAAATAGCAATGGGAAGATACTAGTAAACAACACCAAGTGAATATAACTTCACCCGATTGGACAAGCTAGTAGCTATAAGGACTCAATGGCTAAGTGAATGACGCGATGACGTTTGTAGCGAATGGTGCTGGGTTCGAGTTCCGGAGTGAACAAAATACACGTTAAGAGGACACTCAAAGACTATATCAAGATGATCATGGATCTAAAATCTATCCTCATGAAGATCATTTTGAGCTGTTAATTCTAGGTTGAAATACAAAATATGAAACAAAAGAACACAATTATTATATCATACTGTCAACAACACCATTTCTGTTAATGAACTTCGGTTATAATTCGTTGTGATACAAAAATAAACGTGATCAAATTTCAAGTTCTCTTAAACACATACTACTTACCTATATATGCCTGTTACCCCTCATAGTGGAGCATAGGCCTCTCACCAGTATTCTCCATCCAACTCCACCTATAGCTCTTCTAGGGTTACTGTCGATCCCAACCCCGTGTAAAACAGGAGGATTAGGCATACGGGTCAGTAAATCTATCCCATAGAAAATAACCTTACTAAGGAAGAGAAAACGTTAACCAGAATAAACAAATATAAACTACATATAATAGATGATCATTGATATAACCAAAATCAATATTTATGTCTAGTGTATACTGTCAATTTTCCAGATTAATTTAGTACATTTTTAAATTATCATATCATTATAATGATTTAAAACAATCATTCAATCTATCAATGTATAAGAAACAAATGACACATTACAGAAACCAAAATCAAATTTTAACTACATATTTCTTTCTCTTGTGTGTATATAAGTGTGTGTGTGTGTAAGTGTAAGTGTAAGTGTAAGTGTGTACTTCTTCTTCTTCTTCTATTCACCAACGTTTCATAGATGACATATCTCATATAAATCAAATGAATATATGTATATCTTGTTTAAATAAATAACAAATACATTCAAAAGACGGTGTCTAAAAGTTAGAATTTCAATTGTGGTATCATCTAATTCGTTGGTTGATAAATGTGAAAGTATTTTTTTTGTTGTTAAAAAAAAGTGTACAGAATTCATAACTGAATAAATTCACTTGGTATTATTTGCTTGTATCTTCCAATTGTTGTTTAGGATTGTAATTGATCAGTCTCTCTTATTGGCATAGGTGTATCCTGTGCAGATTGCCTTGATATCACCTTAAATCATAAGCTTTTTTGAGCAAAGATAGATGATGGTTAGCAGTGAAATGCAGAACGTGCGTTTCGTTCTATTTATGACTTGTCAGTATAGAGGTTGTGAAGATTATTAATTTCTTTGATTGAGATCATGAACCAATTGATGTTAGACCACCATTGGAAACCTGGAAGCATTGGACGTCCGTTTCGTCCTATTGTGGGACTTCTCACCAGTGCGCATCCACGATCCCGCACTCCGCGAGATTCGAACCCAGGGCCTTCAGTCTCATGTGCGAACGCTTAACCTACTGGACCACTGAGCCGGCATCCAATGATGTTAGTGTCTAACATCAACCAATCCACGGAATTTCGCGACCAACTTTCATTGTACTGAGGTAGATACCTGTCTCTACCCGACACGGATTAGCTCCACTGGTCACGACTTCTCACTAGAACTCCGAGAATTCCCTCACGAAGCTGGTCACTAGTGAGCACATGTTAATTATCAGTATAGGGGTTGTGGAGATTATTAATTTCTTTGATTGAGATCATGAACCAGTTGGATATACCTGTATCTTAGAGTTGATGTTCACGACGGGACTCGAACTCAGTACTGTTCGATTCAAACAGCATCGTGTTATACATTAATGACTGATTGTTTGAGTCGATCATGTAAACAATTGTTTTTTCCCAAAACGCATTGAAATGTATTAAAAAAACAAACACAAAAAGATAAATTTTAAATAAACAAGTTTACTACTCATAATTTCGTATTATAGATAATTGAAATAGAGTAAGATATAAGTACTAAGTGATTCATTCAGTTATCAACGATGTAGAGTTTGGTACATGTGTACTTCGGTCCAAGTTTCCACATTGTACCAACATAGAGAAATGAAATTATCAAATCAAATGTCATAGGAGTAGAATTAGTAACAATGTAAGTGATGGTACAAAAGATTAGATGTAGAAAATATAGTTCGAGAAGTTAGAATAAATTTGGAGAATAGAAAATTATGAAATAATTTTCAAAACTTAGAATTTGATGGAAGACACAGGGAATACATTTGAATTGTAAATATCGATTCTGAGCGATGTTACTCAACGTCTCCGTCAATTGGCTATTTTAAATGAGACGATTTCAACTTGATAGTATGCACTTACTAATACGGTTCACTACAACAGGCAATGTGTTCACGAACTGATGCTACACTTTGGCTTGACTTATCATAGTTCGTGGTAAGCGATGATTGGGTAAATATGGTGACTAATTAGTAACTACCTAACTCTTGCAGAAGATTAATTTCTAATCAGTGAGAAAAGTATCTACTAGACAACATGGTTCAGAGTCACATCAAGGAACCCTATTTCTCTTGAGATTTCAAATATATTTTGCTAATACATGCCGACTTCTACGGTACTCATGTTTAGAATTTCTTATCTATTGATTCTGATTGTGTAACATAAGTTTATGTCAGTAGAGAGTAAATAGTTAGTTATTTATTTACTTAACTTTTTATTGATAAGCTGACTCCAGACTTATGTTGATACTGAGTATTAAGATCAAAATGAATTAATTTGTTGATATTCTAGATCTCATTTTTAGCGTCTACTTCATATAGAAGTAAGCTGTCTACTTAATATGCAACTATTACATTGTTTTTTATTCCGATGTCTTTGTTTATGATTGATTGTCTTCATTTGCCTTTGCATTCATGTTGACTGTTATTGTTGGTGGACTTCTGCATTTATGATTAATTAATCTCTTCCATATTGGTCCGTAGATTAGATCTATCTCGACGTTGAGGTTGATTACCAATTAACTTGAATGTTATGTTCTAGAAATTTGTTGAGATTCTTGGAATTTCAACGGTCTTAAATTTCGAACTCTTTCTAGTCAAATTCAAGTTCATGATTGTTTGCATGTATTGATGCTAGCGATCATTTACCATTTCACTTTACCGTTAAACTATGTTCATTTGTATGTAGGAGAAAAGGCAATATTCTATTTCAATCTAGTATTTATCTCAGTTAGTACAATCTACTCAAATCTTTATAAACTATCTGTTAGATCAATCTTCACATAATTATATTTGATTATTGAATAACTAAGTTGATTTAAAAGAGCTAGAATAGATTTTATTAGTGTTGTTTATTTCTCCGAACTTCGTGGTAGGGGTTTCATTACTATTCCAGATAAAATTATCATTGATTACTTCGTGTATAAACGAGGTTTCTACTTATTCCATAAAGAATAAATTAGTTCGTTCTTGTATCCTTCCGTGTTTATGACTGATTATCTTCGTAGGTTCTATTTTAGTTATTTGTTCTGGTGTGCAAGTTCGCTGTTGATTGATCGAATTTTTTCTTGACCTGTTCGTTAAGCTTAATTATCGTATGATGCCAGAATTTCTGAAAGTTATATTTATAAATAACACTTGGAAGTACTGTAATGTACATTATAAAATTTAAGTTTCATATTTGACTAAGTATTGATTTAGTTATTTAAACACATAAACATTGGTACAAGGAGGCACCAAATAGATATACGCCACATGAGTCATTCGATTTGTGTGAGGGCCGGGATACTGCCCGGGTGCCCAGACCGAAGCAGGTGGGTTTCTTAGGGGGTCACACCCGGAGCATTCGACCTAAAGGTCTGATCCACAAGGCAGTGGAACAACTTCAGGAGATGCGGTCCCGTGGTAGCCAGTGACTAACGATTGGTTCATACGCCATTTGTTCCCTCAGGTTACTGGAGCCTATGTACACCACTAGTTTGCAATCAGTGTTTTCCAACTTCCCTAGGTAGACTCTCCGTGTTCACCAACCCGGTTAAAGCCCAGGACATTCTGTTTTCGTCCTCTCAATTTTGTAACCAACAGTAATGCCACGAGGAGGTAGTGAGTAGGATGTCCCTTGCAGTGGTTGTGTGCAAGCGGACATGTTAGAGTATTTCAACAGGGAGAGCTAACTCTCCCCACTCTCAGCCGTAGCAGCGCATTTGGTGGCTGACTAAGTATTATGCACAGATTTTTATGACGATGTACCTACCATATAGTGATTATTCAAAGTTTTCACAATTTAATAATCATGTGCTCTTCTTCTAATCACATTTCTAAAATGAAAACTGAAAGTTTTTAAAGAAAAAATAAAATTCATTATTAGTCAAACAATCTCTTTGCATATTTTAGTCAGCTGCAGCACTCTGCATCAATGTTGGTTCATTTTCCGATCCACATGAAGCTCAAGGTCTTTCTCATCTGTTAGAACATAGTAAGTTTAATAATTCTAGTCATAATCATTACACCGAATCAGGTTTATCGAATACTGTCTTAGTTTTGTCATTTTTTAGGCACCACTTCAGGAAAAATTATCGTCAGTTAGATGTACCTGTAATCTTGAGGGAACTGATGCTCCCTGATGGATTCGATCCTGTATCATCCAGCTTCACAGTCAGAGACGAAATGTCGAGTCACCTAGACTAGTGGCCACATTGCAACTTGGTCGGTAGGATTCGATCGGCACTAAGAATGACCTGACACACATGGCACTGATCACCACCCAGTGATCAATCAATTGTGAAAAAAGTTATCTTTCGGTTAAATTTTTCATTGAATAGAACACTGATATTTCAAATGGTTGACTTTATCTTGTATTGTGCAACAAAACCTGCGTAGCTGAAAAGTCGGTTACATGAATTTGTATTTGGCTATCAAGTAGCATTAAAACCATTTATGGGTTAAAACTAGAAGTATTACTGAATAAGCATCCTTAACTTCAGTCGGTTTGTTAAACTGAGAGACCATCATCAAACATCTTTGCTGATATTTATCTCACATCTGACATCATCAAATCCGATTGGTTGTGATTTTTCTGTATCCGTATTGAAACGTTTGGACTTTTTTTCAGGCTAGTCAGTAATGTATAATTTAGAATTTATATTTCAGATTGGAATTTCCACAACTAATTCTGCATCATATATTACATAAGATCAGCTCCCAACAATCAGGTCACAAGTTTAAACCCTAATTCATCCAATTTGGTGTTTATGTGACCGAATAATAACAGTAACCGTTATATAAACATTGTGGCTTAAATCTAAGTAGTTAACTGATCTACAAACAAATGTAATCAGTTCACGATCAAGATATCCAGTTTCATTAGTAAATCTGAATCTACTGTTTTCCCATAAATTTTTATCAAGTCACTCGTTCAATTTATCCTTTTGAATGACTGTTGACATTGAAAATCTAGTTGTAATAAATGAACTTAGATTGATCCTATCTGTGAAAGGCTTAATTATTTAATAATCCCTGATCACTATACTTCAGTCAACTCATTCTCAATCAAAAACAAGAACTAAACGAATTTAGCTATTCTAATAAATCTGAACATAAAGGATACAATAGTAAAAAAACATTATGGTTAACATAAAATGTTTACGTAGGAAGGAATCTTTGATCATTAATTTCCTTATTCAACCACCAGACCTGTTTGGTTAAAACAATAGGCCAATTGATGCATGATGAACTGTTATGACTTATCAGGTCGGAATTAACATTATTCATATATCACAGTGTATAATATTTACAGTGAGTTATTTATGAAAGACTAATTATTGATACTTCCTAACATATAAAGTTATAGTTTCTTAAAAAATTTGAAGGAATATAAAACTCATGACGTCTGATCCACTTATATATATATATGTTGTCTCATGATCTCAACTATTGAAATTACTATAATATCAACAAAACCCCTTCTGATATTAATCAATATATACTCACTAGTGACTGGCTTCATGAGGTATTTCCTGGAGTTCGAGTGAGAAGCCGTGATCAGTGGAGATCAACCAGGTCTGTTGTGAGGTAATAACTCACTGAAGACATTGATGGATGTGTCGCTCAATTTCGTGGATTAGTTGAAGTTAGACATTAACACCGTTGGATACCGAATCAGTGGTCTAGTGCTTAAATGTTCGCGTGTGAGACCGATAGGTCCTGGATTCGAATCTCGCGAGGCAAGATCGTGGATGCGCACTGCCGAGGAGTCCTACTATAGGGTAAAACGGCCGTCTAGTGCTTCCGAATTTTCCATGGTGGTCTAGCTTCAACTGACTCATGATTTCAATCATTGAAGAAAATATATGGAGAAAGAGAGAGAGGGGAGGGAATGGGTGGGAGGGAGAGAGGGGGGGCGAGAGTTGGTTTGTGGAGAGTTCATTAAACCCAACAACAAATCATCATTAACTAATCAATAATATTTAAAGCATCATGAATTGTTACTAAGTCATAGTTTAAAACTGCTAAAACGTATCTAATTCACTAAGTGATAATTACTTATTCAAATTATAATATAAGAGAACCACGTGTGATATCATCAAATGACATTGAAGAAAAATATGTATACCGAACAATAAAACACCACAAAATTCATAATAATGAAATCAAAGAAATGTACTATCTATACACAATAATAATAGTAATAGTAATAGTATAATAACCAGGTAACTGAATTGAAACTATAAATATATACAGAAAAACGTTCTTTTTTTCAAATGAATCCAAATTTTCACTTGGTATTGTTTTGCTTGAATCTTCTCATTGAGGTTTTAAGATTGAAATTGACACAAGCAAATGGCTAACAGGATTCAGTAGCTGAGTGGATGACGCGATGGCGTTTGAAGCGAATTGTACTGGGTACGAGTCCCAGAGTGAACATGAACTCTGAGATGCAGGTACATCCAGTTGACGAGTCCCAAATAGGATGAGACGTGCGTCCTGAATTCCACTGCTAGTCACTATTCATCGTTGCGTATGAATCCAAATTTTATTGGAATAAATAAAATGATTTTATTGTATATAAACATCAGTTAGATTATGGTAACCAATGAAGTTTGTTGAATTTTATAGTTTTACATCCTAAACTGAAAACTATGGGGAAAATAATAGTAGTATTGTGCAGATGTTTTGTTTTAAGGTGAAAGAATAAAGTTCAACTATTTCATATGTGGATATAACTATCATCAGAGGCAATAGATGATAATTGAAAGATAACAAAAGTTGACTGAAATTAGTAATGTAAATCATTAGATGGAAATGGAATGATCTGAAGGTCTTAGGATGAATCACTGGTGAGGTCAAGAATGTGCATTATTGAGACGTACCATAGTGGGACTTCTGTTTTTGAATGGTTGTTAAACTAAAGTCAGTTTATAATATGAAGCTGAAAACAGAAAGAGAATAAAAGTTTTTTAGACGATACAATTAGTTTACATCACTCATTGAATTCAGCTAGACAAACATTATAAACTATAAAGTATTCGATAGCTAAACAGCCCTAGTATTAAACTTAACAAGAGTAGGACCCATTATCTCTTCAAGCATAGAAACTAGGATCTTCAATCCTCAGATTGAGGTACTGAAAGGAGATTAGGAAATGGCACGAATTGATTTCAATTAGAAAGATGGACTACTGGATACTAATTCAATGCTTAGTGCTTGCTAGACAAGGGTGTCTACTCTCCCCTTTTCTCTTTCTGCTGATGGTTGACTGGATTATGGTGATTTCCACATTTAATTGGAAGCATGGGATAAAATGGACAGGTTGGATGCAACTAGCTGATTTGGACTTCGTAGACAACCTAGCTGTTTTATCCTGTACATACTAACAAAACGCAGGTCAAGACAAAGTGTAGCAGCAGCAGCCTCTGAATCAGAAGGCCTCAGTATACACAAGGGAAAAAGTAAGATCATCAAATACACGGTGGAGAACACCAACCCAAACACACTTAAAGAAGAACTTTGGAAAAAGTGGAACCTTTCACTTTTCTGTGTAGCATCATCGATGCAGACGTAAGTGCAAGGATTGGCAAAGCAAGGGCTCCATTCCTACAGTTGAAGAATATATGGCACTCTAAACAACTGTCAACCAATATCAAAGTGAGAATCTTCAATACGAACGTCAAGACAATTGTACTGTACGGAGCTGAAACTTAGAGAACTACTACAACCACCATGAAAAGAGTACAAGTATTTCTAATCAATTGTCTACACAAGATCCGGATACCATAACCGATAGCCTACTGTGGGAGATAACAAACGAGCTTCCAGTCGAGGAATAAAATTAGAGAAAGACGTTGGGAATGGATAGGGCACACATTGAGGAAACCATCAAATTGAATCACTAGTCAAGCACTAACTTAGAATCCTGAAAAGAAAAGGAAAATAAGAAGACTGAAGAACACACTACGTCGGTAACTGGAAGCAGACATGAAAATAATAAACAGTAACTGGAAAGAACTTGAAAGGATTACCCAGGACAGAATTGATTGGATAATGCTATTGTTGGGATATTCAGGAAAATATCCCAAAAATTATTCTATTAAGTCTAATGCTATTCTTGGACTTGGAGATGGTGTTATTCTCTTATTGGTCAGTGCTTATTTCACGTGTCATTTTCCTACTGGTCAATATTGTACAATGTTATTTCCTATTTTATGGTACGATGTGGTCTACTTGATTAGTATATAAACAGAGTGTGTTTGAAATATAATGATTCATATATTCGAGGCTGAGACTTGCATTCTGGACTTAACTGGCTGGGCTACACAGGGAAACGGGGCCAATCAGAACCCTAGGTCGTTCTACGTGTTTGCGCGTCTTTGGTCTGATCAATAATTTGCTACCCCTTAATCAGCAGCATTTTCACAGTTATAACAGCTTGATTCCTAAAATAAGACGAAACAACCATTCAGTGCTTCCAGGTTTTCCATGGTAATCTAATTGTAATCGACTTATGATCTCGATCAACTATTTGTTTATTTGATAGTTTCTTACTTTACTTTTTTCTTTTCTTTTAGTGTTATTTCATGGTGATATAATTAATCATGAAATGAGAACATTTCATAATTATTTACAAGAATATAATGGTTATTGGGATTCTAAAACATCAAATGAACATACATTATTCTATTTTAGTATAACAGAAAAATATTTCAATGAAGCATTACATTTATTTGCTTTACATTTTATTAATCCTACATTAAAATTAGATGGAATGAGAAAATCAATTGAGAAAATTGATATGGGTAAGGAATACTTTTGATGATAGTTGAAATATTGATCAATATTCTACTGCTGAGGAGTCCTATACTAGGACGAAATGGCCGTCCAGTACTTCCAGCTTTTCCATGATGGTCTAGCTTCAACTGATTCATGATCTTAACCATTGAAATTACTATAATATCCACAAAACCCATCTGATATTATTATTCTATTTGTCTAGTGAGAAGCAATGCTCAGTGGAGTTTAATCAGGTCTGTTATGAGATAGTAATTCATTAAAGACAATAGTGGATGGTGGCACAATTTCGTGGATTAGTTGAAGTTAGACATTGACACTGTTGAATACGGGATTAGTGGTCTAAAGTTTGAAGGCTTGAACATGAGATCGGTAGGTCCTGGGTTCAAGTCTCTCAGGACGAGATCGTGGAGGAGGAGTCCCACAATAGGACAAAACGGATGTCTAATGCCTCCAGGTTTTCCATGATGATCTACCTTCCAATGACTCATGATCTCAACTACTAAATTACTATAATATCCACAAAACCCCCTTCCGATACTTGTTTAATTGTTAAGTATTGTTGAAACTCTGTTGAGCACTCTACTATTCTAAGTTATATATTATCATGTGGACTATGTTGTGATAAAAAGTGATTGTAAGCAGTCAATAAAAAACTTTAGTCTAAGGTTGGGTTACCTAGACTAGTAGTACAATGGCAAATGAATTGATAGAATTCAACTAACATTAAAGTACTGAATAAATGTGAAATGGTTCAATGCACAACGATCAATAAATGTAGATATTTCAGTGTAGAAGATTTTAAGAAATGATTTGAGTAGCTCGGTATTAATAATTTGAACTGAGATATTGGAGGATCCTGGCCTTGAATGAAGCAAGTTGAATTAGTTCTTTTAGGATTACATGTACGCTTTATTAACAAGTGCGAAATAACACGAAACATATGTTGATTGTTTTATGTCAACTATCTTCAACCACCTAAAATCTGTTCATATTCTTCTTCTTTATAAACAAAGTATTGTTAGCTTACGCAACTTAACCTACCTTAATGAAGATGTTTAGCTATGAAAGACTGAATCGTAGTACTTTTTGTAGGGTGTATTCCTTGGAAACGTATTTTTGAAGTGGTTTTATAGTGTATGTGAATGTTATCAGTTCAGTTGATAGGATTGTTGAACAATTTGAAATTTTAACAAAACTTACACTTTGTAACTTATGGCTAATTGACATCAATCTCCAATTAGTAACACTCAATAAGTTTATCTCATTTATACTGGTTGAAATCATGAATCAATTGAAGCTAGACCACCATGGAAAACCTGGGAGCACTGGACGACCCTTTCATCCTAGTAAGGGAATCCTCAGCAATGCGCATCCCCGATCCCGCACCCCGCAAGTTTCGAGCCCAGGACCTATCAGTCTCGTGCCAGGCGCTTAGACTTTAAACCACTAGTCCCGTATTGAACGGTGTTAATGTCTAACTTCAACTACTCCATGAAATTGCACCACCGTCCTTTATTGTCTTTAGTAAATTACTATATCATAACAGACCTGATTAAACTCTACTGACCATTGCTTCTAACTAAAAAAATAGAATATTGATGAATATTTCAACCATTTCATTTATAATATTATTTATGAACAAATTATCTTGATGGAACTAAATGGTTTTCTTTAAATTCAAATCGATTCGTTGAGTAGCACTGTTTTATCTTAATATTTGTCGGTGAAGGATCAAGTTGGCAAAAAGTTGGGGACAGTCAAACCGAGAGTTGGTTTTAGTACATGTTGATAGAATCAGACAACTTGTTTGAGATTATTATCAATATCAAGATTAGTGGCTGGAGAAATCAGGTGACGTAGCTCAGAGCAATCCGTGAAGGCCAAAATGCACTCACGTTTTGTTTGAGTTGTGAAATTGCTTAATCCTTTTCTATTTCATTAATCCATTCTCTGTTTTCGTACAATAATGACTGCTTAAACTTTGTACCAGGACTGGTACTGTTATTACTTCTAATCTTTTAGTATTCTTTTCAATAATTTCATCTCATTGATGATATGGTGTGATAAATTAAACTGGTGTACATAAGTGATAAGTTGTAATTTGGTTGTGACTGACTAAGTCTGATTGACCCCGTGAATCAAGACAAAATCAATTAGCGAAATCTTTATACTAACCCATAGTCACCAGTTTTCTTGGAATTCAATGAAAATCAGCCGTTAGTAGCTAGACAAAATTGTCAAAAGGTTAGATTTTTTTATCACAAAAGCCCTAATACCTATTTTATTCAACATCACCTGCAGTAAAAGTATCATTGAATTATGGGATAATTCCATCATCTGACAAATCAAGATCCAAGAAATACTCTTCATATCAAATATGTCTGATTAGAAATGTAATAACTTATAATAAATGGTAATTGGAACTAGTCACTTGGTAAATAATTAACAGTCTGAAGTATTCTGATTCATCTGGTTTAATGGAACAGAATCACGTGACTATATCGATTTACTTGCCATAACTATGAATACATAGAGCTTGTAGAGATTGTCCACTTATTATAGTTTGAATCAAGGGGCGAATTTTGTTCAATAGTAATTGAAGAAAAGGAGTCGCTAGACAGCCACTTCTCTTTAACATGAGACTTCTTAACAGTGTGTATCTACTGCCCTAATGAGCCATGTTGGTAATCAAACGTATACACCCTTGGATCAATTGCATGTTGGGTCTTGAATAAGAAATACTGAGAAGTACCCAAATAGAAAAACAGCTTTCTGATGTCCCCTAATTTATAATGGTTATCTTACTAAAGTCATTCTCTGATCTCATATTATATTACATTACTTGATTATGACCATGAACAAGTAATGGTAAGTGAAGATTGTTCATGTAAACTTAACTACTTATCCAAAGTATCCAATCGGAATGAAGTCGAATACCAAAGCAACTGACCAGAAAAATATGTAGCACAATAACAAAAATGACCGAAATTCAATTTGTGCAGCTGCAAGATTGCAAACAAAGTGTACTTTTCTTGCTAACTTACTACTCAGTGAAGCTGAAATCCGATGGTCAAAATTAATTCAATATCCATAGCTACAAATACATGAATAGTAAGCACAGCATGAAGATTATTCGGCTTACAAAACTGAAAGGACATTTATGAACGAAGATGGATAATGGCTAAAAGTGGAATCCAGGACATATGTTTCATCCTATTTGGATGTACCTGCATCCCAGAGTTGATGCTAACTCAGGGACTCAAACCAACAAAAAGCCAAATATAACTTCATCAACTGCAGTTTTGTACATCACTGTGGAAGACTCAAATAAACAATACAAAATAAAATTTAAAGAACATTTGTTTAAAATCTAAACAGATGAAAATCTGTTGATAATCAGGAAGTTTAGGCTAATTCTTTTGGATAAATTGGATAACAAAGGGCGGCCTGCTTGAGCATCTGGGCTACCTGTTCCTGCTATCTAGATATTTCAACAAGTTATCTATTTTTGTTTGTTTTAATATATCATTATGTTTATTAATCGCATAACCTATTCTGCTGCGTTTCTGAAAAGTGTACAACCTTTCGTTGTCAAAGTTACAAAAATCTCAATAAGAGACAATGTGGTTGCTGGCAATATACAACGAAAAGAATGCACATTATTCAGATGTTCATCTACTGAACTACTAACATCTAGCTGGCGATTACTTGATATTTATCGTCGGGACCGACCAAGAAGAAAGAAACGGAAACTTGTTGAAATACTTTACGTTGAGAATTCTATATTGAATAAAGCTGATAATAATAATAATAATAAAGATAAAATGAATATTTTCTCTCATGGATTAGCACGATATTTTATAGGTTATCAACTAACAGGAAGCTCATGAAAAAGAACTGAACGACAATTGCCGGTTATTTATAGTATCATAAAATGTACTATGAGGATAAGTTTATTTATTTATTTGAACTCATAAATATTGGTACAAAGGAGTACCGAATACATATACGACACACAAGTCATTTGATTTGTGTATGAACTGTGATATTACTCGCGTGCTGAGACCGAAACAGGTGGTTTTCATAAGGGGACACACCCGGAACCTTCGACCTAACCGTCTGATCCACAAGGAGCAACATCAGGGGACTTAGTCACATGGTGACCAGTCACCGAAATTTGGTTCATACACCATTCCTTCCCTCAGGATCTTGAATCTCATGTACACCATCGGTTTGGAATCAGGATTTTCTAACTCTTCTAGGTTGACCCACCATGTATACCGACACGGTTGAAGCGCCGTACACTCTTTTTTCGTAGTCTCAATTTCATAAACAACACCCCCGCTGCGAGAAGGCAGTGAGTAGTACTTCCGTGGCAGTGAATGTATACTCGTGACTATGCGACACCATTTAAAGAAGGGAGGAGGACTCTCCCCACTTTCGACCATACCAGAGCACTTAACAACAATGTGGATCAAAGACTGAACATTATTAAAGTCTTCTTTTTTTTCTGATATATTCCCAAATTTTCTTCTGAACTATTCACATAATGTATTATTCAGAAAACTGAACAAAAACTTCATCAATCATTTAATAAACATGCTAACCAACATTGTTATCACTCATGAACAAATACAGATTTCCAGTTATATACTGGAAATTCTATTCATGATATAAATTATACACCATATATATCTTTTAAACAAACAATTATTAAACTATAATATTATCTCAATTAAAACAAGTAATCGATCAATACATAAATATATATATACTTTAATTCTAGACTTTTGAAATAATGAAAGTTATTTCTCAAGGTCACCCGCCATTCCATTTTATTGATTATTGGATATGACCTTAGCTCTCAAGGTTATATTTATCGCTTTTTTTTAAAAAGATGGTTTCGTTGTTGTTGTTGTTGTTGTTTTATTGTGTTGATTACAACAGTAAAAAAAAAGAAATAAATAAATCATATTTCATTGATTGTATTTTATTTGTAGACAATTTCATTTTATAAATGGCGCCAAAATACTCATTAAAATATTGCTATTAATCATAATAATGTCAAATATAGTTTAATCTTAAATTATTCATTATGATTAAAATACTTTTATAATGAATGAGAATACAAGTGAAGACAATTGTGAATGTGTTTAAAGACAAAAAAAAAGCTATAGAATCTCTTTGTAAAATCTGAGTACTGTACAATAAAGAATTCATTTGCAAACAGATCAATCAATTGTCTTAGACTTCATTGTTCTTTCATTTCCACATCAATCATTCTTTGTTCTTGTTCTCTTTTCTTCTATCTTCTTGACTTTCTGATGCTAGACTTTCTATTCCTGACTATTGTTATATACTCTTTATGTCGATATAAATAGAACATACCATACTAACTAGCACCCCAGTTCTAGGCTCACATCAGTGTCCGCAGAACAGCACACTTCCCCTTTCCTGGTAAGTAGCGACACCAAATGTACTGAACGAGAACACAAGTGGGAACAATCAGATGTGTTTGAACACGAAATTACAGAACATCTTAGTAAAATGTGAGAGCCATGCAGTGAATACTCAATTTTCAAAAATGTCAATCAATTGTCTCAACCTTGACTGTTCCTTTTGCAAATATCAGTGAATTGTCTCACACTCCATTGTTCTTGCATTTCCATACCAATTGCTTTCTGTTCCCATTCGTTCCTCCTCGATAATCTTGACCTTCTACTGCCAGACATTCTATTCCTGACTATTGTAATATACTACTTACGTCGACTAAATTGGCACACACATCACATCAACTGGCACCTCAGTTCCAGGCTCGTATTGTTGTCCTTAGAGTAGCACCTTTCTCCCTCCTCATTGTCAGTGACATCAAATGTAGTGAATGAGAATACAAGTGAGGACAATCGAATGTATTTAAAGGCAAAAATTACAGAGTCTCTTTGTAAAATCTAAGAGAACTATTCAGTAAATACTTCATTTGCAAAATATCGGTCAATTGTCTTACACTTCTTTTTTACTGCATTTCCATATTAATTATTTTCTGTTCGATCATTTTGCCAGACATCCTATTCGTGACTATATACTACTTATGTCGATATAAGTAGCACACACCACACTTTCAGTACTAAGACGTAGTTAAAAAAATTTTAACTAGAAAATTATTAGGACTTTATATAGTAATCCATTTACAAAATCTTAGAATTACTAAAAGGAGGCAATAGTTAATAGATACTAACTTCTAGTTTCAATCACTTAAACAATGAACACAACAATTGAACTCAAAACTCTATCAAAATCATCCATCTAAGCTACAAATCTTCTTCATCATCTTGAAATCATATGAATTCAAAACGTTCAAAGATAAAACATGAAAGATCTATGAGTTTGAAACTGAAAACTTTATGATGTCAACTCATATCAATCGAAGATTCAATACAATATACAATATAATTATCTGATTTTGTTACTGTTGGGGAGATAGAGAAAATTCCTCGGAAAAAGCCAAGAAAGGCTCTGAAAACACTGAGTAGCATATTATTCAATCAGCGTTCAATAGATGTTTTGCCAGAAACATTAGTTACTATTTTACTTCTTGGGACAACTGAAGTATTTATAGTTAATTCTGATTATATTAAAACTTGTGGAACCCATCATGATTTTATCCGTTTTGTTTATGAATAACATCCAGAAATTGTTGAACATTTGGATAATGAATATTTAATCTAATTTCTTTTACTTGTTTACTTTTTAATTCATTATTACCTAGCAACAATTTGAAGGGGAATGCTTACGTTTAATTTATAAAGTAAACACTGAATTATTTATAGAAATGTTCCTATTTATTAAGCATATAATGAGATAAAATCTTGGAGAATTAAAAAAAAAGTTAATTGTTTTTTGCACTAACTTAAAGCAGACACATCATGTACATTGAATAATCATTAAGTAGTTACCGATGCAATGTTTAGCTAATCATCGGTGCTGATCGAATAATACTGGTCACTTATCAGTATTGTGGTGTGTGCTACTTATAGTATATGGTGTTAGTCGTGAACAGAAGGTCTGGTAGCAGAGAGACAAGAGGATCGAACAGTAAAGAATCGAAACAGAATGCAATGCAAGGACAATGAATTCTAAGTTATTTTGAGACAATCGGTGGACATTTTGCAAGTTAAGCATTTACTTTATGATTGTTAGATTTTATTAACAAGTCTTGTAATTTTGTGTTAAATACATTCGATTGTCCTCACTCGTGTTCTGTTCACTACAGTATGATCTTTGTTCTAGATGATAAGCAATAACATGCAATTAGATGGTTAGAGAAAATTAGTAGGAATCATTAAATATTGGTTTGTTGGCACTTGATCCTGGTCAACATGGCATACCTACAATTTTAAATAAACCAATGCTTGACTTTTGTATTGTAATCCAAGTCATTCAACTTTACAATATGAAATTTCACTCGGCAGCGATTGATTTTTTGCATGACAGATATCTATATTTATTTATCATATAGTGGTAACTAAAATCAGTCAGCAGAAAACTGAGTTTCATCGAAATTAGCGGTACACTAAATTGGTGAATGTCAACTATCATGAATCATAAATTCAGAGTTTCCAACCAATTACTTTCAATCATCTAATAATATATAACTATCATCTATTTCATTAAGGAGATAACGTCCTAATAATATTATATAGCTGATCCGTTCTCCTGTAATTATCATTATTTAACATTATAAAGTACGCAAAATACTTCGGATCCGTTCTCCGTACACTATTAACAACAACCAACTGTGGGAAATAACAAACCAGATCCCAGCGGAGGAAGAAGTTAGGAAGAAGTGCTGGAAGTGGATAGGGTACACATTGAGGAGAGCACCCAACTGCGTCACAAGACAAGCCCTCACACGGAATACTCGAGGCCAAAGAAAAAAAACACATTACGCCGGGAAATGGTGATAGACATAAGAAAAATGAACAAGAATTGGATGGAACTAGAAAAGAAGGCCCAGGACAGAGTGGGTTGGAGAATGCTGATTGGCGGCCTATGCTCCATTAGGAGTAACAGGTAATGATATCATCACTCTCGTCAACTGACAAGATAGCTTTTCACTATCTCTTTAATGGAAATACATATTACTTGTGACTTTCTTTTTTTTGTTCATAATTAGTACGTCTTATTTTGTTAACCTTGAAAAATTTAGAATTTCAAAAAGTGAAAACAAGAGATTATGCAAAACTACGTGGATTCATCTCAAGTTTAGCTGTCAAAGGATCTCCATATCGATTATTTAGTCGAGGTAAGATTTTGTTTTAGAAAATAAGAACCTTACCATAAGTTATTCAATTTTTGATTAGTTATAACCTTACGACAACTAATATACGTATATAGTGATTTTATACAAACTATATTACTTTCTGTGGTTAAGGTCATGAGTTAGTTGAAGCTAGACCACCATGGAAAACCTGGGAGCACTGGACGGCCGTTTCTTCCTATGGTGGGACTCTTCAGCAGTGCGCATCCACGACCTCGCCCCCTTCGAGTGGTTTAGTGGTTAAGTGCTCACGCGCGAAACCAGTGGGTCCTGGAATCGAATCTCGATCAACCCCACAAAACCTACCTGATATATTACTTTCTATTATTTAGTAGCATAAGTGTTACTACAAAATTAGTGTAGTCTCGAATAATCATCATGTAAAATTAGTAGCACAAGAGAAAGAAGATCTAGTTTTATGTGACGATATTGTCTAGTTAGATAGTGATGGATTCTTGATTAAAACGCAATCAAAAAATTATACATATTTATATCATCAGTTGATTGACCAGTGTCATTTTTTTCTCGCCATTTAGTTACGACAAAAATCTATCGATCAAATTAAAATGTTGCTTTTAGTTTAACGTGGTGTGGACTATGCTTTGCTACTAACTGGTCGAAGTTAGTTACAAATTGTAATAGATAGATCCGAATCCCAAATGTCCATGTTGATTGAAGGTACACATTGCGGATAAATAACGACTGGTACGAAACATAAGTTAACATCATACCGACTACCTTTCAGTGTATAACATGTATGTGACCATTAAATGTGGATAACTCAAAATGGACAAAGTACCGTCATATTATGAAGTTTATTTCGGCAGACGTTTTTCAGTTATAAATAAAATTTTGATTGAATCAAACTGATCACTGTTTAGTAAATAAAATTTATTATGAACAAAATATCTCAAATGAATAATATTAAATACTAAGTCATATCATGCCCTCAAATGACCGCGTACGGTCGAGGATGGAGAGAGTTCACTCTCCAGATGCTCTCACATGGCCACACGTATATAACCACTTCCATGGAAGTCCTACTCACTCCCTTCTCACAGCACAGGTGTTGTTTACGAAATTGAGAGGACGAAAAGTGAATATCCGGTGCTTTAACCGGGTTGTTGGATACGGAGAGTTCACCTAGGACAGTTGGAAAACGCTGATTGCAAACCAACGGTGGGTATGGGTTCCAGGATCCTTATGGAACAAAAGGTGTATCAACTTGTTGTTGGCCACCGGTTACCATGGAACTAAATCTTCATGATTAATTATCATAGTCAATCGTAAAATAAATGTTTATTCATTCATTGTCATATTTTGTTTGTCTAAAATAAATAACTTGATCGCATGATTCCTAATTTAAAACTGCTTTTTTTATCTACTTTTCATGCATAAGGAAATAAACAGTCATTGATTACTGAGCCAGAGAAGAATAATATCGATGTATACGGCTTATTAAAAAAACATTGGACCACATTGTATTCAGCACATAGAATGACGTTGGTTGTGCAATCGAAAGGTAATTGTATACGAGGAGAACATATGTATATATATTGTAGATACGAGAGAATTTTGTTTAGCAAAGGTATATATTGACTGTTTCGAAAGCACTAATAAATATCAATATCTAGTCAATTAAACATGATTGCGAAAAATTAGATTAGTACTAGGGATTAGCCAATCATTACTCAGTACTCGAAAATGTCAAACTCGATGAAGTAGGTTAGTGGAAATGGATCTGACTGTAACATGTAAGGACTCTTATTTAGATCAAATAATGAATAGCAGTTTAATTAAGAATAAAGTTAAGCCATGTACATGACAGCTAACTTGTTGATCAAAAGCTTCCAAACACTTGTTCTCCATTGTCATAGTAGAATATTTATGGGTTAAGTCTAATCAGATTACATTCATTTTAAAGGATAAATTCAGTAATACTGTAAGTTGACCAAAAATAGTAATTTCAAATAATGAGTAAATGATTTTGGCCTACAGAAGTTGAACACATCATTTGTTCAAAGATGAATCTCAAAGCACAGTTGATAAGCTGTGCCATCATTACTTAATGGTAGTATATTAAGTTTCTCCAATGCTTTTTTCCATTCCTGTTAATATAACTATTCATTTCAATTTCAAAAGTAAACTTCTAATTTGTGAGAGTTTTCATGACAATCGTTTTCATTGCAATTTGAACAAAATCACAATCAAGTAGTTGTGCAATACACATCCTTGTTCTACGACAATCATTCTATGGTGATACTTTGGAAAACATGTTACCAGATATTATTCACAAACCCGAAGAAAAGAACTAAAAATATGTGTTCTAGGGAAGTGTCTAAGCTATTGTGCATAAAATAATCAGGTGTATTTATATAGTTCATTGATTGTTGAGCAGTATTACCAATGTCATATTTGTCTAATCGTTTAGTACTGACTAAAGTTTGCTAGTCAAACTGCAATATAACCATTGGTCTAAGTAAATCGACTTCTCATCCAATACGTTGAGAAGTTGAGTAGGTGAATGTATTCGAAAAAAAGTTACATTATATATACGTTTCATGATATCTGGCACGCCTCAGCATGAGGTATCTTTCATCTCGATGAAGATGATGTATCCTGTGGGATTCGAATCTATTCCATTCAGTTTCACAATCTGAGAGGAGTGCCAAATATCACGAATCGTAAGTCTAAATTTTTTTAATGACTACCTTTAACCACTTAACAATAATTTTATAACTTCAACTACAGATATACTTGTTTGGTCGAATAATTACGAACAATATATGAATGGTAAAAACTAAGTTGGTACAAATTACTGAGGTGAAACTAAAATTTGTGAACGGCATTCGAGCGATGCTTAAGGGATCTTGAGAATGTTCACCTACTTACTAGGTTTAAATAAGGATTATAAATTAATATGAGGAATTATGAATAGAATTTAAAGTTGGACTTTGAGGTTAAGAATTATGGTTAGGCTTTTCATCATGAACTGACATAAGTTATAATGCCAATACGCTAGTTAGCTATATGGATGCACAAATTTTGCGCAAAAATTTAATAGGTGCTAACCTAAAGCTGATTGGTTCGCCCATAAATTACAATCTCACCGTTACAGATTGTACAAACTATGCAATTAGTTACTGAAAATTATTAAAATAAACGCAACTTATATTTTCTTTTATGAAAACATCTATGTAAGTAGTTCTGATTGTGATGCGCCGAAGATTTTTAATAGAAGGCAGTAGTTTACATAAACGTAAAGATTTTATGAATTGACATGGGATTGTCTGATTGTATTTACATATAAATCCTTTATACTTACAGATTCTTTGAACAAAATGGAGAGAATTGTTCGAGAGAACTTTTCAAATATACCTGCAAAGTTAGTAAATTTTTAACTATATTTGAGTAATCAATTTTTCAGTTTTTATTTATCCTTAAAGGAGTTAAACAAAATTATACCAGATAACTCTATGGTAATATTCCGATAGTTGTTACAACCTAGAATCATTGGAACAAACTAATATAAACGCTCTGAATTTACCTGATAATTAATACCAGATAATATTTTTATAATAAGCGTTCGGTATTAACTCATAATATTCACTATCCATTATAACAGCGAACAGGTGAAATAAATGTATATCATCCAGTGTTCTATTGAATGTTGTGGAATTGATTTTAGTGGTCTCCTCTCAGATCAAGAACACGTGATTAACTTGACTAGAACATAAATATATTTCCACACCAACAGCCAACAACAGTCCGACACAATAGGACAACAGTCAATCATAATAAGGATAGAAGAATATATAACTCATCTAACGCCTGTTAGATTACCTAGAAGTCTGGCTATGTAAATAACCAATTATTATCATTCTCATCCACACATCAGAGTCAAGCTGAGTCTGTTAGCGATTGATCAACAAAGTTCTATATCTCGATATTTGGGGTTATCTACGGGTTTGCAGTACTTGAGGAATTAGCAGCGATCGAGCTACTCTACTGCTACTGGTTCGATTGCGTAAACAACATTCCAACATATGACCCCTAACACAGGCTGAAGATAAATTGTAAAAATACTTGGTCTTCGAGTTAAGACAACCAGTACACCTAGGTACATATAATAACGAAAAATGATAGATAATCAAGCAGGTATTCAGTGAACTAAAAGCCATAGAAATCAATCATAAAAACGAAAAAAGTCATGAAGAATGTTAAATTAATGGAAAAAGTCTCTTGCGGTTATAATTTCCTGTGAAAGTTTAGCATTGTTAATAAAATTTAAGTAAAGAGTTTTAACACAAAGTGGATCACTTACCACTAGAAAGTATGATAAACAAGTTATTTTACCTTAAAATAAATCGATCATGAAAAGCAGCAGAGTTCAGGATGCATGCTTCATCCTATATACAATTGGCTAGCTAAGTTTACATGTAACCCGTTAGGGATTTTCACACTGAAACTTGAATCTACTACCTGTCAATTCAGACAGAAGAATAGTATACACTGAAATACTGAATCTAGTTATCCATCAATTCATTCAGGAGATATTATAATATTTATATAATAATTAGTAGTGGTTTGAATTATTCCTTAGTTAATATTTAAGCCAGTCTATTCTAAGACTTTTGACAAAATGACCATACTAAAACAACTTGTATATGCTGCACTATGATTTATCGGAATTCTGTCCCTACTATTACTAACGATAAAGTTCACTTGTTTACCAGTAATTTAATGTTCATTCTTAACAGTTTTACCAATAAGTGGTGATCGACATAATCACATTCATCAACTGCTGTTTTGTACAACTATAATCTAATGAGTTCTAGGTGCGAAACCTTAGATACTTTGAATTTGAATAGGTGATCACTATTATTAAGCTTTACATGTAAAGTTTAAACCAAAGATGGGTACATGAATCTGCAAATGGACTAGGATTATCTTAGCGTTTAATTTAGCACACAGAAAGCCAAGACTTTAATAATAACAAGTAAAGATAATGTAATGAAATAAACCAGTGGAATTAGTAAACAGTGTTCTATCATTTAAATTTTATAATGATTAATTTTCAAGCAAGTGTATGAATGTGATCAACAATTAGATAAGTATTCATATAAAACTGGCTAATTCTGTGTGACGCGGCTATAGTTACTTAGATTATTATTATTATTATTAGTAGTAGTAGTAGTAGTAGCTTTACATTTTTTGTACAGTATAGAATTCTCAACAAAAAGTATTTCAACAAATTTACGTTTCTTATTTCTTGATCGATCCTGATGATAAATGTTGAGTGATCGCCAATTAGATGTTAGCGGTTTACAAATCGACATCTGAATAATGTACATTCATTTCAATACATACTGCTAGCAACCACAATGTCTCTGATTGTTCTCGTTCCTAACTTGTACAGTAAAAGATCGTGAACTTTTCATAAACGTATCTGAATAGGTTGTGTAATTAATTGACATAATGATCTGTTGAAACAAATCAAAGACAGATAGATTGTCGAAATATATCTAGATGGGAGGAACAGCTAGATCAGATATTCAACCACGCCCCCAATATATTTGTGAAACATCTTAGTAATGTGCTTTAAATGTTGAGTTTTTTCAGTCATTACCTAATTGCTTAAAGAACAGTATTATCTTTTTAAATATTTTGTTTTTCTATTACCTTTGAGTGATGATAAATGTAAATGGTAATTTTTATCATTCATAGTCGATCAGTGAAAATAGATTTGACAAGATATAGAAACAGTTTTGATTCACCAGAATTCTTAAAATTATACCATGGTAAGTCAGTGTAATAATTATATATATATACATCATAAATTCAATTATTAAATTACTAAAATCTCCACAAAACCTCCTTCTGATAATAATCATCATCTGCTAACTAGTGACTGGCTTCAAGAGGTATTTCCTAGAGTTCTATTGAGAAGCCGTGACTAGTGCAATTTAACCAGATGTTCTGGGAGATAGTAACTCACTGATGGCAATGGTAGATGGTGTCGCAATTTAACGGATTGGCTGAAGTTAGACATTAACACCGTTGGATGGCGACTCACTGATCTTGAGGCTAAGCTTTCGCGCACAAAATCGACAGGTTCTGGGTCCGGACCTCGTGGGGCGGGATCGTGGATGTGCACTGTTGAGTAGTACTAGGTCGAAACGGCCGTCCAGTGCTTCCATATTTCCATGGTAGTCTAGCTTTAATTGACTCATGAATCCAACTATTAAATTATTAAATTCCCCACAAAAATCCCTTCTGATGATATATATATGTTAAATTACTTATCATTATGATGTTTACAGTATTTAGTAGATGTCAATTAAATGGAATTGTGAAAAAACTGTGCTACATTTGATTGTCTATCGAAATATACCAGAAAGTGTATGAGCTCGACTACATTTTGCAATTATAATGCTACATTTATTCAGCACCATATATCTGAATACAGTAAAGGATTCTTAGCATAATCATCACAAAATCCTAGTTATATAAGTACATAACTTGCTAATACACAATATATACATAATATTATCTATTACACTTACTTACGCCTGTTATCCTTCGTGAAGGACCATAGGCTCCCCACCAGCGCTCTTCTTCCAACACTGTCCTGGACAATCCTTTCCAGTTCTTTCCAGTCGCTATACACACTTTCCATACCTACTCCCATTTACCGACGTAGTGTGTTCTTTGACCTTCGCTTTGCACGTGATGCAGTTTGGAGATCTCCGTATTGTATGTCTCATCCACTTCCAAAATCTCTTCCTAATTTTCTCTTCAGCTGGAAGTTGATTTGCTCTCTCCCACAGAATGGTGCTGCTGATGATATCCGGCCAACGGATTTTTAATATCTTGTATAGAAACAGCGATTATGAGCCATTAATTATTTTTTAGAACCATTCTTACCCTCATGATATTTCTTTCTATGTCCAAATATATTTGGTGTATAAATTGTGTAGTGATCACTCCTTGTTTCTCTAAATGAAAGATGAGAAGAATTTATGAATCACATTGATGATACTTCTTCAGTTTCTTGGTAATCAGATTCGTAATAGGCTGCAAATGTTTTCTGAAGACCATTATGGAACAAGTTGAATTTTTAAAACTTAATTAACACAAAGGGTTGAAAACTAGCTACATTTGGTTATTACATAATCTGTAAAACTTTATAAGAGGACGGAATATGTTTTACAGAAAAAATATGTCTGAAGTATGCAAATATGTATTCATCACTTTTAGTTGTGAAACTATAGTTACGATTGTCGGGATGAGTTGTAAAGATTGTTCAATTCTACTGAAATCACTGGAAGATGCTCCGTCTTAGCTTGAAACTCACCACTAGCGCAAATCGACAACCGCACACCCGGGGTCGGATCCAGAATCCTCGAACATTTAAATCTCTAGACTATTGAATCGGGACTCAATGGTGTGATGGTGAAATCCACACTTACCAGTTTAAAACTACAAAGGCGAATTTCATAAGATTACTAAAATTAAATAGAAGCAAGTTTCATCCAGTTTGAAACTTGTAATTTTGAACGCAACTCTACTTCAGTGTTGATGTTCACTATGGAATTCAAGCCCAATATCCATCGCTTTTAACAATGACGCATTACCAACTGATCCACTGAGTGTAAATAGACCCTATCCTATATAATGTATAGACTGTTCTTATCATTATCAGTATGGTATGAATTCATTCATAATCATTGTTTCTAATGAATAAATATTCATTATATAATGGTTACATATTGTGATACATCAGATAAAATTCGTTACACTTTAATTAAAAAATAATAATGATATTAATTGCAATTAAACTACCATTTTATCTTTCCTCCTTCATTTGACAAATATTTACCATTCAGTTGATAGTACTCGAAATAAGGAACAATTACGTATGGTTTGGGCTGTACCAAGTGTTTGTACATTGTATGAGTAAGTGTAAATTGTCTATATAGATATGCTCTGGTTAATTTGTTTAAATGTTTAGATTTTTAGAAGAACATCAGTTCTTTTTGAAGATGACAAATACACTTTGTTAGTAAATGCCAATTCATATACAACGGAAAGACTGAATTCATTAGATTCAAACACTTTTTATGTTTATGTTTATGAATATGTAGTTATAGTTCAAGTGTATTATCGTACATGTTTGAGCTGAAAGGGCATAATTCACTCTTATATTTACTACAATACTACAATTTACGATGAAATATTAACTAAGATGTGTGAGGACGGTTCACAGGTGAACTTGAGAAAGCTCCAGGAAGCTCAGAAAGTGCCAAAGGTATTACATCTAATCATCTTTTAGAAGAATAACCCAGAATCCCTACATGTAGCTTCCCTATTGGACAAAAGCTAATAACCCCCTGTATGCGGATTGGAGGACTTTAATAATGATTTCATTTTAACTAAAAACTATAAATAATTGAAAGTCCTGTACCATAAATGAAATTGTTTCGGAATAGCATTTCTTTCACTTGTCGTCTGTCTTCTCACTCATGACTTGGTGGGTCCTAGCGTTCGAGTGATCTAGTTTTACGCAGTATAATTAGAAACTAAGCTCTAGATATAATAATTGGCGGCAGGGTTAACTTATCAAGATGACACAGATTATCGTCATTTTTAGAATTTTTGGAGTTATTTATTAACTTCGTAATTCTAAATAATGTTATCCTCTTACTGATAAATATTTTTACTAATGCGCCTAAACTATCTTTCTGGACGTTTCATGTAACTGCAGGTACTCCTACACGTCAACTAGAATAATAGAGCGAAGGCGCGAATTGTGAATACAAGATTTACTTCAAAGTAATTTTATAAACAGAAAAAACCCAGAGTATTCGTATAGTTATACATGATCATAAGATTTGGGAAATTTCTGTCACCACACTAAATATGGTAGCAGAATATGTTAATATTCAATCAAAATCTTAACAAATGATTCTGCATTTTCTGAATGTTTCTGAGAAGCTTCTATATTCAACGGTAATTTCTGGATCTTAAAATGTTTTGACAAATGATACTCTGAGATTCCTTCAACAGATATCTTCCATCACTTACTAAGTGTATTAATTACTCAGGGTTTAAGATCTTAATTCTTTAACTACTATCAAAGAATAGTATGACTGAAGGTATTAATGGCCAATGATACTTATGTTTATTTATGACACAGAATAAGTAAAATATTTTGTGTACGTATGATTTTCAATTGTGTATATGAAAATTATTCATGGTACCAATATTACTGTTGGATAAGATCAAAGTACAAATGTGAATGGTAAATGCTAGGAATTATTTATGGACTATTATGACATATATTTTTATTGGGGAATTAATAAATAACTACATTATATATACTTACGCCCGTTACTCCCAATGGAACATAGGCCGCTGAACAGCATTCTCAAACCCAATCTATCCTGGGCCTTCCTTTCCAGTTCTCTCCAATTTTTGTTCACTTATTTTTATCATGTCTGTCTCCATTTCTCGGCGTAATGTGTTCTTGGATCTTCATCTTTACCTTTGGCCTCCATGATTCCGTGTGAGCACTTGTCTTGTGACGCAGTTGTGTGCTTTCCTCAATATGTGTCCTATCCACTTCCAGAGCTTCTTCGTCCTGATGATGGGTTTCATAGTGCTCCAGGTTTCCGCCCCAATAGACAGTAGAATTGTCTTGACATTTATATTGAAGATTCTGACTTGGGTGTTGGTTGACAGTTGTTTCGAGTTCCAAGTTTATATATATATTCCTTTTATCATACGCTTTCATTCCACCTATTGTTTATCATTCTTAATTCTTCCCAATCTATTAGTTACAATCACCTATACTCACAGCCACTTTTGTCTTGATCTTGTATAATTATTATCTTTCATTTTATGATATGATACGATCTCGTCTGCTTGTATATAAATCGCGTATATCTGAACTATACAATTTATATAGCGGAGGCTGATATTTGTATTCTGAACTAAACGGTCCAGGTTAGGTGAGAAGCTACTATACAGACGGCTAATAAGGATACACAGTGACATCAAGGCTTCTAGTACTGATTGACATATCATTTGTTTATGACAAGGACGGTAGCGTATTTTGTGATCTTAATTCTGAATGATTAATGCAGTGGTTAATATCTTTTAAGACTGTAATGTGATAGTAGTTACTGATCTATGAAAGACCGCTTTGTCCTTCTCAATAGTGCTTATCCATGATCCCACAATCTAGGGCTCTAACCTGAAATTTATAATATTCAGCTCAAATGCTTAACTTCTAGATCCATAATGAATTCATTCAATATAGATTTCATTTTATTTTAAAAAATGAATAAATTAACAAGTTATTTATTCTTCATGAAATACTTCAAGTACCTTGTTCAATGTGATTTTCATTTTAATAAAACAACAACAACAAAACACACACACACACAAAAACCGAATAATTATTCATTCTACCATTTCATGACAAGAAAAACAAAAAAGAAACATACCACTTTGAAATGTTTCACTTCAATTTAATGATTTTTCTTTTCATGTATTCCCACTTGATGTTTTGGAATAGATCTATGCCAAGTTCCATATACATATGTATATTTGCATATTTTTGTATTCTATCCATATAACTATTCATATAGTTACAAATTGACATTCATATATGCACATTCATGTATTCACTGTAAAATTTGGAACAATGTTTTTATGAATGAAAGAATGAATTCATTATTTTATAAGTTTGAATAGTTGAGATTATGAGTTCATTGAAGCTAGAATAGTATTGGAAAATCTGGAAATACTGGACTGTCATTTTATCCCATGATGGTCTAACTTCAATTGACTTATGATTACAACTATTCAAATTATTACAATCTTCATAAAACCTTTTCGGATATTTTAGAAGTTTCTGATTGAGATCATGAACCGATTGATGTTAGACCACCTTTGGAAACCTGGAAGCACTGGACGGCCGTTTCGTCCTATAGTGGGACTCCTCAGCAGTGCGCATTCACGACCCTGCTCGCGAGATTCGATTCATGATCTCAATCAAAAAGTTAATACTCTCCACAATCCCTATACTAGTATTTTAGAAGTGTCAATATATTTATAACTTATCTGTTTTATTCATTGAATATTGTTTAATTGGATCTTTCAATTATTGTTTAGGATTATAATTAATCAGTCTCTTATTGGTATATGTACAACTTGTACGAATTGCCTCGATATAGGTTTCGAATCACAAGCATTCTAAGAAAAGATGGATAGTAGCTAGTGATAGAATCGAGGACACACGTTTTGTCCTATTTGTGACTCCTCAGCTGGATGTATATGCATCTTGAAATTGATGTGTCACTCTGGGACTTGAACCCAATGCTATTCACTTCAAACGTCATCCACTTAGTTATTGAATTTTGATAGCTACTTACTTGTGCAATAGGGTGAAGTTTTAAATTCACTTGATGTTGTTTACTTATATCTAGCCATTATTATTTAGGACTAAAATGGATCAGTCTCTTGTTGATATGTGTGCAACTTGTGCGGATTGCCGCAATATTGCCTTAAGTCACAAGCTATATAAGCAAAGATAACATATAAAATAGAAAACTACTTATTTGTAAACTGTGGAATTTATGAGAAACTTCATAGATTATAATGTTCAATTAAATATAATAGAAATGATTATATATAAATACATAGTAAATTAATTGGCTTTCATTGTTACTAATCAAGTTAGGCACTTTCAACATCTTTGTTATTTCACTAAAATCGAAGACAGAAAATTGTTATAACTTGTAAACCTGTGTACCCTGTTTATTGTATAACGCAACGATACCGTCAATCAGAGAGCAGCGAACTATCGACCGAACCAGTGAAGCATAAAACATGTGAGAGCAGCCTAGAGTCATGAATGGCCCTGCTTCCTGCCTAGCCCAGCCAGTAAAGTCCAGAACACAAGTATCAGCCTCTGCGATATGAATCATTGTGTTTCAAACATACTGAGTTTATATACCAACCAAACAGACCACAACGTACCAATATAATATGAAACAACATTTGTACAAGAATTAGCCAGATTTGGCTGTGAATGAGGGAGGCAGTGACTAATAGACAGGGAATAATTCAAGAATGGAAAATCGTACAATAACAGTTTATAGGTTAAAATAAAGCTTATGATAAGAGAGACATGAATATGAATAGTTTACTTACATAACAATCATACGATAAAAATATACTCATAGTATTGGTCCATAAATGGATCCCAAAAAAACTACCATTCATGATTCTTATTGGGATATAACAAAAATCTCTACAGAATCTTAATAGAAGATCATCAGTTCGATTAAACATGGAATGGTCAGTTGGAAATAAAAGAAAACTAAAGTGATATCTGATTTCAATGATTTTACAACATAAAAAGACATGTAGTTATTTACATTTTGAAAAACGAATATATTCACTTTGTAAAACTTCGTATTTTATTGAATTTGAGTTCATGTGTTAATGTGAATATTGGGATCCAACTACAACTACTTAATAACTTCAAAATAGGACAAAATACACTGTCATTGTTAAATACCATCTGTCATTATCAAAGAATATACAGAGAACTGTTATATCCTATTTGAAACTCATCAACTAGTTGTATTTACATTCCAGAGTTGATGTTCACTCCGAGACTAAATTTCAAGAATAGTTTTATTAACTGACGACTAACTAAACTATCTACATTCTTGTGTATGTCATCAAAACCTTATATGTTTATTATTTTAGATCAAATCCAGTTGCTGTGCTTGCATATTTTCTAAGTGATAAACATCCATATGGTCTTGAAAATTACCTTAAAAATAAGTGAGTGAATAATAACTAATTCAATTACATCTTTTGTACATTATGAGTTAAATCCATACTTATTTGGAATAACGCTAGTATTTTTCCTGATATTAATGGAATATTAAATTGCTTAGTGTTGTGTCTTGTCGATTGCAGATTAGACGCGCAGCGTATTTATCGATCGGATCAATGACACGTAAAACACGCACGAACGACCTAGAGTCCCGATTGGCCCTGCTTCCCTGCCTAGCCCAGCCAGTTGAGTCCAGAACGCAAGTCTCAGCCTCTGAGATATGGATCATTATATTTCAGACATACTCTGTTTATATACCAACCAAACAGACCACATCGTACCATAAAATAAAAAACAACATTTGTACAATATTTAACAAGTGAATATAAATATTGACCAATAGGGAATGTCCATTTAAAGTCCAAGGACACCATTAGATTTAACATGATAATTATTGGCATATTTCTCTGAATATCCCAACACTTAGGCTAATAATGAATGATTTATTTACGTATACAATCACTTGCACTATGCTAGACACCCAGCCAACAAACACTTTACCATCTTTCAACACAATTCATGATGGGAACACATAATTCACATGACTAGTTCGTGTATTAATCAATTATGACATCGAAATCACGAACCGATCAAAGTTAAAGTATCAGTGAAAACCTAGAAGCACAGGGCGACCGTTTAGTCTTAATGTGGGACTACTCGGCAGTGCAGATCCATTATTACGCTCATCAAGATCTAACTTAGGACGTTTGGTGCCGCTTGCAATCACCTGATTTCTATGCTACTGGACCGGCATCTAACAGTGTTAATGCCTAACCTCAATCAACTTACAATGTTGAACGGGCATATTGCATTGCCTCACACTCAACATGGTTAAACTCTACTGGTCACGGCTTATCACTAGAATTTCGGAAGTTTCCTCTCAAAGGTAATCGCTAGTGAACACATGACAATTTTCAAAGATAGTTTTTACTCGTTTAAAACTGAATGATCTATTTACGTGTATAGATTTTTAAAAAAGTACTCAAAATAATTATTAAAGAACATTAGATGGTGTATTAACTGTAAGTCATTGTGTTATCAGTCGAATAAGCTTAGTAGTTAAACTGTAAAACGTGGTTTTTATAGTCTGTAAGAAATCACACATAGCAGGATGGTAAAGGTTACTATGATGTAACCTTTTGAAGTAAACTTTCGTTTGAAATGTGTGATTTAGGTCTAAACATGCATAATTTACCAGTAGAAATATTTAATGTACCTTTGAAACTATCGTTCAACTAAAATCACCGGCTAATTTCCCCAAAAATATGGCTATCCAATATAGACATGGTTTCAGTATTGTCGTGAACGAATACTCACCTGGGGAATACCAATTTATTGTTTACAACAACATTAGTCTCTGTAAATTATGGAAACCATACATTAGATACTTCATTTACACATCTTCCATCAGTTGTCATTTACACGCTTCATGATTTTTCCAACTCTGTTTTCATTCTATTTCTTTTCATCTTTTGGTTCTTTTCAGTTCAATCTTCTCAATCTTCTTTTAACAAGCATTCCACTTACTTTTAGTGTTACACGCTACGTATATTTATCAACATCAATAGCAGACTCCACACTTGTTCCCCTTTTAAACAGTCGCCCCTGAGGCTGCTCTGACCTCCATGCTACTTTCTTCCCTACCACAGTCTGTGTCACTCTCCTCGTCAACGTGTCGAGTCTGCCGTCGCGCTCACCTTCGTAGCTCCGACGACATGCCGTACCATCTAAATTCGATGTCCGCCCAGTAGCCGCACATCCCACTGATTCTATTCATCTCTAACAACTGCTACAATCAACGCCTTCGCGCCAGAGCACTCCATACTTATGTCTGTTGAAATAAGTATCATACACCACAATCGCAACTAACTTCGTTAAATATTTAACAGTTTGAATAGCAGTCAGTATCAATATACGGAATAAATATGAGGGTCTACTTAATTTTCATATTGCTAGTAGATTAACTGTCTAGTTTATTGTTTTTGTTTTGTAACAATATGGTCACTATAATTTAGTGGCAAGTGATCTGACTAGCGTAAACGAATAATCCATGAACATAAACTTACTTCTTGATTTCATATATTCCACTTAGGCTAACACGGTTTAAGCAACCGCAGTAAAAAGAAGCTGAATATAATTAAGTTGGTTGAATTTACTTTAGCTACACTTTTACTCAGACTGACGTTAAGATAACAAAAAAGAAAACGACGCGTCAACTTAGTGATATGGTATTTGTTTCTTAGCAACTTCAACTGTTAATAAACGTATATGAAACTAGCTTAACAAAACAGTTTAGGTACAAACACTAAAACGGATTAATGGAGGTTGTTAAATTCCAATGTTCGCATCACAGACCAATCAAATTTAGACAACCAGTTAAAACTAGGAATCACTAGACAGTTATTTCGCCTTAGTATGGAACTGCTCAGCAGTACATAATTACGACCCAAGATATGTAGGTCTCACGAAGAGTGTTTAATCTTTAAAAAAAACTGAGTCACCGAAACACTGTGAAGTTTCATACAATGACGAAGAAGCTTTCCAGTGCTCCCTGATTTTCGATAGTGATATAACTAAACTCAGTTCCTGGTGTAAATTATAATATAAAGTATGAGTTTAAAAAAACATCAAGGTATGTGTTTTCTTAATAATATTAATGACATAAGCTACCGATATTAACAATTAATCATTTAGTAGACTCCAGATACTAAGTCAGTTTTAAGTCAAAAGTAGAACATGTGACAGGCAAAATTAATTGTTTTCATGTATCAACGATGAAATGGCGCCGGTAATTTTTGAAAGTATGTAAACGTATAATTAAGATGAACCATTATTTTTGAATTTCATCGAAATCATTAATCGATCAATGATAAACCACCATTGAAAATCTGGAGGCCCTGGACAGCCATTTCGTCCTAATATGGGACTCCTTAGCACTGTGAATCCGCGATCTCCCGCGCGACCTCTTAACCCCTATACCACTAAGCCGTGTGGAGTTGAACCGTGTCGGGTGTGAGGCAGTTATCCACCGAAGACAATAGAAGATTGTCGCGCGACATCGTCAGGTGCCGACTTAGTTGTCTAAAGTTTAAGTACTCGTGCTGGCGAGACAGAAGGCTTTGTGTTCGAGTCCCTCTCTAGATGTGCACTGCTTAGCAGTTCAATATTTAGACGGAATGACTATCCAGTGCGTCCGGGGTTTCAATTGTGGTCTATTATTGATCGGTTCACGATTTCAATGAAATTCAGTAATCTTGACAACCCTGAACTAAAGATCCTCTTTGATTCGATGAGCCACAAAAGTGTCATATTAATATCTACAACGAAAATTTATGGAAATGATGATGATTTATCAGTTGTATTATGAATAATTGAATTACTTTACATTGCCAACACAGTACATAACATCATAAAAAAGATATATTGCTCGGATTGGTATTTAACATTTTATTCATCAAAACGTGTTGAATTATGCCGCAGAATTCTTAACAGAAAGAATCCAATTTTACCACAAATCTCACACTCTTATACTCATTAAACTTTAAAATACTTAAAATAACGTAAATAGAAATGTTTCTTAACATTGATTATTACTTGCTATTTTTATTCATCCTCAAGGAATCTCTCCAGCATTTCTGTCATTCGAATAATAGAGCTACTACCTGAATTTCATTATAATTTCTTTTCATCTCATCAAAAGATAAAAGGAGAGGAATAGTGACAAAGTCACAGACACAAACAAATACTTACTAATCCCTCATGTAGAAGCATAGGCTACCCACTAGCGTTCTCCATCCAACTTTGTTTTGAACAATCCTTTGCAGTTGTTATTCATCCTCTTGATATCTGCTTCCCAACCTGAATAAAAAGAAAAAAAATCGTCAAGAGACCATCATGGGAAGCCTGGAAGAACTGGACGGCCATTTCGTCCAATTTTGTAACTCCTCAAAAGTGCGCGTCCACGATCTCGCCCCCCGCGGGATTCGAACCCATGACCTACAGGTCTCGTGCGCGAGCGCTTAGTCACTAGACCACTGAGCCCGCATCCAACGGTGTTAATGTCTAACTTCAACTAATCCACGAAATTGAGCAAAACATCCACCAATGTTTTTAGTGAATCACTATCTCACAACAGACCCTGTTGAATTCCACTGGTCACTGCTTCACACTAGAACTCCAGGAAATATCTCATGAAGCTAGTCACTAATGAGCATATGTTGATTCATATCAGAAGGGGGTTTTGTGAATATTATATTAATTTCAATAGTTGACATCATAAATCAATCATTATGTACATATTGTTTACATAATATAACAATAGATAAGCTTAACTATCAAATCAGTCTTTAATATCTCTATTTCTACAATTTAAACTTTACTATTATAACATTATTTTCATTGTTTTATTACTTTGTAACCCAATTTTATTCAATCATTAATAGTCATTTAGCTACAGAAGTAAAATGTGAATTTTCTGCAATGTCCGATTTTGATAATTCAACAATTTGTGCTTTAATTACCATTTGTATTGATTTAAATGGAACACGTCCTGATCTATTCAAAGTAAGTTTTTTTTTTGTGATGGAAAATCTAGTTGTTATTCCACCAGAACAGTTGAAATATCAAGTGCTTGTACATTAAAAACGTTAGATGTGGTATTATTGATTCCTTTGAAATAGCGTAGAGATCAGTGTGCTAAGGGTAATTTTAATTCAACTATATTTTATCTCAGTGTATTATCAAGGATAAATGTGTTAAGGAATGACTTTTTGAATGGAGTTTTAAAGATTGTAAAAACTTAGTGATTTCAAATATCATAAGTACTCAGTTATCAGCTTAATGAATAATGTAGAATTTGAACATTGTTCAACAGATGGTGGTATTTGTCACAAGCTGATCAAAACTAAGGTATCCATGAATACTGGGGTGCATTGTTATGTTAAATGACGATTCATTACACAAACACCTGAAATATTTATGATTTACGGCAAATGAGTAACCACTAACTTATTGGATTCAGGTCTAATGGTACCTATTTCCAACTTAAAGGAACCTGTGACAGGTGACTACTGTTTTGTATAAATGGCCCTTGAACGGGTTTTAAGTGCTTAGTTTAAAAGAGCATAACTAGGGCAAAATAACTGTCTAGTACTTCTCAATTTAGATCATTCAGTGACAAATGCTTCATATGAGGTAAAATGATCTTCATAATTCATCGAACAATGTTAATTTATGTGGTAATCAGTAAACAATAGAGATCACGATGATTACATTGTAAAAGGCAATTACATTTCAGGTCAAAATTGAAATAACCTCTCAATAGAGGTCCTATGAATAATCTATTGTAGTAATGTAGTATAATAAATTGCAGTATACGTAACTCTTTATAATTGCCACTTCGATTTTGACCAAATGCATCATTACCTTTCTTGACGCAAAAATCGATGCTAATAAATGGAAGTTCATATAAATTGTGAAGATCCAAATGATGTATAAATCGGATTATTAACCCCTAATAATAATCAGTATATATATACAATAATAAGATGTGTACTATTGCTTCATTTATTAGTAATGTGGTGTGTCCTACTGATGTCGACAAATATACGTAGTATGTATCATTAATCGGAAATGAAATGCTTGAATGCAGAAAGTTAAGAAGATCAAACAAAAAAGTACAGGAATAATGAATACTTTTTGTGGAAACGAAAGAATAATGAACTCTGTTATTTTATAAATGAAGTATTTACTACATGCTTCTTAGATTTTAGTAAGATGTCCCGTAATTTCGTGTTCAAATACCTTCGATTGACCCTACTTATGTTCTTAATCACTACAGTAATATAAGACTTTATCAACTAATGGATAAGTATTTTCAATGGTTGAGATCATGAGTCAGTTGAAGCCAGACCACTGTGGAAAACCTGAAAGCACTGGACGGCCGTTTCATCATAACAAGGGACTCCTCAGCGGTGCGCATCCACGACCTCTTCTCGCGGGATTCGTACCCAGGACCGGGTCAGTTGTGAGGTAGTAACCCACTGATGATAATGGTGGATTTGTCGCTCAATTTCGTGGATTGATTAAAGTTAGACATTAACACCGTTGGATGCCGGCTCAGTGGTCTAGTTGGTTAAGCACCGATGGGTCCTGGGTTTGAATCTCGCGAGGCGGGGTCGTGGATACGCACTACTGAGTAGTCCCACGATAGGACGAAACAGCCGTCTAGTACTTCCAGCTTTTCCATGATCATCTAACTTCAATTGACTTATAAATTCAACCATATATATATATATATATATATATATGTAAAAGTGGTAAAATCTTTACATAACCCCACTTCACCCCTTCACATAATAATTTCTTATTTCGTTTAGATTACAAAAATTGTTTATGAATATTTACGATTTTTATCGAATAAAGCAAATGATGCATGTATAAATAAAAACTCTGAAGAATACATTCATAATACTACTACTACTAATAATAGTAGTAGTAATAATACTGCTAATATTAAATCAACATTTGATTCATGTGTAAGAGATTTTCAATTAACTCAAAAAGAAACATTTCAATGTCGTACAATATTTGGACCACAAGAAACTGTTATATGGATTGCTACAATGTTACACCATACATTACCACAAGATGTACATTCAGCATATTTAATTATAAAAACACTTGATATTCAGGTAAGACTAATGATAATAAAGTACTATTAGGTAACATTAACTATTGAATAGTAAATATCCATAATCCTACCAGAGAATGAATTCAGTAAATTGAGTATTTTTAGTGAGTTCTCCTGTTACTCCTCGTGGTGGAGCATAGGTCGCCCATCAGCAATCGTCATCCAACCCTGTCCTAGGCAATCCTTTTCAGTTGTTATTCATTCTGCTCGTATCTGTTTTTATTTCTCAACATAATGTGTTCTTTAGCCTTTCTTTTCTCTGTTTTCCTTCAGAATTCCTAGTTATCTTTTAACTTGTAACATTATACAATAATTTTCCAGTATCATAGGTGATGTCTATAATTTTTTGATGATAAGATTAAACTTTATCTGTTAGGGTTTCTTTTTAAGAAAATGATTATTATGTGCACTAATGCTCTATAGATATATATTTGATTTGAAGTAAGGTTCAATCAAATACCTTTGAAATGATGAAAAAAGTTTATATGACTTATTAACAAACTCAAAACAACTGAAATACTTATGTCATTTAGTGCAATAAAATTACCTATCGAATAATTCACATCGAGTATTACTTACTCTCAACCTTTCTCTTTCTCCTGGTGATCGAATGGATCATAAAGACGTCAACATCTGAGCGGAAGCACGAGATACAATTGACAGTTAGGATGAAGCTGCACGATCTGGACTCCGGCTATTCTATCGCACACGTAAAAACAAATGCAGGAGAAGACAACCAGTGTAGCAACAGCCTCAGAATCCGTAGGTCTCAATATACACAGAGATAAAAAACAAAATTCTCAGATACAGCATAACAAGTACCAATCCAATCACACTCGACGGAGAAGATTTGGAAAATGCAAAAACTTTTACATGTCTGGGCAGCATAATTGATAAACACGGTGGATGCGATGCAAATTTGAAGGCACGGATCGACAAAGCAAGAGCAGCATATCTATAAATGAAGAATATCTGGAACTCAAAACAACTGTCAACCAACACCAATGTCAGAATTTTCAGTACAAATGACAATTCTACTGTATGTGGCGGAATCCCGGTGAACTACGAAAGCCATCATACACAAGTTACAGGTGTTTAATAACAGTTGTCTACGCAAAATACTTCGGATCCGTTGACCAGGCACTATCAGCAACAGTCTATTGTGGGAGAGAACACACCAGATCCCAGTGAAGGAAGAAATCAGGAAGAAGTGCTGGAAGTTTATAGGACAAACGTTAGGGAAAGCATTCACCTGCGTCACATGGCAAGTCCTCACATGGAATCGTCAAGGCCAAAGGAGAAGAGGAAGACCAAAGAACACATTACACCGAAAAATGGAGACAGACATGAGAAGAATGAACAAAAATTGAATAGAACTAGAAAGGACGTTCCAGGACAGATTGGGTTGAAGAATGCTGGTCGGCGGCCTTTTCTCCATTGTGATTAACAGGTGTAAGTATGTAAGTAGTAAGTATTGCCAGTTATCACAGTTGAGGTGAAAAAAATGTTTTGTTAATCGATGACAATTTAAAAGAATCAACTTCAAATGAAATTAGTTCTTATCAGCAACAGATAACAAAATATAGCAGTCAATCATATATTTTCACAATTGAATTCATGAGTCAATCTACGTTAGACCATCATCGAAAACTCGGAAGCACTGGACATCCCTTTCGTTCTAGTATGGGACTTCTTAGCAGTTCCTGATTATGACTCCGTTCTCGGGGATCAGAGCCAAGACCTTGGGTCTCGTGAACGAACGTCTAACCCCTAGATCATTGAGTCGGTCAGCACTCAACTGTGTTAATATCTAACTTCAGTACATCCATGATATAGATAAGTGTCTGACACTGAGTTCTAGTGAGAAGCCGTGGTTCAATTCATGTTGAGTCATGTCGTGGTCTAAAGATTAAGTATTCGTGCACGAGACTGAAGGTTCTGTCTTTGATTCCCACTCGTGGAATCACAAGTACTCACTGCTAGAGAGTCCCATACTAGAATGAAACGTCCATCCAGTGCTTCTGAGTTTTCACTGGTGGTCTAACCTAGATCGACTCGTGAATTCAACTGTGGAAATATTACAATCTCCACAAATCACCAGACTAATAATTATATATGTACTTAGCTCACTTTCTCTAAACCCACTGTTAATGCATATGAATAGTTTATTCATATATATGGTGAATATACCATATATATATATACCATAGTTCATATTGTCACTTGATTCCATTTAATGATAATACTTATTATTATAATTTAGGTGTATTCAGAACTATTGGATACTTTATCAAAACAACAAGCTTGTTTAATTCACAGTTTCAAGTTAAATCCTACGATACATAGAAATATTCATGTTGAGAAATGGTACAATTTACAATATACACAAGAAGGTAAACATTTGATTTATTTAGCATGGAATAATTTGATGATATATTGATATCTTTTCAACGATATTGTATAATACTGATAGTCTATATTTGAAGTCATTGAAATTTAATGACTGCAGTTTATCAATGTCTGTTTAATAAGTTGGTTGATATCTTGACTCAGTAGCTTAATGAACAGCTTGTTAACATTTAAAGTGACAAGTAATGAATTCAAGTCTCAGTACTGATACCAACTTTGTAATATAGGCATATCTAGCTAATGAATCCTAATTAGAACAAACATGAATTCTAGATTACTCTGTTAGGTACAATCTATTTAATCTAAAATACATGGAGCTATGTCGAGGCAATCCGAGCAGAATCCATTTATTCCAACTGAAACTGACTAAATATTAACAAGTGGATAACTCAAACATTTACCCATGATGATGCATACATCATACTCGTTAAATGAATTTGTAGCTATTTTAACTTATTAGCTCAGTGGATAATATATTGGTGCTTGAATTGAAAGGTAATAAGTCTGGAGCCGCAACGTAAATGTAAACATTGGTATGTAGGCAAATCCAGCTGATGAGTCCTGAACAGAATGGAATGCTCTACCCTAGATCCCACTGTTAACTAGGCAGTCCATGTACTTCAAATTGTTAGTTATAACATTAAAATACGAAACTGTTATATTCCTTTTCGTATTCTTTTTGAAAATTTTTTTTTAATTTTTCAGAAGTGTCCACTAAACAAATAGGCTGTTTGAATAATCTACATGGAACAATTCCATTCTCACTTCCATTAAAAGTTAATGGAAATGGTATGTTTAAGCTATTTATGTAATTTTATCAATGATATAGACAACAACATAATTATGTTAGTGATCTATAATATTGATTTCTTTCTTTAGTTATCAAGATCATTTAATCATATTGTATGAGGGAGTGATCATGGTCGTTAAATTAGTTGATCATAAATAGTTGATTTGGTATTCTGCAAATTATTCATTCATTAATGTCAAGTACTATTCAGTTTAATGTATATAAATTTGACTATTATGCAGTGTAAATAGTTGCCCTTAGATGCCCTGGTACGGTTGAGGGTGGGAAGAGTCCATTCTCCTAATTCAAATACTCTCACATGACCACGCGTATAGAACCACTTCCATGGAAGTCCTACTCACTCCCTTCTCACAGCACTGGTGTTGTTTACCAAAAGTGAGAGGACGAAAAGTGAATATCCGGTGCTTTAACTGGGTTGTTGGAAACGGAGAGTCAACCTAGGACAGTTGAAAACGCTGATTGCAAACCAACGGTGGGTATGGGTTCCAGGATCCTTATGGAAAAAAAGGCGCATGAACCTGTTGTTGGCCACCGGTTACCATGGAACTAAATCTTCTGAAGTTTCTACATCAACTTGTGGATCAGACGGTTATGTCAAAGGCTCCGGGTGTGTCTTTCTTAGAAAACAACCTGTTTCCGTCTGTGCACCTGGATAATATCACAGCCCTTATACATATGAATGATAACTGCTACTGGCCTCATTGTTATTGTGTGGTGTATATGTATTTGGTTTCCCCTTATACCAGTGTTTACGTGTTCAAACAAGCAGACAGTGTGAATCATATAGAAATTAGTGCATTTAGATATGAATTTTTCATAATTTCTTTTCTGGGTGTCAAATAAATTCTTATCAATTGTCTGCATTTCATTGCTTCTGTAGTCTGAAACACGGTTTTCATGTTTAAAGTATTAAAATAGTACCCAGTTTCAAAAGGGTTGATATCCTTTCGAAGGATCAACAAGTCTCCATTGGGATTATTCTCCTGTGTTTTTATTTTATACTGTCAAAATTGCATTAGTTCCCCAGATATAATAAACTTAAAACAAAAATATGGTTTCAAATGGTTGAAAAATACAATTCAAACAAAGAAAATGTATTTCTTTAAATACTAACGCTTCATCATAACTTAACAGTACAATGCATAGTTTTAAATTTAAGTTTTAAAAAATCAGTTGACAACAGAATTTTATTTATCAATGATAATGTTTACTATCAAAAGGGGCTCTTTTGGAGATTTTGGTAATTTGTAATAGTTGAATTAAAGCCAGACCACCTGGAAGCACTGAATGACCATTTCGTCCTAGTATGAGACTCCGCAGCAGTATGTGTCCACGATCCCGCCCCGCGAGATTCAAATAATCCCCTACCGATAGTAATCATCATCTGTTAACTAGTGACTGGTTTCAAGAGGAGTTCTAGTGAGATACCGTAACCAATCGAGATCACCCAGTTCTGTTGTGAGATAATAACTCACTGAAGACAATGATGGACAGTGGCTAAATTTGTGGATTGGTTGAAGTTAGACATTAACACAATTGGATGATGGCCGTCTCAGTGGTCTAGTGGTTTGGCGCTCGCGCGCCAGAATAATGAGTCCTGGGTTTCGAATTTTGCGAGGCGGGATCGTGGTTGCGCACTACTGAGGAGTCCCACAATAGGACGAAACGGCCATCCATTTCTTCCACGTTTTCCTTGGTGATCTAGCTTAAATCATCTCATGAATTCAACTATTAAAAAGAATAAAATCTTTTTTCAAACTTATTGAAATACTGAGTAATATATAGAAAATAAAGTGTTTTATATTCTTTAATCCCATCCAATAAATTAGAACATACTTTTAATATCAAACTACCAATCAACCATTAATGAAGAAAGAAAATTATTATTATGAGGGTAGCTGTGTTGTCATATGTTAAGTTTATAATGTTTACTGTATATGTATATTTATACGGAACCTATGGCCAATTAATTTTGTTAATTAAAGCATTCAGTTATTCATATTAGTCAACCTATACTTCTCTTTCACTTATTATATAACTTTGAGACCAGCTTTGCTCTGCATATCAAAAATAATAACTCGAATAGGAATTAAACTATATGATATTTCTATTCATGTTTCTACTATTACTGCATTAGTGAACAAGAACACAGGTAGGGACAACCTAATGTACCTGAATACAAAATTACAGAATCGATTAGTAAAATCTGAGGACCATGCAGTAAATATTTCATTTGTCATTTCAATTGTTTAAAACTTCATTGTTCCTTTGTTTCCACGTTAATCACTCTTTGTTCTCGTTCTCATTCTCTTCAATCTTCTTGACATTCAGCTCCCAAGTATTCCACTTTCCATTAGTGATATATACTACTCATATTTATTGACATCAGTAGCATACAACACATTAATACTAACAAGAATACTGATAATCACATACACAATAAGCCTAAAATACTAAGAAATGTTATATATATTACATTTATATGTCACTAACATCTGGGAAATCTGATAGATAGTCAGTGATAAAAGATTTACATTTAATAGTTATCCAATTCATAGTTCATCATTTTAAAGAGGTTCATCTTACTGATTAAATTTATTTTGTTTTAGTGCATGAATACTTGACTTTATCATCAGAAAATGATATACAAGTAAGTTGTTTTCAGTGTAATTAATTTGTGCGGATTTTTGAAATTCATACCTGTTCTTATATAGATAACCATTACAAACGAGGAAGGATTGGAGAGCTGTTTTGTCCTAACTTGAGACTCTTTTGTAGTGAGTACGCATGACTCCACTGAGATATCTAGTTCAATACTTTAAGGTTTCACAGAGATCATTTGTTCTTTAGACTACCAAGTGAACAACCAATGGTTTACATTGTTTGCTTCAATCAATTCACAATACTGTGCAATCAACTTCTAAGTTATTCATTTTACTACAGATAAATGTCCTTTTTCAGAAGGTATGAACCATTATCTTAATTTAATGATACTACGAATTCATAAAAGTCGTTTACAACTTCTTCTATTGCTCAATAGGCTAAGATTAGTTAATAATGTAAATCATGGAATTCAATAATCTACACAAAAGTCCCTCTACATGCAATCTTTTGCATAATACATATAATTTACAAATTTGTCTATACCTATTCTTTATGACGAGAAATAAAACATATTCTCTTTTTTAGACACCTATCAATCTAACGACAGAATTTAAAGGAACTGTCTTTGAAGATTATGGATCCCTATGGTACCAACAGCTGAATAATCAACTTAAAAATGAAGGTAAATATGTTGTTTAATTGTTTGATGTTGGTATTAAAATTAACTTGACACTTTTATCCATTAGCTTTTCTTCTTCCATACATATTACTTGATTATCTAGTTGTAGTAGTGTGGTGTGAGCTACTGATGTTCACCGATATAAGTAGTATTTATCAATGATCAAAAATAAAATGCCTGGCAATAGGAGGTTGAGAAGATCAAAGAGAATAGAATAAGAATAAAGGTTGATTAGCATAGTAATGAAGGGATAATAAAGTTTGGGATAATTGATGGATATTTTATTAATCAAGTATTTACTGTATAGATCTCAGATTTTATTAAGAAATTCTGTAATTGTGTATTCAAGTACGCTTGATTGTCCCTATTTGTGTTCTCGTTCACTGTAGTAGTGATACTACTAGTTGTAGTAGTGCTAGTTTTATTAGTAGTTAAAACAATAATAAATAAGCATTAAGTTAAACTAATGATTTCAACCAGTGAAATTTCTATAAAATATCTCCACAAAATCCATTCTGATAATAATAATAATAGTCACCTGCTCACTAGTGACTGACTTCAGGAGACACTCTTGGAGTTCTAGTGAGAAGTCGCTACCAGTGGAGTTCAACCAGGTCTGTTGTGAGATAAAAACTCACTGAAGACAATGATGTACGATGGCGCAACTTCGTGGATTGGTTGAAACTAGACATTAACACAATTGGATGCCGGCCGTCTCAGTGGTCTCTGGCACGAGACTGATGGGTTCTGGGTTCGAATCTCGGGGGGGGGAGGTATCGGAGATGTGCACTGCTGAGGAGTCCCACATAAGTACGAAACGGCTGTCCAGTGCTTCCGGTTTTCCCATGGTGATCTAACTTCAATTGACTCATGATCTCAACCAGTAAATTATAACCATAGTTTTTGCTAATGACTCATTATTGAGATATTTCCCAAGTGAAAATGATAATCTGTTGAGTGAACAGTGCTAAAAGTGTAATAGTTACTTATCTTGTGATATTGTATGTGTATCCCATTTCACATTACACATCAACTGACGATGAATAATGTGACTACGTAGACAAGAACTTATTCAGTAGTTTGTATCATGATTTCATGTTATATCTGAGAGTATAATTGTAATTTTAATAAGGTTCTAACCTAAGTCATTGAGTGTCTCACTTCGATATACAATTAAAAGACTAGTCATAATCAAGTTCTAAGAGTTTCTATCAAGTGAATTCAGGTACATGAAATCTTAAACATTATGTCAATTAGTTTTCATTATTTAACTTGATTGTATTTAAAAAATGATATTACATAAAATATGGATTAGTTTACACATATAACTAGAAAGCATTGACCAGTTGAGTTCAACCGGGTCAGCTGTGAGATAGTAACTCACTGATGAAAATTGTGGATGTTTAGCTCAATTTCGTGGATTAGTTGAAGTTAGACATTAACACCGTTGGATGCCGGCCGTCTCAGTGGTCTAGTGACTAAGCGCTCGCGCACGAGACTTGTAGGTCATGGGTTCGAATCCCGCGGGGGGTGAGGTCGTGGATGCGTACTGCTGAGGAGTCCCTTGATAGGACGAAACGGCTGTCCAGTGCTTCCGGTTTTCCCATGGTGATCTAACTTCAATTGACTCATGATCTCAACTATTGAAATATAACTGTTAGTATGTTTTATGTTCTATTTTGCTTGTAGCTTACATTTATGTGCAAATTTCAACGGGAATGGAACTCAACTACCCTTTAAAGTAAGTCAATTTCTTTTTTTCATTTTTGAAGAGAATGGTCGAAAACTTTATGTTAAACACCTTAACATTCTGATCGACAAACATGAAGTTTGTTTTAAAGGGAATTGTCAATGAATCAAATATGATGTAGTTATTCATTCACACTACAGGGAAGTCTATTATAAACCCTACTTAACTTAGATTTTACGCTAATTAGCAATAATCAATAAGGTGTGCTCATAATCTAACGGGAATTGGTGTTACGTATAGGATTCTAATCAATGTCATCTAGCTCCCCAATTTGGAGCATTACCACTGATCTATTCGGGCTGCATGTCTACAAATTGAACACTTTTGAATCTTTAGAACATCATCAAAGTGAATTCTTATGCTTTGAAATTCAGAGACTATACTACTAAGTAAATACCAACAAAATGTTTTAAGCCATTAGTGTTAAGAAACTAATATAACTAACCTATTCAACTTATTGGGATATTGGATTAGGTATCCCTTCGTTGGGATATCTTCTTGAAATAACTTCAAATTTTCTCATGTTCAACTATTGTCAAGTAGAGCTTTGAATGTTTACGCTAGTCACATAGAATTTGGTGCTGTGACATATTTAATTCACATAATACAGTTGATTTAATTTGCTCTTGATGTTGTTAGTTCATAATCATTACAATTAATCGTATTATCTTTATTTACAAAAATCATTTAGTGGAATACAATCTATTCAGTCCTCTCAGAATTTATGAGTTGAGGTTAGCAGTGTAATCCAGGATGAGCATTTCATGTTATTTGAGGCTTATAAACTGTGTGTAATGACATCCCAATAATAATATTCACATTGAAACTCGAATCCAATACCATCTACCTTAAGCGCTAATCAAATCTTCACTAATTTACTGGGTTCAATCAGATATACACAATTCAAATACACATGTACTGACTGATTAAAATCCAATCGTAAATATCAATGATGGAACCTTTAGAACTGTTCTATCTGAAATTATGACTTCTATTTTTCTTGCATAATTACTGATTACTTAGATTACTGTGTCTTTGTATTTGCCAACATGTAAGCTTCTACGTGATGGATAAACTATTGTCATATGTTATACCTTGCTTCAGTAGCTGCGGATATATAACTCAGTCCTCTCCATTTTACAGGATCATTACGTTCATACTGTAATTTCCTAATTATGTTGATGTGAGGTTATATTCTTACTGTATGAGTCATAAACTTGTGTCTTAAAGTTCGTTGTCTACTTGCTGTAGCATATTCTGTCCTGACTTTCAGACAAGCGAGCATCTTCTAAAGCAGTCGTCGTTAAGTTTTCTTATCAGCTGTTACCTCACTCTCATTGTATCATTAGTTATTGTAATGAAGGAGAACGCAGGTGAGGACAACCGATTATATCTAGCACAAATTACAGAATCACTTGGTAAAATAGAAAAACCATACACTAATACTTAATTTGCAAAATACTCATTAATTGTACCAAACTTCATTGTTCCTGCATTTCCAAACCAATTGCTTTCTATTCCTGTTCTTCCCTTCTTTATCTTCTCAATATTCTGCTGTCAGACATTTAATTCCTGATTCGCGTTATATACTACTCATCTCAATATAAGTAGCACACAACACAGTTAGCAAAAGGACATTGATACTAAATAAACAATCTAGATGAATTAATCAATACTCAGACTAAATCAATGCAAATGCTCTTCTGTAATAGTGATCTTATCACCCGTGGTACAATCTTATAACAAAAATCTATTTTATCCTATTATATCGATTTGTAAACAGATTGGTTTCAATAACTAGCTAAAAGAACATGTCAACCAGTGAATAATACAAAGATTAACATTATTATTTCGTACTTAATCATATCGAATCACAATATCCATGGATCATTATAATCGTATTAAATATTCTTTTTCCAACATTTCATCAACTAGTTTGGTTTTTTCAACATAAAACTCGTACATTCAGTTAATGCCTGAAGTATTTGTTTTTCTAATGGAACTATAAATGACCTTCTGTAAGAGAAAATAAGATGTCTTTACTTGCATTTTAAATTATTGAAAATAACCTCTAGTTTCGTAAATTGATATCTTTAAGGTTCAGAAAATTCTGCTGAACATATCAGGAGGTTGACATATAAAATATATCAGTATGGGGTTGTGGAGATTTTTGAGTTTAGAACAACAGTGGAAATGTGGAATGACTGGAGGATCGTTTCATCCCAGTAAAGGACTCCTCACTAGGGCGTATCCATGATTCCGAACTAAGGGGATTGAAACCCTGGACCTTCGATCTCTCACGAGAATGCTTAATCTCTAAACCACTGAGCCGACATATAACTTCAACCAATCCAGGATATTACGTGACCGTCTAACATTCTATTCAGTGAGTAAGTGCTTCACAACAGACACGGCTGAACACCAATGGTCACGGAAGTTACCAAAAAATGTACTTCAAAAAAAGTTACATACCAAAAGTATGCCTTCACATTTTGATTACTTTAAGATCACTAAACATGTAGTTACGTTCTAATGTATCTAAGACGGAGGTAAATTAAGTTTATAAAACATCCGAAGACAAAGATTCACAGAAAAAGTCATCAGAATAAGCTGATTCAGCCCTTGTGGACTAAATAAATATCTCACTTTTACATATGTTGGTGATGCTACGCAGAAAAATAACGAGATCTCTGCAATTAAATCGTACAGGTCAGAGAGAACAGCACAACTACAGAAACTTGGATAGTTGCTGCATCGTAGATTGCTTATTAAGGACTGGTCCTAATATGGATCTATCAAGGACGATATGAATCATGAAGTCCACCAAATCATAAGCAAACTAAATGATTGCATTGAACAACATTTCACTATACTCTAAATCAGTTTAATTTATAATGCTGGCTAAAAAACTGAATTGTGAACTTGAAACTTTCTAGCTGTTGATGCTTCTTTTTAAGTAGTAAATATTGCCTTTAAACTTAATAAAAATTTCCAAAAGTAAAACTGTTAAAACCAGTAATAATCTTGGTATTGTTTGCCTGAATCTTCCTATTGATGTTTGAGACTGCGATTGGTCAGTCTGTTATTGGTATATGTGCATATTGTACGTTTTGCCCTGATATTGCCTTAATTCACAAACTTTATAAACAAAGATCGATAGTGGCTAGCAGTGTAATTCAGGACGCGCGTTTAGTCTTATTTGGGACCCTTTTGTTACTGAGTCCTGATAGCAACTTGCTTGTGCAATGAGTGGATAACGCAATAGAGTTTGTAACGAATAGTACTAGGTTCGAGTCACAGAATGAACAACAACACTGATATGCAGGTACATCTAGCTGATGAATCTCAAATAGAACGAAACGTGCATCCTGGATTCCTTTGCTAGCCACTGTCCACCTTTGCAACAATAATCTGTTTATTTTTAAGTCGATCGATGAAAATTAAGAAAACTTTTACACCCTATTCATGAGGTTTATTTCTTTTATTCTAATGGTATCTATAGTGATCTTAATTAATCATTATGTATTAAATCATTCCTGTATATAAATATTCTAAGTGATCTATCCATCAAATAGTTTTTTTATTTCTTGATCTTTTCATGTTATACTTTTTACTTCACAGAGCATGTTTATCTCGCTTATTACAGTTAAGCATCAAACTTCGATCCTCCAATTGTAAATTATTAACAATGGAATCTAGAATGAAGTAAGTTTACGAAAAATCTAACTCGTTTATGAAATTGTGAACAGTTAAAAAAGAAGAGTTTTCATAAGGAAGTCTTCTTCCTTTATAAGAGTGATTCTTCAAGTAAAAGCACTTGATGTAATTGGTTCCCTTTATAAATCTGAATAAAGCAAGAACAACGATTGAGGCTGAATGATTCGCTGTTTCCCATCGGCTACTTACATCCATATATGTTGAATTTATGAGTTGATCTAAGCTAGACTACCATTGAAAACCTGAAATCACTAGAAGGCCACTTCTTCCCACTATGGGACTCCTCAGCAGTGAGCATCCACGATCCCATACACGGAAATCAAATTCAGGACCTTCAGTTCAGCGTATGAACATCTAGCCTTTAAACCACTGAGTCGGTTATCATTCAACGGTTAATGTCTAACTTCAGTCGATCCATGATCACGCACAACACTTCATCGATTGTCTGATGTGAGTGACTGTCTCACACCCGACATGGATTGGACTCCACTCGTCACATCTTCTCAGCTGTTAAAATTATTACAATCTCCACAAATCCCTATTCTGATAAGCATATATGTAAACGGAATATACTCATTAAGACGTTAAATAAAAAGGATTAGTTCAGTAAAGAGTTCTCTTTTTGGTTAATTCATTTTCATAGCTGTACAATCGCAAATATGCATATAAATATCACTGTACATCAGGGTAAAGCCTGGTAAGGATGTAATCGAAAACAACATTGTTCGATTAAATGTGTTGTTCTAGTTCACAATAAGGAAATTTTTCAAGTTAATGTGTGTATCAAGTGAATATGCAACCACTGTTCTTGTTGAAATAAATTAAACTCATTTACTTTATTCGTAGGTAGTGTTTTTCACAGATTGAACTCCTTTGGAATACGAATGGAAAAAACCAAGGAGTACCGAACAACATTTTCTCCCTAGTATGTGCATTCAGGATCCTAGTGAGGGTCACACCCAAGATAATCAGGTCCAACAGTGAGTAATTCACCATTAGAACCACCACTTCAAGGTGTTCTTGAAGTTTTAATGAGAATTCGTCGACTGGCTAGGTTAAAATATGTAAAGCGTGGGACACTTGTTGAGAGTAATCTTGGACCACTACCATGTTTTACTGACTTTCAATAGTACTCCAAATGAGGTCAGTTTGTGATGAACACTATCTACAAATCAAACACATCCCCACAAACCCCTTCCAATAAACAACTGTTTAAGTCAGGTAGATAGACTAAAAGATGCCGTCTTATTATATTTCGTCTTACTCAGACTCCAGATTTTTTAGGTGAGTCGTTCATTTGAGTCTTACTTCTATAATAGCACTCAAGACTATTCATCATTACAGGTTGACGTCAGCCTAAAGGCTTTTAAAAAATGTTGAACCATTTTGGAGTTATTTTGTCCTTTTTCTTGGCATTTCCCGACAGTGCAGATTGACCTGAGAGTATGATAATTTTAAACTGAGTCATAAACCGATCGTCAATATTCTATCCTAACCTTAGAAAATTTGGTGATATAATGCATTAATAATCTATAAGTTTCCTATCTTAATTACCTTCACATGATTATAAATGACTGACTTTAAGTTGAGCTTACAAAGCTCTTTTAAAATGACGTGACATATGGCGTTCACTAAGGTGGGATGTAAAACTTAAACCAGTGTTGGAGTTTACTTTGAGACCCGAAACCAGTATCTTTCTTTTCAAACTCACTATGGATTATCCATCAAGCTAGTGAGTTTGAATAGTTTTTGATGGAGTTTTTGTTCTCTGAGCTGGATGTTTTGGTCGTAGATCTTTCATCGTTCTTCTGAACGGCACCATCAGCACAAACTTTAGATAGAAGTAAAGTGTTCAAATTTCTCCACATTTGGTTCATAGCTTGTTCTGTAAACCTCGAAGTTGATTGATTCTTGTTGACCTTAAACCTGTCATTATTTAGATAGTCGTTAGCTAGCGCAATGGATATGAACTATTTTGACAATTTCGTGACTGATGTTCATGGCGAATCACTTTTTTTTTCAAATCGAACATCTTTCAATCTCAGAAATTAATTAGATTGATTTACTTACCTATTTGATTGTCTTAATTTACTTTTAAAAGAAGTTCAGTGAATACAAATGTAAATGGACCGGAATTTATTATTAAAGGACCATCTGAAAAAATTTCGGTAAGTATTATGATTCAATTTTTTTTTATTTTTTAAACTGTTTAAACATTAAAAACTTATTAAAGACTTGTCTGTTATGAGATAGTAACTCACTGAAGATAATGGTAGATGTGTCGCTCAGTTTCGTGGACTGGTTGAAGTTAGACAATAACACCGTTGAATGAGAGCTCAGTGGTCTAGAGGTTAAGCATTGGTGCGCGAGACAGAAGGCTCTGAGTTTGAATCCCGCGTGCGGTATCGTGGATGCGTACTACTGAAGAGTCTCACGGTCGTCCAGTGCTTCTAGGTTTTCCATGGTGGTCTAACACCAATCGGTTCATGAGTTCAATCAAAAATTTGTAATTTAGCAGATCCGAATAGAGGATTTCTGATATGATTTGATTAGTATATCATTAAATTTTCATAACAATATATGATAGAGTATCAACATTAGAAGTTTGACTAAATAAAATGAAATGAGTATATTTCTTTTTTAATTGATCATTGCATCTTTAAAGCATTTTATGCAAAACATTATTGAAAACAAATACAAAGTACTGAATGATTAGCATTAGATAGTACCTAGATGATCACAGTCATACTCTCACGTTAAATAGAACAAATGGTTTTCAACACTCTCAGTGATCATAATACCGTTCGATGACATAATCTTGTATAAGGATATGTGGGGAGTCTGAAATTCACCGAGGCAGCTGTGATAAGCTATCTGGTTTTTAATGACTTTCTGTTATAACATTGAATTTGAATGATAAATCGTGTCATACTTAAACTCAGTAATCCGACGATTCGATGCAGAACTAGATGTATTTATCAACACAAAGGTACAAGGGCTGAAGTACAGATATCATGATATAATTAGTTATGTGAAATATACTTGTCTGAACTCCTTGAATAAGTCATATTCTGGTTGGACATATTAATCTTCAGTTTTTATCACTTTATGAAGAAAATTATCATTGAGTACGTAATGAAGTCTTAACCATGACGTTTTTTCATTTCCTCACATTACAAGCTTTCGGACCCGATTCGGTTGATAAGAAAGATTTTTATTACTGATAAGAATCGGATGGAGAAAATTTGTAGACCGCAGAGTATCATATATCTGTTTCCTCCAACACTTCGACTGCAAAACATTGCACACTAACGATTATATACATACCGAACTCATGGCTTTAAGATCTTGCAATTAACTTAATACTCACAGGTCACAAAATCGATCTACCATTATTGGTATAAGGCAGTAGTGAAGATAAAATTAATTTTAGCTATACAATCAATAGAAACCAGGAAGCATTAAACAGCTGGTCCGTTCTAGTGTAACATTGTTGGCAATCAAAATTAGGAACTTTAAATCTATCGATATGTGTTTTGACTTTAGATCACTTTGGTTTCATCTAACTTTCATCATCTTGTGATTTGCCTTTGTTTAACTTGAAGACATTCATAATATAGACAAAGTCAATAACTAAATAACATCACTATTCATATCTAGCTTGTTATTAACAGAATCGATAATGATAACTTGACTACAAAACTTCATAACTTTCCCTCTATAAAAAATCGACAAAAATTTCTAGAAAAATCCTTTCGTGTTATGATGAGAATTACTCTCTTAACCTCTATTACATACTACTGATATCGGTCCGCATAAGTAGAGGACACCATCCGTTCATTTTTTTAATAGTTCATATAGAGTTTTATTATGACAATGTTATATTCTGGTTGTCGCTAATTGCTGTGCCGGAAAAACAAAAACGCTGATCACTTATATTCGGAACGAGGAACCACGGCAATTCCCGCGATGCGAAAGTAAGAACACAAGACTGGTATAAGTGAAGATTTATTAGCCCCAAACACTATGACAACGACGAATCAAAATAGTTTAAAATACACTGGTTTATATATTGATGGTACACCCATTTTGATTAATAATTAGGATTAAATCACATACTCAGTTATAACAGATCACTTACTGAGCATAGTTCATGTCAACTGAATACAAGAATATCGTATATTATACAGAAGAATATGTCATACTGGGAAAACAAATCAATTACTACACTGAATGATCCTCACGTTGAATCAAACTCATAATGAGTAATTCAATCGAAAATTGACTTTTCTTTCCATCATATAAAGCAATAAATAATCTACTGGGTATAACTCAAGTCCTAACACACCTCCCCTTTTTTGAAGATCCGGAGTTGATATCCGGATTCCAAATTTTCCGGGTTCATCCTCCCCAACGAAACAGTGTTAGATCCTCATATGCCCAAGTTACAATTAATTCGAATTTATTTAAAATATATTTGACGCACTGAGCAGAGAATCGACTGAAAATGACTGAGTAGTGAGGCTGAACGACGTTTGACATAAGGTCATCGAAGTTCGATTGTGATCAAATGTATTGGGAACATTACAAGTAGATAGCGGATCACAATGATGATCAGCGTCTAACAAAACTGCACCAGGTTCTTCATTATTATTTGATGTACATGACATATTTTCTGGCAAAACAGATAATTATTGCAGTATATCCTGTAATGACATATATATATATATATATATATATTAACAAACCATATGATGATACAAATATATAATTCAATCATTCATTGAAATCATGAAGATATGATATCTGAAAAGAAAAGAATCCAAAATAGCAACGAATTATTGATTTTGTCTCAATATTATATATGAATAGGTACATTTCAATGCCGATCGAAATGTAAAGATCCGTCATCATATCAGGTGTATATAATCAATCATATTAGAACATTTATGCCAAAAACAAACAATAGATTATTAATTCATTATTGTATATATGTTAAGTCTTGTAGAAAAATGCAGAAAAAAACAAATCAGTTTTATTGTTGTAGTAGGATTGTTTTTCTAATATTTTTTTAGTAAAATGATGAGATCTCCTAATATTGATCCAGTTTTACAGAATAATACAAATGGCATACTTTACCTACTTACTTACGTCTGTTACTCCCAAAAGAACATTGGCTGCTGACCATCAATCTCCAACCCAATCTATCCTGGGCCTTCCCTTCTAGTTCTACTCAATTGTTGTTCATTTTTCTCATGTCTATCTTTATTTCTCGGCATAATGTGTTCTTAGGCTTTCTCTTTTCCTTTGACCTTGAAGGTCTCGCCTGGAGCCCCCATGGGGCTACTGCCGGTCCCAAGCCTGGATAAAGGAGGAGGGTTGAGGATGGAGTTAGGGACCTCATCCCGTAGAAAACTAACTCTAAAAAATTGCTGTCTATAACCCTGTTTTATTTATTGAACGATAAGAAAATCAGAAGAAAACTGCTAGTGGGTGAATATGAAAATACAACTCTCTATATACACTTTATTCTAACCAACATATAACACTAATGACAAAATTGTTGGATAATTTACATTGATCGGTCTAATGAAACCAATTACAATATCTAATGAGGTCATTATCATGATCAAAGTTTGAAGTATAGGAACTTTGACTTCATTGGTCATTAAGCTTAAATGTTGAGATCTAATTTAGGCAAAGCCTGAAAATATTGTTATGTGTGCTACTGATGTCGACAGATAAAAGTAGTATGCATCATCGATTGAAAGTGAAATAACTGGAGGCAGAAGGATAAGAAGATGAAAGAAAAGAGAACGAGAACAGAGAGTTATTGATATGGAAACGAAGGAACAACAAATTCTGAGACAATTGATTGACATTTTGCAAATGTAGTCTCTACTAAACAATTCTCAGATGATCTCTAATTTCGTATATATAAACGTTCGATCGTCCCCACTTGTGTTCTCGTTCACACAATATAACCGCAACATTATCATAGACAGCATTCACTGAAACAGTTCATAATTATAAGGTTGCTTTAACAGTTAAATTATTCATATTTGGACTTCTACATCATGAGTTCAAAATCTTTAATATAACCTGTTAAAAAAACAAAGTTTCCATACAAATTAAAATGGATTAGATCGTATCTGTGAAACATTAATAAATCGAAAATAAATACCTTAGTGTAATTTACACATGTCTTACATACTTACTTACGTCTGTTACTCACAATGGAGCAAAGGCCATCGATTATCATTCTCAAACCCACTCTGTCCTGGATCTTCCTTTCTAGTTCTATTCAATTTTCGTTCATTCTTCTCAAATCTCTCCCCATTTGTCGGAGTAATGTGTTCTTTGATCTTCCTCTCATCCTTTGCCTTGACGACTCCATGTGAGGACTTGCCACGTGACGCAGGTGAATGCTTTCCTTAATGTTTGTCCTATAAACTTCCAGCACTTCTTCCTGATTTCTTCCTTCTCTGGGATATGGTGTGTTCTCTCCCAAAATAGGTTGTTGCTGATAGTGCCTGGTCAACGGATCCGAAGTATTTTGCAAAGACAACTGTTATTAAACACTTGTATCTTGTATATGATGGCTTTCGTAGTTCTCCAGGATTCCGCCACATACAGTAGGACTGTTTTGACATTTGTACTGGAAATCCTGACTTTGTTGTTGATTGACAGTTATTTTGAGTTCCAGATATTCTTCAATTTTCGATATACCGCTCTTGTTTTCCCGATCCGTGCCTTCACATTTGCATCGGATTCACCGTGTTCATCAATAATGCTGCCCAGATATGTAAAAGTTTTTGCATTTTCCAAATCTTCTCCATTAAGTGTGATTCAATTGGTACTTGTTATGTTGTATCCAAGAATCTTGCTTTCCCCTTTGTTTAACCAATAGCTAAGGTTACTATTGATTAATTAGCCTTGAAGTTGGCCAGGGGAAAAGAATTGATTGAACATATTCCAGTTTCTTCAAATATTTTTTTTTAAATATTTCAATAATCAATAATTTCTTTGTTTCAGTGTTTATTTAAAAAGATAATTTTCTTTCATTTTCAGAATTACTATAAAGAATTTTTAAAGAGTGTAATTGATGATATAACTAAAGAACATTTTATACAATGTAAAACATTATTAATTGAAGAATTAAATAATCAATTATCTGATCCAAATTTAGTTGCTAAGTAAGTACAAATTTTTTTTGGTCAAAACACCATTTTGTATCTTACGATCAATTTCATAATATTATTTATTATTGATCAAATTGCTTTGTTGGGTCTTTGAAACTTACTTCATGTATGAAGGACAGTTGACAGATACATTCCATGTAAGGACCGATGTCAGACGAAGCTGTCTACTTTCCATATTTCTCTTTCTTCTGGTGATTGGTTGGATTACGATGACCTTGGCATCTCAAGGGAAGCATGGAATACAATAGACAGGTTGAATGCAATCAGACAATTTGAACTTTGCTGATGATCTAACCTTTCTCTGTCCTACACACGATCAAATGCAGATAAAGACAACTAGCGTAATAGCAACAGCTTCTGAATCAGTAGGCCTCAGTATACACAATAGAAAATGCAAGATCTTCAAATACAACATGAAGAACACGCTTGATGGATGAATTTTAGAAAAGGTGGAAAAGTTCATGTACCTGGGAAGGATTATCGATGAGCAAAGAGGATCTGATGCAGACGTAAATGCAAGGATTGGCAAATTAAGGACAGCATTCCTACAGTTGAAGAATATATGAAACTCAGAACAACTGTCAACCAATATCAAAATGAGAATCTTCAATACGAATATCAAGACAGTTTTAATGTACGGAGGTGAAACTTATAGAACTACCACGACCACTAGGAAAAGAGTAAAAGTATTTCTAAACAACTGTTTAAGCAAAATCCGGATACCATAACCAACAGCCTACTGTGGACGATAACAAACCAGCTTCCAGTTGAGGAATAAATTAGGGAAAGACGTTGGCAATGGATAGGACACACATTGAGGAAATCATCAAATTGAATCACGAGTCAAGCCCTAATTTGGAATCTTAAAGGGAAATGAAAAAGAGGAACTCCAAAGAACATACTACGTCTGGACTTGAAAGCAGACATGAATAATATGAATAACAACTGAAAAGGATTGTCCAGGGCAGAATTGGATGAAGAGTGCTAATGGGGCCTATTCTACTTCAGGTAGGGTAACAGATGCACGTAAGTAGTAAGTAAATTTGAAATTACTTCAATTACAAACCTTAATATTTAACGATATCATTGGCAATATATTGTGTGTATAATCAACGTTTATAAATAGCATCTCTAAAGTATTATGGTTTACAGTGGTTTAGTATACAAACTGACATACAAGATCTAATGGTTAGTTACAATGTATTTACATTATACATATACATAATCTTCAGTCATATATTTTAATCCTTCAGTTTGTTCTGTATTCTGAGACATCTCGTCTGATCATCACATGTTCTGACAACGCTGTACTTACAATGTATTATAACTCTTCACTTCATCTGACAATTGTTGCAAATTCGATACCGCATTAGTTACAAATAGCCTTGTGACTGCCCCCAAATGCTGTGGTGAAGTCGAGGGTGGGGAGAGTGAGCTCTCCCTTTCCAAATGCTCTCACATGGCCACATGCATACAGCCACTGCCAGGGAAGTCCTACTCACTGCCTTCTCGTGGTGGGGGTGTTGTTTACTAAATTAAGAGGATGAAAGGCAAATATCCGGCGCTTTAAACGGGATGGTGGATACGGAGAGTTCACCTAAGGGAGTTGGAAACCCTGATTCCGAACCAATGGTGCACATGAGCCCCAGGATCGTGACGGAACATTTGGTGTGTGTACCTATTGTTGGCCATGAGACTGCATCTCCTGATGTTACTCCACCTCCTTTTGGACCAGACCTTTAAGTCGAAGGGTGTGACCCCCTAAGAAAACCACCTGCTTCGGTTTTGAGCACCCGTTCAGTATCCCATCCCTCGCACAAATTGTATGATTTATGTGGTACATATCTATTCGATGCCTCCTTGTACCATTGTTTATGTGTTTAAATAAACAATTAGTAAATAATCTTGTGACTAGAGTTCACTATATTATAACAGTTTTAAACCTGGAGTATTACAATTATGCTGTCTAATTTACAAAATACATTTTCTCTGTCTCTCTCTATATATTTTTAGTAATATAAATTCATGTTTATGGTATCCAAATGAATATATTGCCAGTAGTTTATTAAATTCATTAGAATACATTACAATAGCTGACTTAATGGCATTTCAAACTAAATATTTTTATCAAATGGAAATTATCATGTATATTGTTGGTGATGTAACATGTAATGTAAGTAAATCAGTTATATGTATTGAATTGTAATATAAGTAGTATAATACATAATTTTCATTAAATGTTTTGCTCATTGATTGATGGCAAATTTTGTCAATTCGGTCAGATACATTTATCTCGATAAATTAAGTTCTATATATGCTAATTATAAGAAACATTTAGATGGTGGTTGGAGGTAGTCAACAGGAAACCCTGGCCGCGGGTCGGTCTCAGCCCGGATAGCCCAGTGGTAACGTCTCTAACTGTGAAGCTTGGTGACATGGGGTCGAATCCGTCAGAGACCACCAGTTCCCTCAAGATTACAGGTACACCTTGCTGACGAGTGCCAAGAAACACGAAACCCCAGTTCAGGGTTTCCTGTTAACTACCTCCAACCACCATCTTACCTCAACATAGGGCACGCAATGTCGGGTCACCTAGACTAGTGGCCACATCTCAACTTGATCGATAGCATTTGATCTGCACTAAGAAGGACTTGACACACAAGACATTGATCACCACCCATTGATACATATCATCATTCCTCGTATATAATTATCGACTTAGATAGCGTTAGTGAATAACAGAATTAAACAAGTCGAATACGAGAATGGATTTCCGAATCGTTGATCTGAATGGATAATTAGAGAGACGTAGGAAAGGAAGCGAAGAAGAGAGAGTGAAACGACACTCAGTGGAGTTACAGACATGTAATGAATGGGATAATAAGTGTACACGCATACGCTTACACAAAAACAGTCAAGGTTGATAAGTGAATGAATAGATTGACCTGTCTGAAAGCTAGAATAAGGTATATGTGCTTAACATAATAAGTGACACTACAAAAAAGTTGGCAATTTGAAATGAATACAATCTTCATTTCTTTCAAGCTAAACATTTTACCAAAAATATATATGAAATTGGGCTGTTAGTTTACATTAATCTGAAGAAACTGTTGTTCATATTGTCCGAACGCTTCACAATTACACCATCTAGCTCACTGAACACAACACTAACAAGTTTCATGCATCTGAACTCAAAATCTTTCTTAATATTTCCAAACCCTATGAAATTAACCTCTCTTCGTATATGTGTGCAGAATTAAATAGCTTGATATCAGTTTACAATCTATTTTCCTGGATAGTACTTAGTAGTCAATAAGAATACTAAAGACGTCATTTTATGTATCACTCATTAGTATTACCTGGTCTGTTGTCAGATATTAACTCACTGATGACAATGGTGAATGTGTAGCTCAATTTCGTGGATTAGTTGAAGTTAGACTCAGTTGTTTAGTGGTTAAGCGCTCGCGCGCGAGATTGATAGGTTCTTGGGTTCGGTTCTCGCGAGGCAAGGTCGGGGTGCGCACTTCTGAGAAGTCCCACAATAGGATGAAACGGCTGTTCAGTGCTTCAGGGTTTTCCATGGCGGTCTAACTTCACTTGACTCATGATCTCAACTATTGAAATTATTGCACATCACTTAAAAGGTCATTTCCAATATTCAGGATCATTTCACTCATTTTATAATTCAAATATAAAACTAGAAGATATCAGATGAATTTATTTGATGAATATAAATGAACAGAATATGCTGTCCTAACTGCTGCCTTTAGCGAGTGAACATTTAAATCACATATATTCACCACTGATCCCAATGCCGTAAGATAACAATATTTCCAAACTCAGTCTAAGATATATACTCATTACTGTTTGCGTTACGGAAGACTGTAGAAATGACCAGGATCAAGAAAATAATGTTGAGGTTCCCTTAGTGTTAATGTTAATTTCTTATTTGAACAAAGTCATGCAAATATTTGATTAGTATATATATACTACTTGATAGTTGATTCAGTACTATAAGTATCATACTAACACTACCGTGATTTTACTCTGTTTTAGCTGGCAAAGGATTTATTTACCTACACAATAGGATTTTTCAAGTGTCATCCAAAACCTAAAGAGATTCAACACGTAAGTTGTTCGGTTTATAACAGCATTTTATGGTTAAGAATATATACTACTGAATATTATCTTCAGATAGATAAGTAATAGAAATTTGAGTTAGTTTGTTTGGACCTATTCACAAATGAGCTTTCATAACTACAAATAATGTTAGACACAAAGTTTTCAGTATAGATATGATTGTAAGCAGCTGTTGGGAAACCAGATAATTTGAAAACATGAAATTAGTATCAGATCCTCTAAATTTCTCAATTTCATCAGCTAGTAATGTTAAAAGACGGTTGTCCAATATCTTTGCTAAAATCAGACTTTCAGAATGATTGAAGTCTATTAGTCATAATTTATTTGTGAAAGTTTGATAATCCAATGCCGAACTATTGCCTAATGAGTAAGGGTTGACTTTCTAATGTATCATTCGTGAAAGAAACTATCTTTAAATTGAATTCAACCAAATAACTACATGGTATCTATGATACAACGATCAGGCGATATTGTCGATGATATCCGCACTTTTTTCGTATAAATGAATATAAAATATCTTCTTAAAACCCTCTAATGACACCTACTCAATGTTATCTTGTAAACTGTTCTATTCAGACGAAGAATAAATGGACGATAGATGCTAGGATCTATTTATCCACTGCTACTATATACATATATATTCTTATTACATGTACATTCATATTCCTTTTATTATAACCTCACATTTGACCTATTGACGATTCTGATACAGTTTACTTTCCTTAAGTTATGCCCAGTTTATTAGTTACAGTCTCTCACAATAAAAAACACTTTATGGCTTGATTTTGTACAAATATCGTCTTCTATTTTATGATATGATGAGGTCTGATTTACTTGTATATGAACTACGTATGTCTGAAATACATAATTAATATAACGGAGACTGATATTAGTGTTCTGAACTGAACCGGTTTGATTAGACGAGAAGTTACTATCTCGTCAGAGTATCAATAATAACTCAGAGTTGACTATGAGCTGCTCATACTCGTTTATACGTCTATGATCTGGACACTAATTCGATGTTTTCATTGGCGACTTTATCAAGTGATACGTACTCTGAGCATAAGGACATGATATAAACCATCTTTAAACCGCATAATCCTCCATTTGCCTCCACACTCTGGAATGAAATACTATTCGAAATTCATCTTTAATAGTATAATAAGTCATAGAGAATTGTTATAGATACCTAGAAATAAATAAAACCTATTTCACTTAATAGTTGAATTGATGAGTCAATTAAAGCTAAACCATCATGTAAAAGCTGGAAGAACTAAACGACCGTTTCGTCCAAGTATGGGACTCCTCAGCAGTGAGCATCCACGATCCCGCTCACGGGAAGGTAGAGCAACTTCGTCGATTGGTTGAAGTTAGATATTTGAACGCTTTATTAGTTTCCTAAGCTATTCTGGTAACCCGCAAGCTAGAACTACGCAGAGACCTGAACTCGAGAGAAAAGGCGCAAATTAAGCGAAAAAGACTTTACTCCAAAGGTTCATTTTTACACAGAAAAACACGGGTATTTATAGATTATTAGCATTTGTCAAATCAACATAATATTTTGACCAATCCGCTAAGTGACATATTATGCTACTGACTAATAGTAGCATTCCACGTTAATATTCTAGAAAGCTCCCTCATGCTTTGACTGACTGAAACTCTTCGGCTCCTTTAGGGCCACTGGAGGCTCCATTGTAGTACTCGGAAGCCGACTCAACAGATATCAACACCTTTGGATGCCAGTTCATTCGTCTAGGGGTGAAGCGTCTGCGCACGAGACCAATAGGTCCCGGTTTCGAGTCACACGAGTGGGATCATGAATAAGTGCTGTTGAAGAGACCCATGCTAGGACGAAACAGCCGTTCAATGCTTCCATGTTTTCCATGGTGGTCTAGCTTTACTTGATTCATGAATTCAACTATTAAATTACTAAGATCTCCACAAAACCCCTTTCTGTTAAACTATTTATTTTCAGATTAAAATCTTGAATTTAATTTTATTATTTACCAAAAACAAGTCTGCAGAAAAAATTTGATATAATTCACTGGTAATAGACTTATTACTACTGAAGTAACTATTTCTATGTATTTAGTGTTCATCTTATTGTGCCAATGAGGCATGGCAACTTCGACCGACGCATATATATGTTTGGTGCTACATTGTAGATGGCTGGTTGAATTAACTATATTGGGATTAAAGTTAATTGGGTTTAAATATAATTCGATGCATTCTATGCCTTAGGCATAGACCTGATGAATTTCTATTAATAATGGTAATAGAGGAGAATAAAGGTTTCGTTAAATTTGCAACATCTTTCAATGACACAATGAGAGAGGAGATAGTCAAGTCATGTAACATGGAAAAAGAGAAGCAAAATATGAGAAATATATCAAAAGAAGCGAATAAGAAGGAGGAATTAAAAAGGAAAGAATAACAACTAGTTATACTAAGCAATACCAAACGCTTAAGATATGCTTCGAGAAGACAGAGTGGAATATTACGTATGAAGGAATACTGAGATTCAAGATTTAGTGAAAGATAAAGAATGAATTAATTTGTACTCTTTTGAGTGATTCTGATTCATGTCACACAATATTTTTAACCATTTAAAGCGATTATCATACTGGCACTAACAATCTGGTCTGTATCTACAAATATGGCTCAACCAGATGGATAGTGACTTCACAAACTGATGTCACATTTTAGTTTGTCCACTCAATCCATTAGCGCTCTTTTAAGTTACTTCTGCATCATCTAACACCTCTTATCCGTATAGTAGATGGCTAGACATAAATAATACATGGCCTAACTGCCTCGATCAATGAAGATGAGCTATCTCATCAACCATTATCTAATACTGTTATGATTTTTTTATTAGGGCTCATCTAATATTATTGCTTGGTAGTCTTGGACACTACTTCACTCGACAAGTCCCCGAATAAGAACATGTTTGAACAGGAACGTAATTATAGTCAGAACAACAAAGTTGTATGAAAGTAGGAATCACAATAAGAAAAATGTCAGTATATTTATAATTTTTACTTGAGACGATTCTAGAGTCTTCTTCAGTTATCCTCTAGCTCTGATTCCTTAAGAAATAGCCAATCAATGTGCCTCAAAAAAATCCTTCACGGAGCATACTTTAATTCAATCTATATCCCGCTGACGAATGCCCTAAACCGAAGATCAACAGAAAATTCAAAATTATCATGTGTTTAAAGATTTGGGTTAACATATAAGTAATATATGTTAATTTATTGTGTGTTGTTTCATCAGTTCCATTCATGAAACTATTTGTCCAACGGTATATTTCATATAAAATAACTATGATGGAAAAGCACTGCCAATTAGACGCTACATATTTAGAAATTTTAACATCTGATTTATGATAGATGGATTTTAGCATAAATTTAATACTTTGATCATTAACAATATATGTTAGGCAGTTGGAAGCCATAAACGGACATTCTCATGACGAAAGTTTTATCAAAATCAAAAAACAATCTAAATTAAACCACCATTGGAAATCTTGAGACACTGAACTACAGTTTTGTCCCAGTATTGAACTTCACAATAGTATCCACTCATGACATCACCGAGGGTTAAACCCAGGACCTTAGGTTTCGCTCACGAACTCTACCAGGTCTTTAATTGTTACCTAACTTGACTCAGGTTGTAATTTTAATGACATATTGAGGTAAGTAATGCTCACTTTGACTAAGACATCGATTGAAATGGGTTCAAGTAATACAAAAAGTACCGGCACTGTCAATATTCCAAATATACCTCCACACTATAAATTAACTGATCAATACAATGAACTAGATCAATAGAAGACTGTTAAATGATCACTGAATAGTCATTATAACTATTAATGTACAAAATACAGCATTACTAATTATTGATATATGTTAATCATTTAATAAACTTTACTTCACAGATTGAGTATATATCAATTCAACCAGGCATTTATTATCATTCTGTACCGAATATATCAAATAATGAAAAGTTTCATCAACTTATTCAATTTGACCGAATTGAAAACGCTTCATCAGTAGATGAATTTTATTGTCAAATAATAACGGTAAGTTTCTTAAAATAGGAAAAGAAAACTTTTGACATTTATTTATATTTTAATCTAATTTATTTAATTATATGATATACTCAAACTAATTAATTCAACTATATTAGAGTATAGGCATCAGTTTGCAATTACCTCCGAATGCACTGGTACGATCAATGGTGGGGAGAGTTCGCTCTCCCTTTCCAAATGCTTTCACATGACCACACGTATACAGCCACTTCCACAAAAGTCCTACTCACTGCCTTCTCGTGGTGGGAGTGTTTACAAAATTGAGAGGATGAAAAGCGAATATCCGGGATGTTGGATACAAAGAGTTCACATAAGGGAGTTGAAAAACCCTGATTCCGAACCATTGGTGCACATGGGCTCCAGGATTCTGATGGAACAAAAGGCGTATGAACCAACGGTTGGCCACCGGTTGCCATGAGACTGCATCTCCTGACGTTGAACCACTGTTTTGTGGATCAGACCTTTAAGTCGAAGGCTCCGTGTGTAGTTTCCTAAGAAAACTTGTCAAAAGTGAGACAATATCCCATGATTAAAATAACGATGACGTTCCATTCTGAATACAATGATGTTACATACACAGATCATTATGATCTGATATAGTTCTCCCAAAGTATTGTGTTTTTCATGAGACTTGAAAGTCAATGACGCCTGAATTCACTGAGAGGGAGTGAAAAACTACTTTGAAACTAGTGTCTAATTAATTAAAAGGCTTGATTAAACATTATCCGGAATACTTGGCAAAGATTTTTCAACGTTTCAACATTTCATAAACACAAAATATTTCCAGTGCCTTTATAAAACTCAACTAGATTTTTCTTTGCTCACACATTTTCGCTTATTACCTTACACTACTCATCATTACTCAGTAGTATAGGTTTTGTTCAATCAATTCTGGAATTCATATGATCATCCATCACTTTGATCAGCTGCAACAAACTAGATATTCAATTTATCCATACTCTAATTCGACTGTTCCACTTTACTTTTCTGCTTGTGTCGGCATTTCATTCCCCCAGAATCACATATATAGATATATTTTGAATTTAACCTTCGTTAAATCATAATCTTAAGTCTTTTATTAAATTTAATGAATAGGAATTACTGAAATCACATGCAAAGCAATACTTTCAACATTATGAATCAGTGAATGGTTCAATTTCATTAGATTTCTATAAATTTGCATTGAATTCATCTAATTTAACAGTTGGAACACGTTTATCTCTTAATAGTCAATTAAATAAACATGATGGAGATTATCTTATAAATTGTATTCAAGTATTTTGGAATGAAATTGCACCACGTGTTATTGCTTGTGTTGATAATAATAATCTTGAACAAATTGTAAGTATTTTTTGTGTATAATAATTTGTGTATACTCATGGAGAAAATATAGTTGTTCTCGAGTGGAAGCCTGCCTTTTGGCGAAATTCTCCAATTTTTGAACAACGAGAAGCGTATTACGCTCATATGATTTTGAGATGGTGGAGAAGAGTTGTAGCTCAGGTGGATGATTTTGGTGGAGTTTTGTTCTCTGGGTTGAATTTTGTGCTGATGATGTCGTTCAGAAGAACGATGAAAGCTCCACGACCAAACCATCCAGCTCAGAGAACAAAACTCCACCAAAATATGTGCATACATCGTGATGAGTTAATTACATATACACTATGAAGATAAGTTTAGAATACGAATTTCCATAGTTGGGTCCAACTGAGTAGAACGAGGAATTTAATTCACCTTTTTTTATCCTCAAGGATCAGGTGAATATGTTTTATTGATATAATAGATGAGGAACTATTTTAACTTTGACAAACTCTTATTAAGAATGGTTATCCAGTTAGATTTGTCGATTACAACTTAACACTTAGACATCATCCTGAAAAAAGCACTGACAGTACAAAGGAAAACTCTTTTTATAAATATGGAATTTAAAATTGTTGAATAAAACGTTCTACTCAGCTAGGCTTCGTATTGTTTTCTCAAGCCGGTCTACCATTTATGGATATGTTAAGGACAAACTTCCGCTTTGAGCCATATCATTGTGCATCTGTAAATTTACTTACTCATATGGGCAGGTTACATTGGCCACACAAAGCGATCACTTTCCAAACACATCTCAGAATACTATCCAGAATGGCTTTTAAAAGGAGAATGCAAAACAATTACTAATTCAATACAGGAGCATTTAATCAACTATGGACACATAGCTCCAAAGGAGTCTTCTTTTAAAGTAATCAACACAGTCAAAGGGACTGGATCAAAAAGAGAAGTCGAATCAAAATCTTATGCACTGCAGAGGCATTGAAAATCCACGCACTTAAATCTGAACTTTGCGTGCAAAGACGATTAGTGCAACTTCCGATCATTCCTTTCGTAGAAAAGAACATTTTCTTCGCTGAATCCTCTTTATTTTTATTCAATGACACAATAGGTTATATTAAAATTAGAACAACCAAAGTTCAACTATTGAGTAACTTTGAACCAAAGTTTGGTTTATTATAGATGATTGAAAAATATATCCGAGGTTAAAATTTGAAAGATTTAACCGACCAGTAAAATATATATACAACGTGATAACAATCTTTTTCAGTATGAGCAAAGATGGATGGTGACTGACATATGCCACATATGCCAATAAGAAACTAGTCAATTGCAATCCTACACTTCATTTGGAAGATGCAAGTAAACAATACTAATGTGTGGACGAGAATGATAATAATTGGTCGTTTGTTTAGTCAGACTTTTAGATAGTCTGATAGGAATTAAATGAGTTATACATTCTCCTATCCTTATTATTATTGGATCGTTGTTGGATTGTGTGGGTTTGTTGTCGGTTTTGGCTGTGGAAATATATTTACGTTCTAGTCAGGCTAATCACATGTTCTTGATTTGAGTTGTGTTGAAGTCCTTTGGTATAGACACTGGGAGGGAATCTAGTGTAGATATTGGTCTAAAGAAGATTAACATCCCATTCGTAAGACGAAGAAAATCTGGGCGTTATAACAAATACTTCACCCCATCGCACAAGCAAGTGGCTATCGAGACTCAGTAGCTAAGTGGATAACGCGATCTCTCTTGACGAGAGTGGTAATGGGTTCAAGTCCCAGGGTGAACATTAACTCAGATGTAGGTGTATCCAGCTGATGAGTCCCAAATAGGACGAAACGCGCATCCTGGATTCCACCACTAGCCATTATCCATCTTTGCTCAGAATGCTTTTGAATTAAGTCAATATCGAGACAATTTGCACAGAATGTACCTATTACCAATTAGAGACTGATCGATTGCAGTCCTAAACATCTATGAGAATTTAATGATACTTGAAGCTTTTCCTGATCATCATCATCATTCTTTGTTCTTTTTTGTTTTGTTTAGTGCAATACAATCATATCAAGTGAATTAATCAAAAATAATAATCTCGAATTAATATCTCAATTTTACTGGGATAAAATTAAAACAAACTTGTTAGATGGAGGAATCAGTAGAAAGGTTAGTTATATTGATAAATAAAGAAAAGAAAAAGAGATTTTCCTTGATTTCTGTATTCATTGAAATATTTGTGAAATATTATGTTGACTAGTGATTGCATAACTTTTGATTGACCAATTTTGATCAGGATAGTTTTCATATAAATGGTTGCTTAATTCCTTAATATGCATTCACATAGTCATTTGGTATTTCTGAGTTCTTTGAGCTAGATGATTTAAGTGGAGAGCTTTCATTGTTATTGTGACTTTATCACGTGATTTATCCGCCAATCGGAACACGTTTTATACAATCTAAGCCCTGTACCAAGCCAATGATGTTGAACCAATATGAACAGCCTAGCTTCCTTATTGTTCCTTTGTTCTCCAAACCCATCCAATTGAGTCCAGAACGACAATAACAGTTCGCACCATGAGAATCATTTATTCCAAACATATTTGGTTTTCATAGCAGTCAAACAGACCGCATCAGACCATAAAATAGGAAATAACATTTATACACAATAAAGCCGAAATGTGACTATGAACGTGGGAGACGATAATCAATAAACTGAACATAACTTGAGAACAGTAAATCGTATCATAATAATCTATAGGTCAAAATGAAGCTTATAATAAGATGAATATAAATAAACACAATCTAAATAGTGAATAGTTATACCATAGGAATATATAGATAATATTAGTTCATTAATAGATCTCAGAAGTTACTCGTTATTTAATCTTCGCTAGGATATAACAATTGTCATTGTGGACATTTTCAGAGACTACTTCATATAAAAGTGGACTTTCTAGTTATTTCATAAATATTATATTGTATCATTTTGATGGCCTTATTCATGATTGATTGTCTTCATTTACTTTTAGACTTATGTTGATTATCAGTAATGGTTTACTTCTGGTTTTGTAATTGATTGTGTATGATATTGATTGTTTATTGTTATCAGTAAATGACTTGATTAGAATTTGGATGTTGATTGCTTAAACGAAACTATCAATTCTGTAGCAGTACTCATTATAAAACTTTATCAGAACAATAGATTATGATGTGTTATATTCTCTGATTTTAACAAATCCCTTACCCCCTTCATTCATATACCAGTTTTAATAATATCTTATTTGTAACCTTGACACAATGTATGATTTGTCATGCTTTACCAACTATGCTAGTTTCTGTATATAACATGATCACTGAGTACGAATTTTTGTGTAGATTCTACCCATGAACTAAATTCCCTCAATCTATTCTGTTAAAAATAATTTGTTGAATTAAGCTATTTGTTATGTAGAGCTGAAGGTCTCATATGAGACTGGAGGTTCACCATTGGTATTGTGGATGATTCGACATTACTTTGAGAAATTTTGCTAACTGTTCATAGGCAAAGTTGGTTTGTTGATTAACCGATTTCATTCATACTGATGATTGCTTTTCAGTGTTCTCAAGGGTCACTGTCATTAGAACATTGTAAAGCATATAACCATTGCTAACATTAATTAGTTTGCCTGTTGTGTAAACGAAATACGTCAACTTTGGCCTGTTACTGCTATGCATAATTGATTGACGCGATCAGTGATCGGAAGAATTATACATGTGATGTAAATATATATATGAATGATGCGAATAGTCCACCAGGGTGCTAGATACATGTGTGGTTGAGCTACAGGATTGAGCTGTACTATTCCAATTATAGCGTTAAAGCCTATATGATGTCTGGCTCTTCTGCGAAACGGGATAGAGTTTTACTGTTTGGGTTGTCACGTGAAAGTCTGGATGGTGTCCGGTTCTCCTGAAAACCAATGTAAAATTACCCTGACCCACAAGGGTATATTATAGAACTGCGATTATGTTTCAATGTTTACATTCTGAGTTGATTTCATTCCAGAAATATCATATACATTATTTGTGGTTACTAATATGTAAGTACAAATTTTCGTTTCTTTTCTTCTATCTTTTCATCAAACAAATTACAGAATATGTTAAAAAGAGAAATGAACCGAGAGAAATTACTAGAATATTTCCATAAAACCTATTTAAATCCTATGAAGAAAACTACCATATTTATTGACGTAAGTTGTACTGATGACATTTTTGTCATGGAAGAAGGGTAATATCTAATTAAACGAATATCAAGGTATATCTTAAGCTTCAGTTTCGTTTGATTTTCTATTGGTCAATAAACTAAATCTTTAAAATTGTGAAGGTGAATGCTGCCCCCCCCCCTTCGACTAGAACTTTTATTACTAAGAGTCAAAATTAGAAACATAAGTTGGGTAAAATATTTCAGTAGTGTTATTTCGGACTAAGATATTAGATGAAAGGGATTCGAATCACACAGAAAGTATAGATAGTATCAAGATTGTAGGGAAGATTTGCTGGTTAATGTTAATTTCAATGAAACTTTGATAAGACCTCAATACAGATTATAACTAATTATTTAAATATGTGGAAGGCGAGTAATAAATCAAACAACAATAGTGAAATGATGGATTGAATTAGTTAGAAAAATTAGTTATGAAAGAAACGAAATATGGTGTTGGGACGATACTGTGGAATTTCATATATTGAGCGATAAAAGTTAATGTGAAGATATTATATTTGTATGATAATGGAATCCAGAATGCACGTTTCGTCCGATTCGGAACTCATCCCAGATTTGATGTTCCGACTGGAACCAAAACCCAATATCATTCGCTCCAAACACCCAATCGTGTTATTCATTGAGTTACCGAGCTAAGATACTCATAGGCTTGATCAACCGGAATGAAAGTACCAGGAAGAGTTTGTCTTTTATTAATTGCCAACCCTATATCAAATACATTAAAGCTTATAACATGACCCTATACCGAGGCAATCTTCTCCGGATCCCTATATGACAACATGGGCTGTTTAGTTACAGTGCTGAATATCAATAATGAGAATCTACAAATACTGACTAATCGAGGGATAGTTTACGAATTATGAATCCTGTAGTTAAAAATACTAAAACTATAAATAACAGTAATAATTTCTACTATAAATAATGATTACGGAACGTACATCAACTTCCAGGCATTATATGTCAGATACAAATCAGTGAATGGTTACCCTGTAAGGATATGCAAAGGGAATCATGTGATCATTTAGCTTCCGAATTTCATATCCAAAGTACATAATGTCGGAAAAACTCGATTCTTCTGACTTCACATAATAACAAAAGACTGACAGATATTTGTCTAATCCTTCTTTTCTAAGCCATGGCGTGGATGAGATATCCATCAACAACCAAAAGATCAGTATATACTACTCAACAATTTGTTCTGTTTAGCGTTATGATTATAAAACGTGGTCTTTTAAAATAGAGAATATATGTACGATACTAGTATTTGTTCACAGATATCTTCAAAGTAGTGTTCGTGTATGTTAAGATCACTGAATGACTAATGCTGGTGTTATATCCACGGTACTATGTAAGGTTGACAAATCAGTTGATAAGATAACGAATCTTCACAAACTGAGGTGTTTAGAACATGTGATATGCATGCCCAACTATCACCTACCTCGACGAGCTACGTGTAATATTGAAGAACTAGGTTAGCAGAAAATCAGGGGCACTCAAAACAAGATGTGTGATCTGTTTATGACATTTGGCCTGAAACATGTTGATAGGTTTAAACTATCTGGTTGAATTTTAAGCAATATTTACAACTAGTTACTCAAAAATTTGGGTGACATGACTGAAAACCAGTAGCAATAAAATAAAACCTTTTTATATTTATCTTCTCTAAGATTCTGGGTTTAAAACTTATATTTTTCAATCTACTAATGAATTTAATCTCAAATCATGTTGTCTGTAAGTGGTACTAATACGGTTATTACTAATATCTTTATGAATTCGTCTTGATAATCTCTGTTCGAAGTGTTGGTATTACTTTGAAAATTGAACTAAAGAAAATATATATCTCAGGTTTCATGTGGTAAGGTGATGTAGTTAGGTTATGGAGCGGATTGGAAAAGCAAGAGCAGTATATCTACAACTGAAGAACAGCTGGAACTCAAAATAACTGTCAATCAACACCAAAGTCAGAATTTTCAATACAAATGTCAAGACAGTTCTGCTATACTGTGCGGAAACTTGAAGAACTACGAAAGCCATCATACAAAAGATACAAGTGTTAAATAACAGTTGTCTATGCAAAATACTTTGGATCCAGTGGCTAGACACTATCAGTAACAATCTATTGTGGGAGAGAACAAACTAGATCCCAGCGGAGGAAGAAATCAGGAAGAAGTACTGGAAGTGGATAGGACACACATTGAACAAAGCACCCACCTGTGTCACAAAGCGAGCCTTCACTTAGAATCCTCAAGGCCAAAGGATGAGAGGAAAATCAAAAAACACATTACGCCGGGAAATGAAAACAGATATGAGAAGAATGAACAACAATTGAATAGAACTAGAAAGAAAGATCCAGGACAGAATGGGTTGGAGAATGCTGCTCGGTGGTTTATGCTCCGTTGGGGAGGGTGTAATAGGCATAAATAATGAGTATGTAATTAGATATGAAAATAAGAAGCCCATGACCTTCATCGTATTTTCTCTATTTACTTTATGAATTTTTAAATTTCCATTAATTTAATACTTTAAGTTTGTTAATCATAATCAAAATCTCTCTGATTTTCACTTGTTTCAGTTTAGGAATATAGAATCTAATGAATTCATTAAATCATTGAATATTACTAAAATAAACGGAACAAATTTTAATCCCAACTTAAATTCTTATTTAAAAGATGAAGATCTTATGAATACATCTTATGAATTTTCTAGACAAACATCAAATGATTTAAGAACAATACAAAGGATTAAAACAATAAAACATATTGAATCATTCCGAACGGAGTTTAATCATTAGGCTAATCATCATTTACATAAATGTAATCAACAAACTATTCATAACCATTGATCAATTGAACTGGGTTCTTTTTCTTCATTGGTAAATTATTTCTTTTCATTTAAATGAAGAAAAAAGGAATTTGTCAATTTTCATTATTTATTATTGACAGTTAAACAAAATGACTTTTTTTGCGTGCGCCCGCGCGCGTGCGTACGTACCTGTGTGTATGTGTGTGTGTGTGTAATTTTTACCTATAATTTTAAATGAGAACAATAATTGAAGCTTTACATTAGTTGTTGTTTTCATAATCAAGGGAAATTTAGCTCTTAACAACACGACCATGTTAGATCGTTTGATTTCTTTAGCTTGTGGTAGTGTCGAGTCGCATTTGAATATGATCATCAGTACAGATCGATTACGTGTCAATTACCAGGTTAAATCCCTCCGTAGGATAAATATTAAAAGGACAGTTGTAGATTTTAGTTAGGATATATTGGTTGGTGATCTTGTGGTATCTAATTTATACCGAGGTCGTGCCAAAGTTTACAGGCGATACTACCGTGCGTTCGCGATTAAGTTTATGGTCACAAACAACGGAAAAGTGTGTTTTTGGTACTATTAAACAAAATGATACAGTCAAGCAATCACTGGTACAGTTGATCATAATAATAAATGCTTCCATCGCACCAATTGCGTTCTCTTCATAAAAGTAGATCACTATAAACTAAATAATTTTGTACAGGTAAAAGTTCATTCATTCTTCACATATACCTAGTTTCTTTGAACGATGAATTTCAATTGTATATAAAGCCTTAAATTGTTCATTTCTACTATGAACGTGTCATAAAACATTAAGACTATATGTGTAGGTTTATTTTAACTGACAATTAAACAGAGTTCATATTTAGAGGGAAAATCTTTATTGCATTTTCAAAAGCAATCACACATACTTCTACAGTTTTCATCTAAACTTAACAATTATTCGAGCACCTGTCAGAATGATTCTGATTAATCAGAGAGTAGAAACCAGTTTTATATTGATGTCGCATTTTTCAGTGACATAATTCTGTCGTTAAGACTGAAACCAAGCCACTAAGCTAAGTTATTTATGATGTAGCATTTGATGGCTGAAGGCAGTCAACAGGAAGTCCTTAGTTTGTCGTTAGAGTTAGCTGATGCTCATTCAAACTTTGTTATCGCATTCTTCAGAAAGCTAATGCTTTCCGTGAAATTCAAATATCCACTTTAACGAATAAACTGTTTCTTTCAATTCAAAACCAAATTGGAAAAATTTAATCTTATGATATTAGCTATTTACATAACACAAAATTGGAAAGAACAGACTGTTTTGATTCTTATAAGTTCCAATTATTGTGTGACATAAAAACAAGGCCAAGCTTTAGTTGTAATACACACTTTCTACAATCGATTTTGATGAGTAATTGTGCAGACGTAGTGATAATTAGTACTAGCCACGATGAGATTAGTAATTATAATTCTGTGGCATTTGTACTAACTAGGGGTTCCTTCCTACTTGAGTGGGCGCTTCTTTCAAATTACATATATAATACATCCAAATGTGCTCATCCAGTTCTGCCGACTTTAAATTGTACTATTTCGGTAATTCTTAGTTAACACATTAATTAATTCAAAAATTTTAATTATTATACAAGGTTAGTCTTTTATTGATACTTTTGGGGACCTTGAGTACTTGATAACACTGTGTTCTGCTTAATCACCATCCATTATTATCGTTGCCTATCAATACTGTGTTCCGTTCCAACTGTGTTTTATTGTCAATGAATATGGTTTTCTACTTTTCATGTTGATGGAAAGAGTTGATATTAGCTGATTTTGAATCCATTTAGCCACATGTTTCATAACACTTGATTACAATGGCAAACTAATCCTCTCTATGTACGAGTGTTCGCGCAAACTCATCACGTTTTTCTGATCGACTCCATCTTTTCATCCCTTTGTCGAAATTCGTAAAATGGAATAGTGTGATATTCAGTAGTCTTTGAATTATAGTGTGAACTAGGAATCTGAGAAATAATGTAATCGGATCAAGATAACCACAAACGAATGTACTGAATTTAGAATTCGAAATCAAGCACTCAACAAGTACAAAGGTATCATTAGTTCATTGAAACACCACATGTTTCTCAAATTGTCATCGCCCTTACACTGACTTGTAGCATTAATTGAAACAGTAAATCATCGTTCTAGACAAGAAAAGGAAGCAAGTGTTAGTCATCCCTAGCAAATGGCTGCTGAATAAGTAATTGTTTTTCCGGCAAATTCATTTTCAAAGCTGTACAATCGCAAATATATAAACTTATTTTTCAGGACGATAGTAATCATTACAATAATAATGATAATAAACTTCGGTTAGACATGATGACAGTGAGGTAAAATAGAAAAAGGTATAAAAAATTTTTAAACAAGAAAAACCTAATGACCGTTTGATTGGTAATGGCTTAAATATACATCAAAGGAAAATTATCATTGGGACAAGATGGCTCAACAAGATAAGATAAAATGTTGAAATGGAGATTAAATGCAATCAGGAGGATCGTAGAAGCAGAATTAAACCACTTGCGGACCATTTAAGGGGAAGCAGATGGCTGTAAAGGAAGAAGAGTATGAAGAAAGAAAAAAATAACGCGGCATTAAGACCATGGTAGAAGATGAGATTGAACCAATTTCTTCTGCACTCACAATCCTGTTTTTTTTCAGATGTATGGCTATTGCTATGGCAATACATAGAAGATGCAATCTAGTTGTCTTTGGAAACCTATTTACCTGGTGGATAACTGTGGACGCAGTCTGTCTTACTTCAGTAACCTGTATTCACAAGGTGTCCGATTACTGAACTTCTTATTGAGCCGTTTCCTTCTCTTTTTAGCCAAGCCGGATAATGTTCTTGAATTCTTTCGGATAAAGTGCGCATCAAATAACCTGATTCCACACGAGCAGGTACTATGGTAAATGCACATTGAGTCGGTAAGATGACATAATTTATCCCTAAGTTTACTGATGAACAATGACCAGCTAGAAAATATTAATCGCAATGTTGCTGCGAAGAACGTTCTTTTTAAGGAATCAGAAATCTTTCTCTTTAAGAAGCTTGCAACTCTATCACCCCTAAAGTCCATATTCATGTATAATGTTCTCTTTTTGACTGAAATCGTTTGTATTTTTGGTGGTTTTAGTTTTATGTTCTTATCAATCAATATCAAAGGATACCTGTTTTCAATGAGCATTTCCTTCAAGAAGCTCAGTTCTTCATCTATAAGTTCGGAACTGTAAATTCTTTGTATTCTTGTAAATAGTGATTATATTAAGTTTCTATTTCGACTATTGGGGACGCAGCTGTGGAAACGTGATAGTTGACTATTCCACATGAGTTTCCTTTAGATAGATTTTCTTAGAGTTCCATCTTGTTTTCTTGTCATTTCCACATTAAGAAAGTGAATATTTAGTTTGTTTTCAGTTTCAAGTGTGAAAGTTATTGCTTGGTGATAATTACTTAATATCTTTGGGAGATAACTTGAGTCATATTTGTTGTTACAAATGATAAAGATACCATCTACTCACCTATAATCGTTTTAAGTTGGTTGTTTTCTAAACTGACCATGAAGTTGTAGCGTGGTGTCGAGTTGAGATTAACTATGAACACCGCTACAAAGAAACACGTGCCAAGTAAATCAGAAGGCGAAGGTTGAACGTAACCAAATAAATCCATAAGATCCCCGAGAAGCCAAATATCAGAAGGCAGTTAATGGACCAAATCGAGATATATTCGCTGGCGATCTCGTGGTATCGAAAGGATACCGAGGTCGTGCCAGGATACAAGCTTGGTTACAGAATGTAACCGAATTCGCGTGAAGTCACAATCAAAGTGTAAGAATCAGAATGGAAGCACAATATAGCTGTCATTAGCACAGTCAAACAAAAGCACATTAAAACAAACACTGGTACAGTTGGTTATAATAATAATTGTTTTTATTAAACCAGTCGTGTTCTCGTGATAAATGTGAGTCACTACAAAGTTATCCTCTAATAATTGACCAAGTGGGAATCATGTTGCTATGCCATTCACTCCCCATACTTCTGTCTATGAATTACGTCGATGAATGTAAAGTGTACATAATAAGAGTTCCTTAAAATAAAGTCATGGCATTCTGTCGTTAATCTCATTACGATTTACGTACTTGCAAAAAAACTAAAGGTCTCTGTGAGTGGAACATTAGTGGATAGTGATTCGGCATCCAAAGATAGCATAATTTTGTCATTTACATTCACTTGCTTAGTGAAATGTGACTTACCCTAGACGATAAACGGACTAAAAGATTAACAGGGTGAATTTAAGGTTATTATAAATTGTTTGTGTGCACATAACTGCTGTCTAAATTTACGAATAACGAATGCCTAGTAGTGTGATAACTGTAGATATCCAGGATTCCTGCTGTCCTGTGACAAATCCAATCACTCAAACGTCAATATATATATGTCCACAAATAACTAATCAGTTTCAGTTTCAGTTTCAGTTTGGGAAGGACAGGAGGCTCGATGGCCTATGTTAGTCCTGGCAATGGTGGTCTCTCAGTTGATCCAACCTTCTTTTGAAAGAGTCGACGGATGGAGCCTCAACCACGTGCTGAGGTAGTGAATTCCACTCGTTGATGATTCGATGGGAAAGTCGATAGTCAGCTGACAAGTAATTTGTTCTCGGCTTATGAACTTTTTTGGAGTGTCCTCGTAAATTGTCTGTTTTGGAAGACAAGAAAAATGAGGGCATGTTAGGTGCAAATTTATCACTAAGCAATTTGTAGACTGTAATCAAGTCGCCTCTAGTTCTGCGATATGACAACGGGAAAAGGTTCAGCTTGGCTAGTCGAGATTCATACGGAAGCTTCGCTATTGCGGGAACCAGCTTAGTCGCCATTCTCTGAACCTTTTCCAGAAGCTCTCTGTCTTTTTTTAAGCAGGGGCTAGCCGCTTGTATGCAGTACTCAAGTTTAGGACGAACGAACACTGTATACAAAGTCAAAAACGTCTTAGTGTCGACATGACTAAAAGCCCTACGTATTGACCATAACGTTCTAAAACTTTTGGCGGCTATTGCACGGCAGTGTGCAGTAGTTTTTAAGTCTTGACTAACGATAACTCCTAAGTCATTATATGTCTGGACGACAGGTAGCTCAGTGTTATTCATCGTGTATGTATCTGTGCCTTGATGACCGATATGCATCACAACACACTTGGAAGTATTTATCGGCAACTGCCATGTTTGAGACCATTCAGATAACTTCTTCAGGTCATTTTGAAGTTCTAAGCTATCACTCTTACATCGTATCGTTCTCCATATCTTGACATCGTCAGCATATAGCAAGACCGATGATGATAGGAGACAAGGAAGATCATTTACATACAAGAGGAATAACACTGGCCCCAAAACTGTACCCTGGGGCACTCCACTAAGCACAGTTTCCCAGCTAGATAACTTTGAGTTCACCCTTACTCTTTGTTGACGCCCAACTAAGAAGTCTTTTATCCACATCAATAAATTACCTCCAATCCCGACATGTCTTAACTTGTATAACAGCCGGTTGTGCGGAACTTTATCAAAAGCTTTACTGAAATCAATGAAGGCGACGTCTACAGGTAGCTTTTGGTCCTTAAGAGCACACCAGCTTTCACGAGCCACTAATAAGTTAGTGAGACAAGAATAACCTATTCTGAAGCCATGCTGCTTCTCCGAGAGGATCCGGTTTTTATCGAGATACTTAAACAGCTCCTTCCGAATAATCTTTTCTAATATTTTAACAACCACACTAGTTAGGCTAACGGGGCGGTAGTTCTCAGGTTTGTGTTTCGTGCCTGTTTTGAAGACAGGACTTACTATGGCGTTTTTCCAATCTTTCGGTAAGCGACCCTGCGTAACGGATAGGTTAAAGCATGTACTTAAAGGGTTCGCAACGAAGTTAGATAATTCCTTCAGTAGCCTAGGATGTAATTCATCGGGCCCCGTGGATTTACCTACGTCAAGCTTATTTAGCAGACCAAAGACATCGAGTTCTTTAATGGTCACGCTATCCAGTGTATGTATGGGGGGATCTGTATACGCTGACGAGAAGGGCGCTTCTATGGTATACACGTTGCTAAAGTAGTTCGAGAACGCTTGAGCCTTACCAAAGTCGTCCTCCACTAATGATGAAGCAGTACTGTCTCCCCATAGAGCAGGAATATTTCCTTTTCTCCTTGTCCTTTGGTTTATATAGGAATACAAGCGTTTAGGACATTCTATGGATTCCTTAACAAGTTTTTCTTCGTACAATTTTCTAGACTTACGGAGGGTCGAGGCACAAGTGTTCCGAGCCTTTCGATACTGAGATTTTGACTCATCAGTCCCCAGTAACCTAAATCTATCCCACGTTTTCCTTTTCTTACGGAGAAGGATACGGACCTCCCTACTGAACCATGGTGGTGAGTTTTTCGGCCCCTTTGGTATAGTCCAAGGGATGTGAGGTGTGGTAACTTTTAAGTATGATTTTCGAAATGTGTTCCAGGCCGTTTCAATGGAGGACTCTGGGTCTATTGTCCAATCTATTAACGATGCTGAGTGCATGATGTCTGGTATGTTTGCTTTCCAGACGTTGGGTCTGGACTGGACTGACGCGTCCTCATGACTGGCAGTTATATGGAAGTCGAAAGTTAAAACTGCGTGGTCACTTTTACCTAAGGGTGGCATATGGTGGAGGTTCGCAACATCATCCTCATAGTGAGTCAGTATAAGATCTAATAAGGATGATTCAGTGTCCGGGTCGTACCTAGTCGCTTCTTTCACATGTTGCACTAGGGCACATGTGATAACCGCATCAACTAGTTCCTGCTCAAAGGAATTTTCTGACGATTCAGTTCGCAGATTTTCCCAGTCTACCATTGGTGCATTAAAGTCCCCTAGGATTAGACATCGACCACTTTGGGACCAAGTATTGAGACTGCTTAACAGGATCTCATTTGCCTCACAGCTTGGACTGCGATAGACCAAACCAATCAGCAGCTCTTGTCCCTTGCATTTTAGGCGAAGACTAACTAATTCGCATGTCCCACTCTCATGGGATACACTATCGATAATGGTAAATGGGATAGCATTCCTAATGAATAGAGCTACTCCCCCTCCTTTGCGCTTTTGTGTTCTGTCGGCCCTTACTAACGTAAAGCCCTCGAAATCAATTTCTATACTATCTATAGCCTGTGTCAGCCAGGTTTCTGTTACTGCGATTATATCTGGCTTTATAGAGTCAATCTGTACACCTAGTTCCGATCGCTTATTAAGTAAGCTTCGTGCATTGGTGTAACAGATCCGAAGCCTGTTTAGGTGCCTTCGTGCTTCACCCAGACTGGCTTCGGCATCATTCTCTGTCGAAGTCTTACAACCCGAAAATTTACAATTTTCAGGTCCTTTTCGCCAGCGTCTAACCTATGTTGTAGTTCTTTCTCGGCTTCCCGTCTTTTAACACGGTCTGCCAACGGTAGGTCCTTTCGGATAAAGACTCCCGAACCCTTTAATTTGTGTCCATTTTGTAAAATTAGGTCACGTTCGTTTGAAGAGCCGAATACTACTTTAAGCAGTCTGGAATGATTTGGTTTCGAGTCCGTTAGACTCCCTAGTCTATACACCTTTAGCAAGGTGACCCCAGTCATATTTTGAGGCATGAGTTGATTAAGCAGCTGCCTAATCAGTACAATGTCATGCTCAAAACGAGCTTTAGGTTCAGAGCTATCGCTCTCCTTAATTCTATGAAAAATAGCTGATCTGTCGCTATGATCAGCTTTCGATATTTCGACCACTTTTACGGGGGCAGGTTTCCCTTTTATGTCAATACTTTTCTTCCCTACAACCTTTACCCATTCGTTAACGCTGCTGGTAGAAGCAGTAGCAGTTGCGTCAAAACTAGTGTTGGGTTTTGGGGGGTTTTCGACGACCTGAGGGGTCGTGTTATGTTTACCATTCGAAACCGATCGAGCCTTGCGATTGCGGCTCCTAGGTGTTTCCTGTTGGATCCCATCTGGGAGACGGGGAACAGAAGACCCTGCTTTTCTTGAGCTTTTTTTTAAGGCAGACTCCTTTGGATACTGCTTTTCCTTCTTCGACGGGCGTGAGTCATCTATCACCGGACTCACCTTAGTTTCCTTCAGATTGATTTGCGTGTCAACAGATCGAGTGCTGTTTGACGCGTTCCGACTATGCTTGTTGAAACACTTCTTGGCAGCATCAACCAGTGAGATAGCCTCGGTTAACAAGCTGTTTGCATCCGAGCAGCACTGTTGACAAAGCCACACACACCCCTTCTTACTGAACCGTTTGAAAGCAGCAGGCGTTAAGTTCGTGCAAACTTCGTGGTACCAGCCTTTGCACTCGTCGCACTGCATGCCGCTTTCAACAGGATAACGACAACCCGGACGTTGGCAACTGCTTTTTTTACACTGTCCGGTCATTTAGGAGGGGTTTTTTCAATATGCGATGATACTCAGAAACAAAAAAATTATCAATGACCAAAAAAGTGAAGAGCTGTAGATTGCTAGGACCAAAAGTACTAACAGATACAGTTGAAAAAGTGGTACTAAAGAGTACCAACGACAAAACAGTAAAAACGATACTTTAGTCGAATACTTTAACTGAAATAAATTCAATTAAAGTGAAAAACAGTAGTCTTGATACGTAATAAACGATCAAAACAATAAAATTTACTCAGCGAGGAAAAATACCACTGTCAACTAGAATTACTGCATCCGAGTGGCTGGGGTACCATCCATGGGGCATTATCAAATGTCTGAAAGTTACCAGAACAATAAGAAAAGAGCGCGAAATCAGTCGTCACAAGTTGTTAGACATTGGATATTGGACTATATAAGCGCAGGTTTTGTCACTGTCGTTACAGTCCCGTAAGCTGAGGTTTTGCGTTTTGTCTAGTGAGTTAAAGTTGATGCCTATAATATATGTCCACACGCGTTTAAAAACTGTAAGTTTTCCATACTTACTAAAAACCTGGATTGGGCCATTCAAGAATGTCTCAGTATTTAGAAGTAAGTTGGACTATAGCTAGCTGATATTTATGGCTTCCAAACGTCTCTGTAATATAACTCAGGCATATTCCTTACCGAACACTTCCAGTTATGCAACTAGTAAAGGTCTTCGTGTAGTTTCTTCCGCAGGGTTATCACTGCGCATCATATTTTCCCCGATTGCACTTGGTGTTTCTATGATGGGAAATCTAATATTTATTTAGCTAAAATCTTCTTAGAATTTTTAGAATTACTACGAAATTGTGGTCCAGTTATTTCTATTGTCATGTTTGTTGACTTGTCATAAAAGTCTATTTTACACACGTTTGTTTCCAGATTTTGCTAATGTGAATTTCGTCTCGTCGTTAGTGATGCTGATTATTGCATAAAATGGAACAAGTACGCCATGGACAAGAGTCGTGGGCTCAATTTGATGACGATGATAATTCTATGGTTAGAAAACCCTTATCAATTCCTATTTGTACTTCTCACTGTAAGTATTTTCCAGCCTACATTAAATATTATTGTATGACTTTACGAACTTTCTCCTATACTATCTTCATAATACGGAGTTATGATCAGACCCTTTTTCACAGGAGATAATAATTAAAACTGCCCCTGACAGCATGTTTTTGAATGACCTAGTGAAGGTTCAGCATTTCACTTCGAATGTTCATTCTTTATGTTTAGTCGACTTTGATTACATTACCTCTCAATCTTGTGTCAATATTCATACTAGCTAATTGGAAAAAAAGAGCGAATAGCGAAAATATTCGGATGTGTAAAAGTGTCTGGCCAAACTAAGCAATATCAGCAAACTATTGTTGGAACTACGTTCTGAGTTGGATATTTTCATCTCGAAGTTGATTATCCTTCTGGACAAAATGATCAGCATCAACTCTGGGTAGAAGTGAGTTCTCTATAATGGAGGACAAGATTTAATCGATTGTGAAAAAATCTGAATAGCTCTATTCTATCCTAAATTTGTCCTGATGTCCAGAAACATAGTGATGTCTTCACGATTAAACCATTTAGCTCAGAGAATGAGACTTCACCCAAAATATCCTCCTGGGATAAAAAGCTTCTCCACCTTCCTAACATGGATGATTTGAATGCATGAAACTACCATTGCCACAGTCCATGGGTGAACCTTGTGTAAACACCATTATGGTCTATACTGCTATTCAAATTCTAAATATACTGTAGTGATAACTTTCTTATCACCCTCAACATCCGTCTAATCTTTCTAAGAGATCTAAATGCATTGGTCCTTCAGTCTTACATCGGCATAATGATGCTTCGCCGACTCCATAAACCTTTGTTAGCTATCACCATTATTGGCACTGGGACTTCAGTTTGAACCTCTGTAACTTATTTTAATGACAACAGTCATATCAATATCTTTATACGACTTTTAGAAACCCAGGAAGATACGCTGGCGAAACACTGTTGATTATATTGGGAAACTAGTCAATTTCGAGTAGAGATCATCTGTTTATTTTAATTTTTGTTTGACTATCGATGTAACAGAGATAGTACTACCACATAGATTGCAATTCTGTGAATCTCAAGTGCTAAAAAATATAACTTAGTCACCTGTTATATTCACGCCTGTATTAAATTTCGAACCTACCTTTGCCTCCGATGTATTTATCCAAGCATTTGACTCATTTCGGAATTAGGTGTCAGTGGTTTATTTCTTTTATAAACCAGTGGACTTCCTCGTTTACTTAGTATGAATTTATACTTAGATCTACCAAACTGTGATAGTTCTGTTTGTATACTTTACCTTTAATCAATGGGTCATGATTTCGTGCAATGTTTCGCGTAATAAGGCTGGAATGACTCGATAGTGTTATTAACCTTCTCACTATGCGTATCATTCATAACCAGGTACATCGCTGTACACTCTATATATCTCTCTATATTTATGTCCCCTACAAAACGCGGTTTTAGATAATTTCCGAGACTGATTAATGTGGTGATAGTAGCAATAGAATGAAAGTTGGGGATTTTATAATATCATAGCTTCTGAAGCAAATAGTTTAGAGGCAAAGTGTGAAACGTAACTTCGGAATTTTATAGAATCTATAAAGGATAGCACAATCTGAGTTGAATAAAGGGTTCTAAACAGACAGAATAAGTTAACTAGTAAGGTTTTAACCTTGTACCCATTGGAGGTTCTAGGTAATATAATACAAAAATCAAGTTATTTTCAGCCTTGATGTGTGCAATTTTAGCAGAGATGAGGTTAGATTGAAAAAAAACACTAATCTAAGTGAAAATAAACTGTACTTTCACATCTACATTCATCCTTCGTTTAAGCTGATTTTTTACATGTTGAACTCACTACAAGTAATTCTGATCAGCTGAACAATTGTTAACATGTATTTTTTAAAAGAAATACCACAAAGTACTATATTCTTTAACTAACCCAAACCTTGATTCTCCTATTTATTCACTAAATGTTTTTATGTTCACTTCAAAACTGGAATCCTGAGAGTTCGGTTCCATACTATAATGAAAATTGTCACATTAACTTAAGTGTCGTAAGCCACTTAACTAAGCAAAAGAAACTGAACATTACTTTTTATTCAAATCCTCTACTGTGTGGCGCATATATATCTGATGCCCCCTTGTACCAATATTTATGTGTTCAAATAAATAATAAATGAAGATTCTCTACTAAAACAATAATGTTTATATTTGGTGAAGTACTACATGTGACATAAACGTAGTCAACAACATAATCGCTTGACTTCAAGCCGCACAGTCTGCTTGAAAAATGATAATGCTAACTGCCTCCTCAAATTGAAGTAGGTGAAGTGATACTTGAACCGATCAAAACATTTAAACCAAACTAAATTGGTTGCAAATATTGTGATGCATTATGACACTTTTTTCACTTCCATGCAACTTTATTATCGGCATTTTGAATATTGTTTGTTCTCATTCTTTTTATTTAGCTTATTTCTCTACAGAAGCGTCATTCATTAATCAACAACAAACAATGAATCCACATTTCCCTAACTTGGGATCAATCAATCAGAATTTAGTGTTTCCTTCCTCTTTGAGTCAATCAAATGAATTACCTATGCTTAAGAATCCTTCAGATCCTAGATCATCACCATTTGCTGCAGCTCATCACCGGTCACCAAGATCAATAAGTGTATGAGACACATCGTTGTTTTGTTAATTTTTTGAATTTTGTAACTATTGTACTCGTATGTCTGCTGTTATTTAAAAAATAAGGGATAAGTAGGAAATTTGTTTCGAAAAACATTGAATTCAAATATCTATGTGAAGCAGTGACTGAGTGTTTTGAGTTAAGTACACAAACTTGTGGTTCAGGATTTTCCATCAACTACCTCTAACCACCGAATACAAATTATTTTTAATTTTGATCAAAATTCTAATCTTCGTTGTCTATGATTATTATTAGATAAAGTCTTGTGATGATCTCTATGATGTTATTTTTATATTGAATGATAGTAAAGGTTGAACATAATAATGGATTTGAACCTTTCCCAAAGATTATATAGTCGCTTTCTTCCCGACGACTTTCACGAACCGAAAACTTTCTGTTGGCTCATCGTGTATCCTATTCACTACTTTTTTCAAATATCTAAAGTTAAATACATTATGCTACAATCTCCTGTGACAGTTTTACATTATTAGATTAATGTATGGCCGACTGTAAATATACACGTTTATGTAATTTGGTCACTGCTTAGGAGACAACAATACTACCTGTCTAAACTGAATTAAATGGTACAGAACTTGAACTTTTGACCTCAGTTAGTCGTAATTAGCATACACCCTAACACTTATATGCATCGGTCCAATTTGCTGCACCATACCAATACACCAAGATGAAATTATCTGAACAAATCTCGGTGTAGTAGTAGACGTAGTAACCGTTTCAATAAGAGTAGAGGAGATTGAGTATGGACTATATAATTCCAGAAAAAGAATGAATTCGTGAAGCATAAGCGTACAGAATAACTACGAGACTCAGGAGTTAAAGGGAAAACTAAGGGCGAATGCATTCGCATCATTGCGACTGATTCGTGTCATCACCAACGTTTCCAACCTTTAATAACGACTTTATTGGTTTCTGAACATTTATCTCCACAGTTCTACATTATTACGGTAACATACATGCACCTTTGTAACTCAATCTTTCTAAATGATGTATACTGTCACTCTTGAAATATTTTGATATTGCTGTCGATATCAAACAAAATGTGTATTTTCTTTCACTAAGAATATTCAGATTGTCATAATATTTGTGAGGATTGTAGCCTAACATTCCAACCGAAAAGCATATAGAGATGTGGTTGATATCCTTCAGTAGTGTAGCTACATCACATTAATATCTATCGGCCCATTATGTCCTAAAAACTTCGTAGTCTAATGGTTTAATATGTTCTAAGATATGAATTAGAATAGAAGCCAATGGCGAGCATACCGTAGTTTTCTGTTATATTATTCATAACAGTTAAATGTATTTTTGACTAAACGGAATCCGCCTTGATTGTTTTCTCAACTACATTGCACGATTTTTTATTTGTTGGTTTACTGTTTATGTGACGTCTCCCCCTTCTTTTTCCTTGCAATACTATCATTTTTAATTGCGTTGCACAACTACACCAAACATTTTTATATTGTAAATAAAAATACTTTAGTATTATTGTAAACCGCACAATATTTACCATCCATAACTATTTGCCAAATATTATATTGCCTTGCATTTTCATCGGTCATTAGAAAACAGTCTATCATGGGAATTTAAATAGTCACTCGGATATGAATTCATCGCATTGTACAGAGATACAATTTCACAGTCATCAATTGAATAACTGGTCTAGTTTTAATCAACCAACCGCTCAATTCAAACAACAGTCCAATACTACAGATATTACTCCATTAGTTATTACTGCTAATACAACTACTACAAATTTCTCTCCCAGTTTAAATATTTCAAATGATGATTTTGCTGTAAGAAATCAACGTATTGTAGATCCATGGGCAGTTACATCTGATCAGAAAGCTTATTATTTATCACAGTTTCTCAGACTACAACCAGATATTGGTTCAAAACTCAGTGGATTGCAATCGAAGACATTCTTTGAATTATCAAATTTACCATCTTCAGAATTATCAAAAATTTGGTAAATATTGTCTTCAAGTTCGTTTATTTGTTTTTCATATCATTCATACATAAACCAGCTGAAATTATTCATGGGACGATTAAGAATTAGTAATAAAACTCTTCAGAAATGTATTTAGATTGGATAGATTGTGTAAATAACAGTAGGGACTAGGATTGGTGCGTTTCGTCCTATTTGGGGCTCATCAGTCAGATGTACATATATACAAGAGTTAATGTCCTCACCGAGAATCAAAATAAGTGCTTTCCACTTAAATCGCCAACACGTCATCCACTAGGCTACTGAGTCCAGATATCTACCACATTATTTAATAAATATGATGTTTAGATCATTATTAGTAAGAGTTTGAATTATTTCTTTAGTGATATTTAGATATGAATTTTAATCATTCTGTTGGCATATGAGCACCTTGTACATATTCCCTTGATATGGCCATTTTGTCACAACATTTTCTAGAATAGGTATATTATGGCCAATATCGGTATCCAGAACAGTTTGTATACTCAAATTATATACGTATGTACGTATATATTATAAACGGAACGTCAGAAATTTAATTTTTTTACTCATTGCGATATTACTTGTGTACTTTTGAATAAATCCAATGCAGTCTATACAAGTCGACTTAACTAATCTATGCTAAACATTTTTACTTCCGATAAGTTCAAACACTTCATACCCTGTATATGTCTTGTTTCAGGTAAACTGATCTTGTACCGTTATGAGGCTGTAGATAGTAATAAGTAATATGTTTCACCAAATGATATATTTAAATACTTTAAGATTTGTACTTCCAAACAATTCTAAAACTTCGATATTTATTCGTCAATCAAATTTGTTTTGTGTATACTTTTTAAGGAATATTTATCAGATAATTATTTTATGGTATCAATTATATAGACATTGTAGTGCGCGTACTTCTAATTCAGTTGATTGATGCTAAAAATGTTAACCATATTGAATTATAAATCAGTGGTTTAAAGGTTAAACACCTACTACAAAACTTGAAGATTCTGGGTTTGATTTTTATAGGTCATGGATACTAACTGTTAAAGAACAAAATGCTGGGACGAAACAGCTGTCCATTGCTTTTTAATCTTGAATGGTTGTTTAACTAAAGTCGATCTGTGAGATAAACTATGAAATTTAACAATTTCCACAAACTGATTGTACCAATTCAATAATTATCGTTATTATTTTTTGCTATCCTTTAATACGTACAGTCAATTGAGTGTGTACTCAATCATATTTTGTTATTTTGACGTTATATTGCAGTCTCTCTGATATTGTTCACAGCGTAAATTACCCAACATAATTATTGTTTTGTATTGAATACTATTAATCCGAAAATTCCACTATAAATAATCAGTCATTGTATTTCATCTTTAGGGAACTGTCTGATCTTGATCATGATGGACAATTAACATTGAGTGAATTTTGTATTGCAATGCATTTAGTTGTGTATCGATTAAATGGTGTTCCAATTCCTAATAATTTACCGACAGTTTTATTGGAATTAGTTGAAACTAATTGGTTATCTACAAAATTGTCATCAACATCATCACCAACTGTAAAAGTAAATACCACCACTACTGCTACTACTACCAACGGTAGTTGTACTAATAATTACGAACTAACTAATTGTACATTGAATTCTACTTGTCAACAAAATCATATCAGTTCAGTCAGATATAAATCAATAGATATGCCTGATTCATGTCAACATCACGATAATCATCGTCTATCATTATTCTTATCCTCTTCATCACCAATTTCATCTGTGTCAACTTGTCAAGTTAAAACACTAACGACATCATCATCAATTCATGTCAATACATCTCGAACTGAAATGATTCAATCTACAAATTTTACAGAGTTGAAACACCCTCATCATGAACCAAATCAGCAACAACAAAGACGTTGGTCTTTATCTAGTCAAAGTGATGTTAGCAGTTTATTAGCATCAGAAGAAGGAATGATCTTATTCGAATCGAAATTAAATGCAAATGCACAAGTAAATAAGTTTATAAATTATAATTATTTCTTTTTCAAAATTATATATATATACTCGGGACTAGATAATATCCTCCGATTATAAAGGCTTAGATCTTTTAAAGATGATCATTATTGCTGAATGGTAATTGGTATAAGTTGATATTAGAAGGGTGATTTATTAAGGTAGCGTAGGTATAAATGTTATTTAGATTTTTAAGCAACACAGTTTAGTATGACCTAAATGTGCAAATTCCAATGGTTTAGTATCCTGCGTAAATTGTCTAGTATAAATCTATTTCCGTAATTCTTCTACCATCTTGTGCTTTATTGTTACATACTGTTCCGTGGATCTTCACAATAATATATCCGATTCTTAATTCATTTAAACTCTGTCTCTTTTTTCGAACATCAACTTAGTTATGACATCTGCGACCGGCACAAACGCTAATACAGTTTGTTTGATTCGTTAAAAATGAGCGCGCATGAATTTAAATTAATGAAATAATTTTATTGAATTTCATACTAGGAATTGTATGAACCTGAGTGAACTAAGGCGATAAACTCCTGAGTGCTTCTTCAGTATACCAATAAAGATACTAGTCTAGCGGTTCCGAATTTCGAGTTGTCGAAAGATCAGAATTTGTTTGTTTTTTTTTTACCTTGTCCATTATAATCTAGAATGGAATTTTCGTCTCTCATAGTTATCTCGTATTCAGACTGTAAAGTTATTGGTCTTTGGTGGTTTCCAACTATTGAGTCACAGGTTTGAACACACTCTGTCTAATGTAGTTTGAACGGTATCGCTAGCCCTCACATTAAGGAATTTTAGCTTGACTCCACCAGTTATCTAAAAACATACTTGGTAACCAAGTTACAATAACTATGCCACTCTTTATCTCCTTTTTATCTTCCCAAATAAGGGATAAAATAAATAAATGAGCCAACTTATTCACCAATTACTTGGGTATGAATCTTACTTTAGATATAAGGGCTAATGATACTACCGGTTTGTCCATACCGGAGTGCGTGAAACACAGTTAGGACATGAAACTGAGTAGTTGAAAGTTGAGCACTTCAACCACTAAGTCATGAGTTTTAATAAGTTTCTTTCATCTTGAAATTTTTTCTCTCTGTCTTTTACTTTCTGCCAGTTAAAACATCCTATCCCATTAAGAGCTAAAACATTACCATCAAATGTTATTCCTGAGCTGGTGATTTCAATGATGACTACACCTCAAGATTATTCTACCGTAGATCATCAAAATGATTTTTCGCATACATATCAACTTCCATATAGTAGTAATAATGATAATAAATTTTCTACTGCAATTAGTAATCCAATGATTGAATCAACCCCTCGGTTACAACCACAGCCGATTACAATTCATTCATCTCCTATATTATTCAGTAGTCAACATTCCGATTCGATAACATCTCCGTCGTCATCAGTAATACAGAAGGCTCCACCTCCTCCACCACCACCTAGAGCTAATTTGTTACTTGTCACTAATATTGATTGTGTTCATAATGATAATATGGGACAGAAATGTGGTGTTTCACTAATTGAAGAGAAAGAGGTTAGTTGTATACACCATATTAAGCTTGTTTTAAACTAACTTTTTTTAGCGTTTTTTGTGTATCGATAGTTCCTTATCACTATGTTCGTCGATCTGTCATGTTACCTGATGTAAAATGTAGGTTGGATAGAAGATAGCGGTGATCGGAATAAAACATGTTATCACTCTATAAGTTCGTTGACTGTTGGACTGTTTGATATTAGTAGGTTGAGCACTACCTGATTAGGATCCATGCAGTTATCATTATCTATGGTTGGAGAGATCGGGTGACTTTTCTTAGAGTTGATTACAATAAAACAGATACATTCACTCTTTGGTTTCTTTTAAATATTGAGTTCTATTGTTTCTTACATATCATACCTTTTTGTTACGTCATTCGGAACCATATTGTCAATATATAGGTTTTCTCAATATTATTTGTTCACTGACTAGTAACCCTTAGTTGAATATATTTTGCATAAATAAATGATTATTTCATTACCTTCACCCCTCCGAAAATAAGCAATTAACAGAGTCTAGTTGGTTGGCAGTTCTATTCTTTAGAATAGATTCGATCGGAGTATTTTTGATCGGTGCTATAAGCAAAATTGACAGCTTAGTCGAGGTTTTATGACCAGGTTAATTGATGAAGCAATTAGAAGATGAGCTGTACTAGATGAAAATAATTTTGATCGCAAAATGATGTAGAGGATCTGTAACTCAAGTGGATAGTTTCTGTAGTATTCACATTCTTTAAGCTAGATAGATTAGATTAATTACGATGATTTTGTTGTCGATATGAACAATTCATTATCATTAGCAATTTGAATGTAAAAGTAAGACTTCAAATTATTTCACATGCACTAAGTTAGTTCGTTTTGGTGATCTTGTTTGTGACTGATTGTCTTCTCAGTTCTCATTATCTTCATGTCTCTTTGTGTCCTCGTCGACTATTTAATTCGACTTAACTCTGATCATGATGACTTTCCAAGCATGGATTGATAAATCAGACCTATATCAGTGTATCAGTTGATTACGTATTGACATTAATCCTATACTTCTCGAATTTCTCCGACATTTTGAAGTTTTTCTATTCGATTGCTCTCTCTCCTACTACTTCTTATAACTGTTAGAAAACAACATGGCCTAGAACATAGAAAATCATTGACGGAAATCCCTCTCTCTCTCTCGTTCATCTATCATCAACCTGAAATATTAACATTTAATTAAATCGGTACTTAGTCAGTTAGTCATAAGCAACGTAGAACCTGCCACATATGTGCATTGGTTTAATTTACCGCACTGTATCAGCACAACAAGTTGATTTCGACTACTGTTTAGAGATATGTGGGTGGTTGTCACTTCCCAGCTACCCATTCCATAAAACGATACTTCTTATCAAGGGATCCGTAAGAGGTACTGTTTTAGAATTAGTCTTTATAACTATGGGGCGTAATCACAGAACTCATAGTATAACTCCTTGTTCTTGATGTGCTAGCTTTGTAATTTAAAAGCTTTAGCTCCAGCGTTGAAATCCATGAGGAAAGGTAAAGTATACTATTTGTTTGGGACCAATCTTTTATAACCATCCCGTTCTGTTGTGAAAAGGCAACGTCGACGTTAGTGCTGGTTACCTAAGGTGAGCGTCTTACTACCATTACAGCGTAATACAGTTAGCTCTATGAATTTGCCCAGAGACCTTAAGTTGATTCTTTTAGCCATGTGCTATTCATTCTTTTGATGTTCGTCTCCAATTCTCGGCTTAATGTGTTCTTTGGTCTGCCCTTTTTCCTTATGCCTTAAGGATTTCAAGCTAGGGCTTGGTTTGTGATGCAATTTGATGATTTCTGAAATATGTGCCCTATCAACTTTTAGCACCTTTTCCTAATTTCCTCCTATTTAAAGGTTTGTTCTTCTCAACAGTAGGTTGTTGCTGATGTTACCTGGTCACAACATACATTAATTAAGGTTAAAACATAGGGTATGGGAAATAGAAAAGAAATATATTAAACAGATGCTATTTTGTAGGAATTATCCTTAAATCATTTTACAATCTAACGTCTATCATTTTTCAAGAAGAAAAGAGATTTGTGACAATTGATAAACACAATATACACTGAGCTAAAACAACTGGATTTAGACCACAATCTAGAATTAGGACTACCACTACTACTATTAGTATTCACACTACTAATACTAAGAGGTTTACTGCTTAGTTATACTTCCTCTATGGTTTAATGCAAAATAGACGAGTCGTATAGCTAATAATTAAATGTAGGACAAGTGTTTCATCTTCTTTCTGACTCATTCACTAAGTTAATCTACATACACCAATGTTGATACTCATATTCAAACTTGATCCCAGTATTTCTCCCTTCAAAGTTCACCTGATTGATCAGTCTATGTTAGGGTGGTAGTCTGTAAATAATGTATATATATGTCAACTAAAAATAATCAAAATTTCATCCTAAATACAAGCAACAGGATCGCTTTAACCCTAACTAATCATATAATGAGATACAATTGAGCAATTCACTTTCGTATAAAATAGTCAATCGACATGCAGCAAATGTTTAAGGCTGAAATGACTAATAATTAAGACGTATTTTCATACGATTTCCTGAATTTCACTGATTATTTAATAAGAAGTGTTAAACTGTTCATGCAAAGTAGACAGTAAGGTACAATTTTCGTGAATAGGTATATGTATGGAAAACTCGATTCAAAGAATCTATTCCTATGTGATTGGTGCATATATATATAAATACAGTCCTCTAACACTTTCAAATTTTACTTGTCTTAATATTAACCCACTAAGAGAGTTAGATCAAAATTCATATCATTGTTAGTACGAATTGTTTAATCCAGTTTAATTATTAATTCATTATTATTTTTTCTTCTATATGTATCTATCTTAGTAACAAAAATGTTTATATCTGTTTCGTAGTGTTGATTGGCTAAAACTCTGAACCAATTGTAGAATTGAACTATAATCTAGGAATTTGCTTATCTCTGTTGATTTCGTTTGTTTTTGTAATTTAAACGTGTTCATTCCACCATTGTTTGTCATCTGCAAAAGACTACTAACAATGGTGTATTTCCCAGTCTAAAGTATGCTTAACAATATTCACACTCAACTTTTATTTGTAGGTTAATAGGGTATGTTTATAAATACCTTGAAATCACCGCATGCGTTTATGTTACGGTCAGTGACTGAGCGAACAATGCTGACGTTAGTTAAAGATAGCAAATCGTTTGGTGAGCTCGTGAATCTCCATCGGCTGAGTTATTCAGAACATGTATTACATATATGTCTAACAATTACCTAAACCCGACGTGCGATGTTTTTTGGTGTTGGAGTAGTCTAAATGAATGCTAGACATCACCAAAACAAAGTCCAAGTCATTGACGATTGAACCAAGCCATGTATAGAGGTACAGATTACCTAGTTGGGACCCACGTGATTATCGTACTCAATTGTCGGAGACGTTGATTAACATGGTTTAGAACCAATCTCAATTGAGTAGTTGTATTCCTCCTTTATATTCCTTTGAATCCTATAATTATTTTGTACTTTTTATTTCATGGACTATTTTTTTGGGATCATATTGTCGTCTGCGTTTAATTTTTTCCTACTATTACTGATACTCTTACGATTTCTACTACTACAATGGAATTTGTTTTGATCATTTGATCTCGCTTTATTCATATGATGTGGCAACTTGAATCAGTGTAAACGATTCTACATTTATTATGAGTAACCTTTCAGTTCAATTAATTACCATCACCTAATTTTTCTTTCATTGTTATTCTCCTATGTACAGGACTTTGTTCCATCTCTTACAACAGAATTCAACTCAGAAGAAATGAAGTAAGTTTTTTCTTGTACTTAAATTATAATGATAATTCGATAATTACTATTACTGTATTATGTCTTGAAATCAGTTGACCATTATCGTGTGCTATATCACCAATCATAACCCTAGTTTTCATTTGGTTGGTTATTTACTCTATAGCTTTAGTGTCTATAATTCAGCTAATTGCACGCCCGCTCAGAACTATTGGCACTGAGCTGACAGCTGGTTTCTCATTGACCCACTATTCGCCAGCTCCTTTTTATGCCTAGCCTTTGAATGCAGAATCAGCAACCAAATTCAACTATATTTATAATTCAAACAAAAGTGGTTTATATACAGACATACTGAACCTCATCAGACCACCGAAAGGTGTCTGTGAATGGGGGGAGACTGTAAATAAATAGACTGGCATCAAAATAGGAATAGTGATTCCTATGACAGTAATATGTGAGTAATGAATAATGAATAATTATAATTCGAGAAACCAGTTTCAACTTCTACAATATTCTTCCCGTTACAACGTACTGAAATCATATCTTTGATGTAAAAGTAGTCAATAAAAACACTTTCTCGTTTGGTACAATATTACCCGTTATATACAATCTTAAAAAAACAGAATTATCATTCTTATTCTATGGATACAAAAAAACAATTTTTCGCTGCCATTTTAAATGTTCTGAACGGTATGGAAAAAACTATTTCAACTGCCTATGGTTTGAGGATAGCCATTCTTTCTCAGTGTTCAATAAAAGTGCAACATCTTGCATTTTCTCATTCTTCTAATGAATGAGTGCTGTATATAAGAGTACAATTATCCACTGAGGACTTCATTTCAATCATCTGACGTTATCTATGTATCTCCACTTAAGTATAACTCAACTTGGCAGTGGAAAAGAAGCAAAAACAATGAAAGTTACAGCTTGAAATGGAAATCATACACTTATAATTCATTGTTTATACTTTAAATGAATGAAAACATACTATAGATCGTATATATATATTGAAAATTGAAAGACAGATGTGCTATAGATTGATGGACACGTATCTTATCACCTGATTGTAGGTATCATTATCAAGTCCACTGCTAGCCACTATCCATCTTTGCTTACAATGCTTGTAAATTAAAACAATATCGAGGCATACGCACAGTATGCACATATGCCAATAAGAGACTGATCAATTTCAGTCCAAAAAAAACATCAATGGGAAGATTCAAATAAAACAATATCAAGTGAATTAAACTTCAACCCATTGCACAAGCAAGTGGCTATCAGGACTCAGTAGCTAAGTGGATAACGTGATGGCGTTTGAAGCGAACGGTACTGAGTTCAAGTCCCAGAGTGAACATCAACTCTGAGATGCAGGTACATCCAGCTGACGAGCCCCAAACGGGACGAAACGCGCGTCCTGGATTCCACTGCTAGCCACTATCCATCTTTGCTTATCATTATCAAGGTTTGACTTGATAATTTCGAATAAATCGAGCATTGGATAGATTGTTATAAATAAATATAATATATTTGTAATATCTCAATAATTAGAAAAATTAGATATTCTGATGTTTCGTGACTCAGTGTAAGCCATTTCTTCAGAGTTTGCTCATACAAACTCGTATAACTCATATTCCGGATTGTGATTGACTGATTTCTAAGATATACTTTTACCAAAAAGAGTTTTACTCAAAAACTGATTAATCCATCTCTATAAAAGGTATATGTTTCACCGAATATTTCTGTATTATTTTTCTTATCTTCACAGATTAACAGAATCTCAACAACCATATATTACTTCATTAAATAATAGTAATAGTGATAATAATAATAATGATAGTGATAATGTGGATATATTAAAACGTCAATGTGATTCTATTAGTCAAATTAATGAACAATTAACTACAACATTAATAAAATTACAACAAGATAGAATAGCATTGAAAATATTTCTGGAACGTTTAATGCCATTAGAAACAATTTAAGTGTTCAACAAGATCATTATCGTTTATCATTTACAAGTCACTAATCTTAATTGTTAGCTATATTGATGACAATGTGATAACATACATACCAATGTACGCATATATAAGTCTATATATATATATACTATTCTATTCAATAAAAAGAATCTGTTCAGCCTTGTTACTCTCTCTCTCTCTCCTTCTCAATATTGCTTTATTTTTCTCTATATATACACATTTATTATGATCATGTATTCTATTATCTACTTTAATGATCAACTTTAAAGTGCCTAAAGTTTGTTGCATAATCTTTATCCTATCCTTTCATGTGTTAATTGAGTAATGAATACTATTTCTCATTCAACACACATAACAAGTGTATTATTTACAATAATTACCAAGAAAGTAATCCTTTAAAAGCATTTTTCTTGCTGCACTTCTACTTTGTGCATCAGTTTGTTACCTATTATGTGGGTGTATGTGTTTCTACGTAAATTTATCCTTATCTGGTTGAGATTATGTTTTATTTTAACTGAAAAATACAATCTATGCTTATTGATTAGATCAACTCACTTTCCTATTGTTACTTATGTTTGCTTTTCATTAGGTATAATTCATTATCTATTTTGTTGCCGGTTTTTCTTCTCTTCAATTATTTTCTCTTTAAATGATTGGTTTTTGGTTCTTTCATGTTATAGTCTACTCTTCCTTTGTTGTTGTTGCAACTACACTGTTTTGTTTTATTCTCGTGAAATTGAAAGGAACAATTGTTTGCTTCTGTGCTAATGTATTATTGTATTGGAACTTGAACCAATACACATACATATATATATGCGCCAAGTTCAAATTCATTGTCCACTTTACTAAGTGTATACCACGGACTGAGTAGTTTATGTGTAGTCTATTGTCTCGTCTATTTATTTACTTACTTAGAATTATTTTCTGTTCCTAACGAATATGTGTAATTGTTATTCATGTTTTACGTTGTGCGGTCATCCGATACCGATACGCATACTTCCCCATACTCAAACGAGACCTAGTAAGTAAGTGAAAAGAATAAAGGATAACCAGGAAGCTGCACTAGACAAACCTAATTCAAATGTGTTCAACTCATTGGTATATACATATATGTCCTTCAAATTTTTAAGTGTTATAGCCCAAAGCCGCCAATCAGAAGCAGCGAATTATCGATCGGACGCGTAAAACACGTGCGAGTAGCCTAGAGTCCTGATTGGTCCTCCTTCCTGCCTAGCCCAGCCAGTTAAGTCCAGAACACCAGTCTCACCCTCTGCAATATGAATCCTGATATTTCAAACATACTGAGTTTATATACCAATCAAACAGACCACAACGTAGCATAATATAGAAAATAACATTTGTACAAAATTCGGCCAAATGTGGCTGTGAATGTGGGAGGCAGCGACTAATAATAGACAGGGCATAATTTAAGAATGGTAAAACGTATAATAACGGTTCATAGGTCAAAATAAAGTTTATAATAAGAGGAATATGAATAGTTTAAGTATTTAACAATTATACGATAAAAATATACGTTCAGTATTGGTCCCTAAAAAGGATCCCAAAGTTACCATCCATTATGTTTATCGGGACCTAACATTAAGCCAGGCCTGGACAAATAGCATGAACGACTTTCGCTGACAACCGTCTTCTTTCAACTTCTCTCACGTACCATTTGGCCTTGATCAAGCATGTGCTCGGAAGCACATAACGTATCTGGACTCGCCATGAGTATCATAACAATAATTTTGTAGACTGGTATTGATAAAAATGTAAAATCTTTTCTGCATTGACGAAAATGAGGTTATTTTGTGGATTCGACTTCTTTATATTAAGCATATACCAGATTCCTTTTAGATAAAGTATTAGACACCAAACTATTGACTGTTACCAAGTAATCTACATTCAGTGCTATAATGAATAAGGTTCCTGCCAGAATCGATTAATCGAACATAGAACGTCCCGGAATTTTAGTGGGAAGCCATAATCGGTGGAGTTCAAATGTGTCGAATGTGGGATAGTGGTTACCCACCGAAAACAGTGAATGGTGGTCACGCAATATCGTATGGTGATTGAAGTTATACAAAAACACCATTGAATCCCGGTTCAATGGTCTACGGGGTAAACGTTCTCGTGAAACCGGTCCTGGGTTCAATCCTCGTCGATAAGTTTGTGCGTGTTGAAGAGTCGCATGTCGGGCTGAAACCGCAGTTTACATCCCTCAGGTTTTCAATGGATAGGTAGCATAAGTGGGTTCATAATATCAATAATATCCAATCACTTCCACAAATCTCTATACAGAAAACTATGTAAGGATTTACAATGAACAAGCATTATATATTTACCTATATTTTTATCATCACGTTCTTTTTTTTAAAAAAAAGGCAAATATAACTAGGAAAGCGATATTAGTAATTTACGTCGAATATAAAAAAGTCAAAGGTTTGATAATACACTAAAAAATCATTTAAAAAAACGAGAATATGTTCATGTAAATAAAAGAAGAAAATCATGAGAAAGATTGGATTGTCATCCATTGAAATATAATCGTTGTACTGAAGTACGATGCTCTAATCGTAGTCATTGATATTTCTGATCCAATACAATAGAATTACATTCAATAACAAGTGTATGTATACATATATGTATATTACAGTTTATTTAATAGATCTCATAGAATATCATGTACAAAATATTTGTTGTATATTTCTAATCATAATGATATATTTTACTGTGCATTTGTCAACTTTGATCTAAACCTTTGACAGCTAATGCACCAGCCCATTGTTCAGAACCACAAGCTTTTCTCAAACGTAATCTGACTTTATTATTTTGTATCTATTAAAATGGAAATAAGTACGAGAGATGTATCATATTAAATACGAATATATTATTGATATCATTAGGGATAACTGCTAGGGTGCTTGTACTTTTCAGATAATGATGGATTATTAGGGCAAGGCGAAGAGTTTGGATATCCGAGTAGTGATAATAGTAATAAGGAGATAAGGCTCCGTATGTAGAAAGCAGGAGTGAGCTATGTTAATCTAGGTCACCTTAGATGTCGTTGAAATAGTTGTTTGATAATAAAGCGTGGGAAGTTATGATTAGAGCACTTTGTCACTGCTTCTGTCAAGAAAAGATGTCGGATAGTTTTATATTCAATTATCACTTTCTCCAAAGAATTGTTCACATGTGATAATTAGTTCAGAAGAGATAGTGAAGATGGTAACCTTACAGGTGCAATCACCTTGAAACACTTAATTCAGTAGTTTGTTTTTATTTCATTGAGATAATGAACCGGTCTAAGTTAGACCACCACTGAAAACCTGGAGGCGCTGGACGGCTGTACCGTTCAAGTACGGAATTCCCTAGCAGTGCCCATCCGCGACTCCTCACATGGAAATCAACCTCAGGGTTTTAGAAAACCGATGCCATCTGAAATGCTATAAATACCCTGAATTTTTTGTACATTAACTAACCTTGAAGTAAAGCGTTTTTCCATATTTTGTGCCTTTTCTCTCATATTTAAGTCGTCGTGTAGATTTAGTCTGAGGTTAATAGAAGAGCTTAGGAAACCGATTCAAGCGTTCAGTCAGAAGATTTATCATTATTTTAAAACAATAAACAACTATAAACACAAGAACCTGTTCCAACTAATGAGTTGTCATTCTTTCAAACACTCGCTTTACTATTTATCATAAATGTTTCGATTTTAGATTTGTTTTTAAAATTAATTAATTTTATCTACTAATCTCGTGTATTTACGCAATGTTATCAAATCTTTATGGTCTAATATCCGAGAAACTGAACAAGTACTACTTTAATGGTTGGCATATTTTCCTTTTCACCTATCCTTTAGAGAAAGAAGAAATAATTAACACAGACTTCATTCATCAAATACACATAATATTTACCTATGGAAAGAGGTATCATAGCAGTAGGACTAATTGTAAATAGAAACAGATGAAGATGAATGATCGCTGATTATTATTTTAAAACTTCATATATATTTTTGGATATTTACAAGTCAAATACTTTTAGAAAGGAGGTGATTTATTACAATTTTGCATACTTAAACTACAGATTCGGAATACGACAACTATCCATCCTCAGTGTTCAATAAAAGTACAATATCTAGCATTTTCGCGTTCGTCTAATAAATGAGTGCTGTATATAAGAGTACAATTATCCACTGAGGACTTCATTTCAATCATCTGACGTTATCTATATATCTCCACTTAAGTATAACTCAACTTGGCAGTGGAAAAGAAGCAAAAACAATGAAAGTTACAGCTTGAAATGGAAATCATACTCTTATAATTCATTGTTTACACTTTAAATGAATGAAAACATACTACAGATCGTATATATATATATTGAAAATTGAAAGACAGATGTGCTATAAATTGATGGACACCACCATAGAAAACCTGGAAGCACTGGATGGCCGTCCACAAAACCCAACTGATATTAATCCAAATATACTCACTAGTGACTGGGTTTAAGACGTATATCCTGGAGTTCTACTGAGAAGTAGTGACCAGTGAAGTTCAGTCGGGTTTGTTGAGAGATAGTAACTCACTGAAGACAATGGTGGATGTGTCGCTCAATTTCGTGGATTAGTTGAAGTTAGACATTAACACCGCTGCATGCCGGCTCAGTAGTCTAGTAGTTAAGTGCTCGCGTGCGAAACCAGTAGGTCCTGGGTTCGAATCCCGTGAGGCGGGGGCGTGGATGCGCACTACTGAGTAGTCCCGCGATAGGACGAAACGGCCATCCAGTGCTTCCAGGTTTTCCATGATGGTTTAGCTTCAACTGACTCATGGTCTCAACCATTGAAATTACTATAATATCCACAAAACGCGTCTGATATTTGTAATATCTCAATGAGTAGAAAAATTAGATATTCTGACGTTTCGTGACTCAGTGTAAGCCACTTCTTCAGAAGTGTGGATTACTCGTTTCTTAGATATACTTTTACCAAAAAAGAAAATAACCACTTTAAATGAATGAAAACATGCTAGATATTATATATATATAATGAACATTAAAAGATGGATGCGTTACAAAATTATGGGCAAGTATCCTATCTTCAGAATTCTTTGCTATGTAATCAAACAGAGAGTATTTTGACTGGAGAGAATATTACTACTACATTAATATATTAATTAAACTTTTAATAAAGAACACATTCCATGCATAAAAACTCACTTTAAATGTACAAAATGTTGGCATAATTTTCGATGGAAATTGACGTACAGTATATTCATAAGTATAATTAGGATTAGTTAATTCGCATAGAACATTTAATGAACTAAATTATTAAATAAATAAATAATGTAAATACACTATAGAACACAATACTAACAGAAAACATGATTATTAAAATCATACTCACTAGTAAAACGATGTTATATAATCATTGTTAAAATTAAAGGGATAGTAATAATGCAACTTAAATGAAGGGGAAGGGACGAGACCGATGTGCAGTGAGCCCAAGTTTGCAGTGGTGATCTAACTTAGACCAGTTCATGACTTTAATGAAATACTTATTAATACATCAGATTTATGTATTCAGTTATGAGCCACATGTCCAGTGTGAGCGCTAGTGGTATTAACAGGTTGGCCAAACTAAAGTATGTAGACTGGGATTCAGACACCCATGGCCCCCCTATACTTTTAATCATTAAAATCATTGATCCATGATTACCATTATTGTGATTATGGTCAAAATTTCATTAAACAATAATAATAATGATAATAATAATAAACTAAGGATAGATAATATTGAAGTGAATAATAAGTAGATGCTAACTTACTATTCACCAAGTTCCACTTTTAATAATCCATTGCCTAATTGTTGACGAATACTTGCAGATGTTGTATTGAAAGAATCACTGTGGAAATTCCCTGAACAACCGGGTTTAATAAGTCCACAAAATCCTCGACTAGGCGCCTGTAAACCCTGCATAATCAATGTAACTTGTACAT